ACTTGGGTGAGCTGCGCAGCTACCTTGGCTTGCAGATCACCCGGGACAGAGCACGCCGCACCATCACATTGACTCAGTCACCTTGGTCCTTCAGCGCTTCGGCTTCACCTGGTCTTCAGCACAGGCCACTCCTCTGGCTACAGGTCACACGCTCTCAGCTCCACCTTCGGACGAGTCCGTAGAGCCAAGTGGTCCTTACCCAGAGCTAGTGGGCTGCCTCATGTACCTGATGACTTGCACTCGACCTGACCTCGCGTACCCTCTTGGTCTCCTGGCTCGCTACGTGGCTCCTGGTCGGCACCGACCTGAGCACATGGCTGCTGCTAAGAGGGTACTGCGCTACTTGTGCAGCACATCAGGCATGGGGCTAGTGCTTGGAGGGACGAGCCCAGTTGTCCTCACTGGGCACTCAGACGCTTCTTGGGTTGACGACCTGGCTACTCAGCGGTCGTCACAGGGTTACACCTTCAGCCTTGGCTCTGGTTCAGTTTCGTGGCGTTCTACACGCTCGTCTTCAGTTCTCAGCTCCAGTTGTGAGGCTGAGATCTACGCCACCGCCATGGCTGCACAGGAGTTACGCTGGCTCACCTACCTGCTGACTGACTTGGGAGAGCAGCCTCGTTCTCCTCCAGTGCTGTACGTTGACAACAAGGCCGCCATTGCCTTGTGTGAGGAGCACAGACTGGAGCACAGAACGAAGCACATTGCTCTGCGTTACTTCCTGGCTCGAGAGTTGCAGCAGCGAGGCCAGCTTCGTCTTCGCCACGTGGCCACTCGGGCCAACACTGCTGATATATTCACCAAGGCACTTCCGTCTGGTGATCATCAGCGCTTTTGTACTCTGTTGGGCCTTGTGCCTACGTTTCCACACTTGCTGTAGTCTCTGCTTGTACTGTGATCTATATATATACCTGCATGCTGGCTCTTGCTAGGTAGCCATCACTGTACTGTTATTGCTGCATATATATCTCTGCATGTGAACTGGCCTTGTGACCCGTTGCTTGTGCTCAGAATGCGTGGTGACGTTGTGATCCACCCTGAGCTTGTTTTTCTTCTCTTGACTGGTCGTGTGACCCCTTGTTCTCCCCCACTTTGCCTATGGGGGTGTGTCAAGCTGTATGTGCAGCATATTGTCTAGGCTGTAGTGGGGTAGCCCATATGGGGTACAACCAAATTAGGGTTAACTACTTGTACTCCTGCATCCTGCTAGTTCATTCATTCCTGCTGCTAGATTCTAACAGAAGGCACGCACGCAGATCGTGGAGCTGAAAGAAGGCGGGAACTCGGTCTCGGGGGTGCACCAGATTCTTGATGCGGCTTCTGGTTTCTTCTGGAAAATCTTCGGGAAGGATCGGCGTGTGGATTTCTCAAGCTGGGATTTCAATCCGAGCCGGTGCCTGGGAAGGGAGGCGGCGGAAATGTTAGCTGCAGACTGGACAGAGCAAGAGGTGAAAACGGCTTTCGCATCGATGGCCAAAAACAAATCGCCGGGGGGAGACGGGCTCCCTAAGGAGTTGTTTGAAGCCCACTGGGATTTGCTGGGAAGCAGTTTCATGGCGATGGCGAGGGATTACTTCCGGCAGAGCTCAAGGAAGCTGTTACTATCCTGCTACACAAGAAGTGGGAGCGGGATCAGTTGAACAACTATCGTCCCATCACACTACTGAACTTCACATACAAGGTGCTGGCGAAGGTGATGGCTGACCGAATGAAGCGCGTGCTTTATCAAGTGATCTCACCAGAGCAGTATGGCTTTATCCCGGGGAGACGGTTGTCGGATGCAGTGGCGATGGTTGCGGATGTCATTGACGTGGCGAAAAATGACAACGAGGACTGGTACATGTTGCTGGTGGATTTTCAAAAAGCCTTCGATTCAGGGTCTCGTGACTTCCTGTTCGAAGTGCTTCGAAAAATGGGTTTTCCAGAGCGTTTCGTCAGATGGATCGAGGGCCTGCATGAAAACACCACGACGAAGCTGTTAATAAACGGGTGGCTTGGTGAAGGCATGAGCGTGGTTTCCGGGGTACGGCAGGGATGTCCGCTAGCTCCTTACTTGTTCCTGTGTGCAGTGGAGCCGTTGGCCCAAGAAGTGGAGAGGGAGAGACTCGGTCTGAGTAAGGGCGGGCAGCAGCTGGGTTACGTCAGATACGCCGATGACACAACACTCATCCTGCAAGGAGAGGAGCAGATTGTTAAAGCAGAAGGGATCCTGGACAGATTTGAAAAGGTGTCGGGGTTGGCGACGAACAAGAGTAAATCAGTTGTCTTACCCCTGGGGGAGAACCTTGGTGCAATGGCAGACAGTACATCCAGCTTCAAATGGGCCGGTGCTGACGATGCTGAACGGCTGTTGGGGGTGTGGGTGTCACCTTCTGGAAGCGGCCTGAAGACATGGGAAAAAACACTAGAGAGGATAGCAGAGAAGCTGGTCAAGTGGAAGCAGAAGTATTTGACTATCTCGGCGCGAGCAACGGTGGTGAATCACTACGTCACGCCTATTATAGCCTTTCAAGCCCAAGTCTATCCCCCCACTGCAGAGGTGTGGGATGACCTGGGGCGCTTGCTGCATGGTTTTCTGTCTGGGAACAGAGTATCGACGGCAAAGGGGTTTACACTCTGGAGTAAAGTGCTGCTTTATACCTCAAGAGCAGCGGGTGGAATTGGTGCCGTGGATCCGGAAATTGTCATCACCTGCATGGCGGCGAGGAGAGCGGGGCTGTTTCTAACGTAGGAAAACGCAATTAAAAGAGACCTGATGGTACGTGCGGCGAAGCTGCCTCTCGGTATCGAATCGTTTGGCGCCCACGAGAAGCTGTTCAAGCACTGGGAAGGAGGAAGTATGCGCTGGAAGCAGACGTGTGAAAATCTTACGAGCTCGCCGCTGTGCGTGAAGGCAGCGGCCACCACAAGGGAGGAAATTTTACTGGAGAGAGTGGTTTTCAATAAGAGCATCCTGATGCGCGGCACCACGCCTATTGGTGGACAGAAGGAAGCGGAAAAGCTGTGGGAGCTGAGGCTGGGTGACCTGTTCGATCAAGATGATGCTGGGGTTCTTTCCCAGAAATCAATGGCGGACTTGACGGTGCAGCTGGGAAGCAGCGGGGCTGCAAAGCTTGCGCTAAAGGCAGTGGGTGCTCTTCCTGCTCTCTGGTACAGACTGTTGGGTTTCCCAACAGTTCTCTCCTGCTCGGCTGGCTCTTCCCCGCAACTGCTTGTCCTGGAGGGAGGGAAGATTATTCCCATGAAGCGGATGAGAGAAGGGTGGAAGGGGGCACAAACGGAGTCATACAAGCGCGCGAAATGGGCGGCAAGATGGAGCGGGCAGATTGATTGGAAAAAGGTGGTGAACACGCGAGACTCTCTGACGGTTCCCAGCCGTCCGCGTGATGTGCTTCTTAGAATCCATGGGTTGAATCTCCAAGTCAGGGAGAGACTGGCTTTTCTCAGCAGCAAGCCGGTCTGCCCGTACTGTGGGGACACGGAGACGCTGGAACACTGCTTGGTGCTCTGCCCCAAAATTCAAGTGGTGTCCTCTGCTCTTCGGCGCGCTCTATGCATGCTGAACCCTGGCCGGGTGACGGACTCGCTGGGGGATTTACTGTTCCGAGAAATGGGCACCAGCTCAGCCTTTCCGGAGCTGACGCTGACGTCGATCGCGCTGCATCAATTGTGGCTGGAACGGTGCGATGCTGCCTTCAGAAGGAAGAGATTTAGAACGCAACGTGTCTTACGAAGGGTCGAGATGGCTTTCCGTCAGCATGTGAAGCTGTACACCCATCATTTCGGGCCGACGTGGCGGAAACAGAAGCGGCAGGATTCATCGAAGGAGTGGGACATGCTGAGGAGGATAAAAACGGATGGTCCCAAGCTGAAGTGGACAAATGGCTTTGCAGCACTTTGGTCGGCGCGGAGGGCACGTAACACCAGGCCCTGAATGTGTCTTATCTGGAGGAAGAGGTCACTCTGACTCCTCACGCACGGTTACGACCGTTCTTGCTTGTGTACACTTGCCCTTCGGTGTATATTTGCAATTACCATTAAAAAAAATGATATGACACACTTGAACACTTGGGTTCACTCTCCAAGTTATTTAGTCCCAGTTCCAACCCTCAGCGTGCTTGACTGGAGAGGGACCATCTGGGGTTGATTGGTCCGTTTCGGGATACTATCGAAGGACGTCGCGGACCGCATCTGCGACCTGTGCCTTGCGTGGGACGTGAGCGCGATGAGATGGGAGGGGTGGGTGGGACCGCTTGACCGTGTGGGGTTGATGGAACCAGTCCCTTCTCAACAAGCCCTGACATGCTTCCGTGGACGAGCCGCCACGGGAATTAGATCCTAGGGCGTGTTTTGTTTTACTTCTGGCTGCCTTTTGTTCATTCGGGGGTTTTCGAGCCGAGGGAGTTGGTAGGTGTTTAGCAAACTTCTCTGTAAAAAACACCAATGGTAGATCTTCTCGGTTCCCAGTCCCAGCGTCCAACCCGGAATCGAGCTAACACGTGAAATTCGCGCCGAAAAAATCGCCATGCCAGCCAATATCCCATTTTCCCCCGCAAAAGGCGCCACGTAATCACCCTGGCGCATACCCCATTCGTCCATCCTGCTAAAAACGGGGGCTGTCAGACAAAGAATCTGACAGTTGTGCGTCCAAGGGCATCCAGCAACGCAAAGCAGCCCTTCTGGTGTGGCGGCGTGCGTGTCCCTCCCCTCCCTCGGCCCAGGCTCCCCCAGCCCCAGCCCAGGACAAAGCCTGGAGGGGCAAATATGCCTCTTCGATCCTCAGTCTATGAATTACCAGCACTTCTGCTTAGTTGTTCAGGATGCAGCAATAGCAACCCCCGTTGGGACCCCCTGTCATGGCTGAGTTAGGCTCTGACAAGAGCTTCTAAGGTCTCGGCTCGTAGCGTCTTTTCGGGAGTGACCCGCAATAGTAGCGAGTTGAATGCAACAAGCCAACTAGCTTGCTGACGGCCTAGTCTCCCCCGAGAGCAGCGGTCGCGATGGGGATGCACCGACAATATGTGCCGCTCGACTCCACCAAGGGGTATGAGCTATTTCCTCCCGCATCCATCTCCACTTATCAACCATGGTATCATACTGCATTGCCTTCCTCGTGGTCTTCTAATGCCTGGACAATAGTGACTGTTGTTGCTAAATGCTTAGCAGATCCCATCCCTCCGTTAAGCCACCAACGGCCGACAGATCTAGTCCAATAATCGCGCCAACGTCTTGCGTCCAACAAACCAATCGTGAACCTTGACGGATCTGAGCAAATAAGAACCAAGACAGGAGGCCACCATGAGCTTTAGCGAATAAGCCTGTGCCAAAGTTCAACCTCGACCGTCCATGTATTACTCATTTTTATGCCACATGCATCCGAGCGGGCGACGTACCACGAAGCTGTACATGCTCCAACCTTCTGACGTTTTTCCAATGCTTCTACTACACACGAACCGTCCACCTACTATCCTCCCAACTGTCCTACGCGGCTCAAATGCATCGTTTCCTTCAGTTGCCCCTCTCCTCGCCTCGCCCCCCTTCCCCGCTCCCCTCTCCCAGGGGCAAGTCCTCCGCTGCAGTGCTGGTGGTGGCGATGGTCGGCAGTGTCGCCATTCTCGTCATCTCCGTGTTCATCGGCGTAAAGCTCGCGCAAATGCAGGGCATGGAACCACCGCCACCGCCCGCGAAGCTGCCGCCTCCCCCCGTGAACATCACTATCACGTCCAAGATCCAGATGGCCCTGATGTTCCTGGAGTCGCAAAAATGTAAGTTCTTGAAGCGACGCATAGATCTGAAACGAACAAAGTGTCTTTGAAACCATCCACCTCGCTGGTTGACGTGCTTGTTCGCTGCTCGTCAAGTACTCGGCGCCATGCTTCTCAGGCGCCATAGTAAATCGTTCTGGAACTACTTTAGCTCACTCAGAATCTGCGCTTATTTATTGATTATGTGGCACCTCGTACTTGTCGCATATCCTTGACCTCATCCGTTTCGCCGTCCCGCGCGCGTGCCCGCTCCCAACTGCAGCGGGTAAGCTCGACCCGGACTTTCCCGTCACGTGGCGAAGCGACTCGGGCTTGCAGGACGGGCGGGATCAGAACCGGGATCTGCGAGGCGGGTACTACATCGGCGGGAGCAACATCAAGTACCACTTCCCGATGGCGTACACCGTGACCATGCTGTGCTGGGCGCTGCTGGAATACGAATCCGTGTTCCGGCTCGTAAATATGCACAACGAAATGGCGGAGCTTATTGACTGGGGTGTACAGTACATCCTCCGTACAAGATACGAGGACCTCATTTTTGCTCAGGTAAGGCTGTACAACCCTCTCGTCCGATGTACTCCGTTTCAACTGGTCCTGTTCAGTCACACCGAAGTGTAACATTTGATACATGAAAAAAGGATGAATGATAGTCACTGTACATGTTTTTCCGCATCCGCCGGTGTTTTCTAGGTGGGCACGCCCGAGATCGACGACGTGTGTTGGATCCGGCCGGAGGACATGAAGCCCGCGCAGCGCCCCACCATGTTCCCCTGCGACATCGCGCATCCCTGCTCCGACCTCGCTGGCGAATACTCCGCCGCGCTCGCTGCCGCTTCGCTCACCTTCCGCGTAGGCAACCCCTCTTACGCGGACGTGCTTTTGCAAAACGCGGAGGAGATTTTTGAATACGCGGATCAGTACCGCGGAAAGTATAGTGACTGGGTCGAAGCAGCGCAAACGGAGTACAACTCTACCGGGTACGGCGACGAGCTCATGTGGGGCGCCACGTGGCTGTACTTCGCGTCGGGAGATTCAAAGTACCTGGACTACGTGGTCGGGCCCAACTCGTACATCTTCGAGACGAACCAGTGGGGTCCCGGCACCAAGACATTTGACTGGGACAACAAGTCCCCCGGCGTGCAGGTAAGCTGGTTGCGGTTCAATTAAACAAACCGAAGGTTGAGCGCGATTGCGAATGCAAATGCGTCCGTTTTCCCTGATGCACTCAATCTCAAGGACGCGGTGCTTTCGATGCTTTCCCCCCCCTCTCATTTCCAGTCGCGCGTCTTCAGACCCCCCCCCTCAGGGAATGCTCACTCGCTCCCCCTCCCCCGTCCCTGACCCCCCGTCGTCTGGGCTGTGCAGGTGCTGATGACGCGGCTGCTGATGCTCGGGTACGGGGCGGGCAACGAGGGGCAGATCCCGCAGTACCTGCAGACGTACCTCAACGCCGCGAAGCTCTACGTGTGCCAGCACACGCCGCACTGGCTGCACGCCAACTTCACCGACAGCGGTACGTTTCCCTTCCGCCTGCCCCAGTTTTATCTGTTTGTCTGCGTGTGAAGTTCCGTCACTCGTTGAACCGTCACCCAACAATTAGCTCCTAGATTGCTACAGAAATGAATCAGACTGAACCAAACGAGTTGACAAATGTGGGACATGTTTTGAAATGAATTATGCCAATCGTCGCATTATCTGCTGCTGCTCTCTCGACCTGGGTGTGCAGGCGGGCTGATCTACGTGAGCGACGACCATCCGATCCAGTACGCGGTGAACGCGGGGTTCCTGTCGGTGCTGGTGAGCGACTACCTGCGCATCGCCATCAATGCCAACGTCTCCTCGCACTACCTCGACTGCGACGCCACCATCGACGACATCGTCGACTTCGCCGCCTCGCAGGTGCGCGTATGCCACGCGGATTTGCAGGCCTGCTAGCTGTATTCAGCATTAGGGTTGCGTCTTTGGATGATTCATGGGTTCTGTGCTTGGAGAATGGCTGTTTGCGTACTGCTTGTGTTCGGTCAGTTGATCTGAATAATCTTCGTCTTATTGTCCTTGTTATTGCATTCTTGACTGTGCAGGTGAATTACATTCTGGGCGACAACCCTCAGAAGATGAGCTACATGGTGGGCTTCGGTGACAACTACCCCACGCGCGTGCACCACAGAGCCGCCTCCATCACGTCTCGGCATGTGGACCCCACGCCCTTCGACTGCGTCACAGGCCGCAAGTTCAAGAAGTGAGTTATTTCAAATGGTTGCTATTTCTAGAATACCCGGAACACACGTGACATGGTGTGAACATCCCAGCCAACAACACAGCCAGTACGCCAAAAGAACATTGCAGGATTATACAGGTGCCCACTCTTTTCACACGGGGAATCCATTTGCCTAGACTACCCAAGTATGCTGTATCTCACAAAACGTCCCACTGTCCTCTGTCCCCTGTGCCTCAGGTCCAAGTATCCCAACCCTAACGTGCTGGTGGGAGCAATAGTGGGCGGTCCAGCCCGCGACGACTCCTACCTGGACGACCGCACAATCCCCCAGCAGAGCGAGCCTCTGCTCTATGTCAACGCTGTCTTCGCCGGGCTCCTCGCCAGCCTGGGTGCTTTCCGCAGCGGCAACAGCCCTGGCAACTCGCTCACGCGCATGTGGGCGCAGATTCCCTGGGCTAAGAAGTATGCTGAGTCCCTTGAGGAGCTCATTCCCAAGCCCTACCCCTCGCCACCCAAGCCGCCCGTCTCCCCTCCCCCCTGGAGGACCCCTCCCCCCAAGGCCCCCAAGTTCCCCCCGAAGCGGAACGGTCCCAGCCCTCCCCCTCCATATGTCAACCCCCCGCCCCCCTCGCCTCCTCCCCCAAGCCCCCCTCCCCCGCGCCCTGTCAAGAAGCACACGGCCCCTGCACCGCCTCTCTTTTACAAGGGCCAGGGGAAATACAAGGCTCCGGCTGGCGCAGATCTCCCCGCTGCTCCCGCTGTGCACACGCCTCCCGTGAAAGAGATTCCAGCCACACTCACGCCTGTTCCGGATCCAGCTGCTGGTGCTGCAGGTTCGGCAGGGGAGGCCTGCCGGCAGGGAACCCTAATGTGTTCCCTTGATTTTGCGGTTGTGTAGGTTGTGGAATTAGGCGTGTAGTTTAGGTCGGAAGGCTTTGCATGAGACATGTTTGATTTAGGTGACTTCGTGGTGCTGAGCTTTTCAGCTGAATAAATGCTCTTTTACACCTGGCAAGCATGTTGTATTCAGAAGAAAAACGATGAGATAATGATGCAGACGTAAGAGCCTTCATAATTTGTCCATGAAACCTTTCCAAGGCACTTCAAAGCGAGTACGACCCGCAGCTGATTGCCTTGCTCTGGCGGCAGTCCCGGTGGTCGTGTCCCGTCCCGTCCCGTGACCTGTTCCCCCCTTCACAAATCTCTCGGTTTGGGCGGGAAGAACCCGGCACGGGACCCTCAGGTTTGACAAAGTCGCCCAACGCCCTTGAATTATCTGAACCGCTAGGGAGAAGCGAGGGAGGTCGTGGTGCAGGTCGGTCGGGACCGGGAACTTCTGGTTGGGTTGGGTGGGTGCACCCTGGCGGTGCTTCTCTTCGCATCACTGCTGCTCTAGTCTAGTGCTGGAAAGCTGTACTGTACGGGACGGTTGCCCTATCCATTATCCAACCAACTAACATGTGATTGACCAGCTGAAGCTGAGCGAAGCGACGCAGAGGAGCAGCAACGGGTAACTTACCTCCTTGTGCCACGTGAGCCCGCTTCTACGAGTCTCTCGTCTCTGCTCTGGACTCCCGTGTAGCGAGCGTGTTCGTCGCGCAACATCCGCAGCACAAGGAGAGCAACCGAGACTGTTAGACACTATAGCATCCTCCTAGTCCTCCATATTCCTGTGATTTGATTCGATTCAAAATATACTTGCACACCAGCCTCTAGTATCGTCCTAGTCCGTGCCGATGCGGACCCTATTTTGACTCGATATTAACAGTCCGCTGTGAAGTGACTGTGAACCGTCGATTGAATTTCAGGCGCTTAGACGGACAAGCGTGAGCTGCGGAGTGATGCGCGAGAGCGCTGGATTCACGTACGGTGACGAGTAGCGGAGGTGGCGCAAGCAGCGACGGCCGCGGAGGCAGCGGAAGCAGTGGAGCAAGCGGAGGCTGCGCGAGCAGCCGAGGCAGTGGGAGAAGTTGTAAGAGCAGGATCACCGGCAGTATTAGCGGCGCGAGGAACAGCGGCAGTGGCGGCGATAGCGACAATAAATGGCACTTTAACGCGCGAGCTGGCGAAGCGCGTGCCGCGCTAAGACCGTCTTACTCCGCGCCGATCCTGGATGCGGATCGGCGGTGGGGGTGGCGGAACAGTCCGCGCATCACTTCCGCGCGCACACCGTTTTCCATGGACGTCTTTCCGCCCATCCATCAGCTTCCGCCTTCCGCCGCCACTACTGCCCCTTCCGCCTCCGCCTCCTCTTCCGCCTCCGCTCCTTCAATCTCCGCCTCCGGTTCCGCTCCTTCCGCGACTTTCCCTTTTGCCGCCTGGTTCTCGTCTCTTCCCGCCGCCGTGCTCCGCCTTCCTCCGTCCTTCTGCTCCGCGCTATCTATCCGCAAGTCCTCGTTCGTCCCCACACTCATCGTCGCGCTCCTCCTAACTCTCGCCGCGTCGCGCTTTGTCTCGTTCCCCAACGCGTCCCGCGTGCCGTCCTCCCGCGCCGCCCATGTCGACGCGGATGCGCTGGGGGAAGCCGGCCACGTGACGGAGGGGGGCGCGGAGGGGGGCGCGGAGCGGTGGGGGCAGGGAGAGCGCGGAAAGACCAGTGCGCAAGAAGGGCACGTGGTAGGGGCAGATAGAGGCGGAGCGGATAGGCCAGGGGCGCATGCGGAAGGGGCGGAAGGACCAGAGGCGCATTTGGAAGGGGCGGAAAGACCAGCGGTGGAAAGGCCAGGGGTGTATGGGGAAGGTTCTGCTGGTGAAGGGACGCGCGGTGGCGACGTTTCTAGCCAGTCTGGTGGTTCGTTGGGCAAGGGAAGCGCGGAAGCGGAAGGTGTGAGTGAGGGGAGAGAAGAGGGGGGACCGGAGCGAGGAGAGCAGATTGATAACGAAGGCGATTCGAGTGATTTGGGTGTGGGGCAGGGTAACGGAGGGGAAGATGGCGGAGGTTCCAGTGGAGCTGTGGCAGCGGATGGGAGGTGCTTGGTATGTGAGCAGTTAGCGAGGCTGCCTTGTATCGAGGATGCACCTCACGTGAGGTGGTTACCAGATAGAAGTAACAAGGGTGGAGGGGGCGACGATAGCGAAGCGGGCGAACGGGGGGGTGCGGATGGTGGGGTTAAGGAAGGGGAGGAGGCGAAGAGGGAATGGGTGTGGGACGACAGAGATAGCAGCGGCAGCGACAGCATTAATGGGAGTACCCTCAACAGAAGCAGCAGCACCACCAGCAGCAACAGCAGCAGCAGCAGCAAGGGAAGACAGTGCGTATTCCACAAGATGGCAGGCGGAGAGGCGTTGAGGCAGCTGGCAGGGACATGGATCGTGGTGGCTGGAGACTCTGAGGTGCGGCAGCTACTGGTAGCGCTGATGCAGCTGCTGCTGCACAACGAATCAACAGCCTTGGCCCCTGTGCACCGCTTTGTATCGCTGAAACACGCCGACTTTCACCACTTCATCCCCTCGCACCGCATTCGGATTGACTTCTTCTGGGCGCCCTTTGCGCCAAATATCACCGCTGCGGTTACTGCTTTGCCTGCCACTGCCGCTGCTGCTGCCGCCGCCGCCGGTGGCGCTGCTGGTGGTGGTGGTGGCGCTGCTGCTGTATCTGCTTCTGGTTCGGTTTCTTCTGCTTCTGTGCCTGCTGGTGCTGACTCTGTTGAAGTTGCTGATTCTGCTTCGCAAATGGGTATGGATAGCAGCAGCAGCAGCAGCAGCAGCAGCAGCAGCAGCAGCAGCAGCAGCAGCAGCAGCAGCAGCAGCAGCAGCAGCAGATCCAGAAAGGGGAGGATGGGGCAAGAGGTGCAAGGGCAGGACCATGGGCCTGATGAGAGAACGCAGCAGTTTCAGCAGCACTCGTGGCAACGGCAGCAAGAGCAGCAGCAAGAGCAGAAGCAGGAAGAGCAGCGGAAACGAACGCACCAGGAGCAGATGCAGGAGCAGGAGCAACAAGCATCAACCTTCCAGTCCCAACAAGAGCACGTATTCGTCCCAACCTCACCCAACTCCCTCTCATCCCCTCCATCTTCTGGCGCCCCTCCGCCGCTCCCAACCGCATGCCCAGACGTTGTGATTCTGGGATCGGGCCTGTGGCACATGCTGTGGGTGACAGACCCGCAGCACTTTGCAGCAGAGCTTGCTGTTCTCCGCTCCACCGTGCTGCGCCTGCTGAGATCCCCGCGCTGCTCCGGCTCTCTGGGTGTCTCTGGTGGTGATGGTGATGGTGATGGTGTTGCTGGTGCTGCTGGCGATGGTTATGGTGCTGCTGGTGGTGGTTATGGTGCTGACGGTGGTGGTTATGGTGATGGTGGTGGTGCTGGTGGCGAGGGCAGTGGAAGCGAGGGGGTCGGCGGTGTGGGTGAGAGAGGGGGAGAGGCACGAGGAGAGAGTGTGGATGAAGTTGCGGTGGCTGTGGTGGAGGGAATGAGGAGAGCTGCTGCTAAGGAAGGGAGTAAGGTAGGTGGAAATGTGGATAAGGAGGAGGAGGAGGAGGAGGTGGTGGAGGAAGGAGAGGTAGAGGAGGAGGAGCAGGAGCAGGAAGAGGAGGGAGGGGGAGGAGAGGGGGTTGCTGTGAAGAGGAGAAAAGGGTTGGTGCAGTGGGATAGGATGGGTGGGAAGGCTGGTGAGGGGAGAATGGGCAAAAATATTGAAAAGGGGGTGGGAGCAAGGCGGAGTGTACAGGAGGAGGGTGCATCAGGGGATGCTGAGGACGCAAGAAGAAGAGGTGAAGAGACAGGAATAGGGGCTGAGGAGGCGAGGAAGCATGAGGTAGATGAGCTGATGGATGGACGTTTGGAGGGGAATGGTTATGGTGAAGACGGGGTCGCAGGCTTTGGTGCAGAGGGGGATGATGAGGAGGAGGTGAAGCAAGGAGGAGAGAGCGGAGACGAAAGGGTGGAGCCTGGGGTAGTGAGTGGGGAGGACAGTGAGGAGGAGTTGAGAAGAGATGCGAGTACAAGACAGGAGGAGTGGAGGGAAAGGGGAGGGGTGAGTGGAAGAGTGGGAGAGAGGCAGAGTGAAGGTGAGGGACTGGGGTTTACCGGCGGGGATGAGAAGGGAGAGGTTGAGATGGTGGAGATGGAAGAGGGCGTTGGGATGGGAGAGGAGGAGCAGAAAGAGGGGGTTGGGGGAAAGTTGGTGGGAACACCTGGAACTCATGAGGAAGAAGGGACGGTTGGAGGTGCTTATAGAATGGAGGGGAGAGAGGGGGGAGGAGAGGGAGAGGGTGAGGGGTTGGGGGAGGGGGCAGGAGTGGGAGTGGGGATGGATGAGGGAGAAGTGAAGGGAGAAGCAAAGATATGGAATAAAGAAGAAGAGGAGGAAGAGAAGGAGCAAGGGGAGGAGCAGGAGAAGCAACAGGCAGGGGAAGGAAAAGCAATAGAGGAGGGGGGAGATCCCAAGGGGAGGGCAGGAGAGAGTGGGGAGGAAGGCAGCGAGGAAGACAAGAAGGAGAAGGTGGGGGGAGAGAAGGAGAATGAGAAGGATAACGAGGGGGAGGGGAAGGAGGAGGAGGAGGAGCAAGAGGAGAAGGAGGAAGAAGAAGGGCAAGAGGAGAAGGAGGAGGAGGAGAATACAGTGGTGGTGCGTGGAGCGCCACTCATGCAGCCGCTCTTCTTCTGGCTGGGTTTGCCAGAGCTCATTCAGTCGCGACTCAACACGGAGAGGAAGAGGGAGAAGATGTCCCCGCGCATGGTGAACCTGTATGATGCGGTGGTGCAACGGAGTGGACTGCTGGTGGAGAGAGCACGTGGGAAGGTGGGGGGCAGTGTGGCGGGAGGAGAGAGAGGGAGTGAGGAGGAGGAAGAGGAGGGGAGCGAGGAGGGGGGAGAGAGAGGGGGTGCGGTGGAGAGCGGGACAGATAGGAAAAGGGGTGGTGGGAGCAGTGGGTTTAGGGATGGTGGAGGTGAAAGAGGGGACGGGAGGGAAACAGTGAAGTTCAGTCAGGTGGAGGAGCTGGGACCTTGTGTGCTGCTGCCGCTGAGGGAGCTGAGTAAGGGGTGTGGTGAATCGTGCACTCCGGATGGCATGCACTATAACGATGATACGTATGCTGCTGCCGTACAGGTCATGCTCAACCATGCTGCTCGCTTGCTGTAACCCAGTGGACACCAATTTTCGTCAAGTGATGTGCTATGTAGGCGAACGGCAGTACGAGTGGATCGAGTTGATTTTGTGCTTTGTATGTTTTTTACCTACCGTTAGGTGTACTGCTAGTACGGTAGCATACCGTATATGGTACACTCAATGGCTGCTGTACGTGCTTTCAACTGACATCATAGGAGACTTGACTAGACAGACAAACTGGCATGGTATATTGTGTTGCCTCCCAACCCAACCCAAGCTGTTAACACGTGGAAATCAATCTATGGGTTTCAGTAAGTGGCAACAAGGTTGCTTTGAGGATACCGTAGTTGCACCACCACACAACTTAGAAACTCCAACACAGACAGCAGTTGCATGTGGACTCACAACAAGCATGCTACTCAGGCATGCTCCTCACTCCCTCACCCCACCTCCCTGCTCGTAAACACTACGTGTGCCAGCCAGCATCAACTGTAACCACAAGCAGTATCAGATGAGACTCTTTCAAACAGGGCGGGCTAGCGAAGATTGAGAATTGACAAGGCAGGGAAGGTTAGGTGATAGAACTTGTAAGGCCTACAGGAGGGGCTCATTCACATGACAGGGCGGGGGGCCCTCATCTCGGGCAACTCTAGTGAGGCGATGGAACACCAGCTGGAGAGTAGGCTAGGCTGGCCCATGCTCAGCTCCTGCATGCCCAGCTGCTCCCTGTGCTTTGAGAGACGTCTCGAAACACCAGAGGGCAGGGTGGGAGGAAGAGAGGAGACTCACACGACAGGGCGGGGGGCCTCGTCGCGGGCAACTCTGGTGAGGCGATGGAACACCTGTTGGAGGGTGGGTTGGCTCATACTGAACCCCTCTATCCCCAGCTGCTCCCTGTGTGACTCAAGCTCGCTCCACACGCGTGCCAGCCCCTTCAGGTCCTCCACAGGTACTAGGAACTTCACCTGCACGCACCCGCTGCTGCCGCCGCTGGTAGCGTTTTCATCCGAGCCCAATGCTGCTGCTGCTGCTTCTGCTGCTGTTACTGGTAAAACTGATGGGTCAAACACTCCGGAGGAGGCTGCTGCGGCTGCGGCTGCGGCCGCTGCTGCTGCTTCGGAGGGAATGGCTGCTGCTAGCGTGGCTGGTGCTGCTGAGGCGTCGCTTGGTGGGGAAGCAGGTGGCACGGTTGGGAGCACGGGTCTGGGGTCACTGTTGTGGCGAGATAAGTCACTCAGTTCGACTATTAACTGCTCTGCACTTACACCTGCTCCTCCTGCTGCTGCTGCTGCTGCTGTTGTGGCTGCAGGTGCTGATGGGGACGCCACCAGCAGCTGCTGCTGCTTCTGGTGCTGCTCCTGAGCCCCCCCTTGCAACGCCACATCCTCTTCCTCCACTCCAAGCAGATTCCCCACCTCAGGACCACCAGCACCACCAGCACCACCTGTCGCAGCAGTAGGCATGAGTGCAGGAGCATCCGGATGGAGGTAATCTGCAGCGTGAGGGGCGCGGTCGGAAGCGACAGGCAGAGGAGGAGCAGCGTCGTCGGCGTAGTGCTCGGAGTAGGCCGGGGCGATGGAGGAGAGGAAGACGCGGATGGCAGGCAGGCGGCGCGGGTGCGCGGAGAGGAGCAGCGTGTATGCAGAGCCGTAGCGTGCCTTGAGGGCCTGTGGGGACCCCAGGCACTTGAGCTGGCCGCGCACCAAGATGCCCACACGTGACCTGGGAGAATGGGGGAAATGGGGACAAATAGGGGAAGGTGGTGGGGGGAGGGGGGGCGAGTTTTGCATCGACTCAATCAGGACCTTGAGGGCCTGAAGGGACCCCAGGCATTTGAGCTGGCAGTGCACTAAGATTCCCAACCGGGAGGGAGGGGGCAGGCAATGAGAGGAAAGAGGGTGGGAGGAAAGAAGGATCATTCAGTAAACAGTGGGAAGTCTTTCGAAACAAAACGACGTACCAGTGTTCACTGCACTGCAGGCCATCACTGGCTTTGTGGAGTCAACATAAACATCAATAGGTGAACAAAAGAGGAAAGGAGATGGACGGGGAGGACAGTACACACCCGAGGGCCTCAGCCTCTTCAACCGAGTGGGTGGCCATGAGGGTGGCACGGTGCGGTGCATCAGTGAGAATGCGCCGCCACAGCAGGCGCCGACTCGCAATGTCCATGGCTGGTGGTGGTGAGGTGGGGACCACAGGGGAAGAGGTGGGAGATGAGGAGTGAGGAGTGCGAGGGGGAGAGGTGAGCGTAGAGAACAAAAGAGTGAGGGGGTTGGGGTTGGGGTTGGGGTTGGGGTTGGGGTTGGGGTTGGGGTTGGGGTGGGGTTTGGGGACGAGGGTGGAAGCTGCTGCTGGAACACTCAATCTGCCTGGCTGTCCAGACCGCAACATGCCCATGCCATCAAAACCTCCACCCTCCCAAGGTACCCCCCAAGCACAAGGTACCCCCCGGGCACAAGGTACCCCCCGGGCACCCCACCCCTGACCATTAACCCATGCCCAGAACCCAACAACCCCTAGGGTTCACCTTGCGAGGGCTCGTCCAGCAGCAGCACGGCAGGGTCTCCCAGTAACGCTGCTGCCACTGCCACTCGCCTCAGCAGCCCCGCTCTACACGTGTCTATGCGCTGCGCTGCCTCCGACGCTGGACAGGGTGGAGAGAGCGGGAAGAGAGGGGGGAAAGAAGGGGGAAAGGGGGAGGGGGAGTTCGGAGTGAAGGGGAGAGGGGGTGAACAGGGGAAAGAGGAGGAAGAGGTTGGGAGTAGAAGGTGGGGGAGAGTGTGTGAGAGAGCTAAACGGGCAGAGGGGGGTGATGGATGGAGGAATGGGGAAGGAGAAAGGGGAGTGGGAAGGCAAAAGAGCGAAAAATGCCAAAAGGACAACCAAGGGGAGCGATAGAACAGCAAAAGGGAGCAGAGCAAGAGAGGGAGGAGGCGGAGGCTTACTGGAGATGCCGAGGGACTGCAGCACGTGGGTGACAGGCGCGGAGAGCGGCTCCCTGAGTCCCTTGACGGACGCCATGAAGTGCAGATACTCCTGCACTGTCAGGAAGCCGTGCATCATCTGTGGATGGCGGTGGGAAGTGGGTAGGGACACAGTGGCAGGGCGTGGGAGAGGGGGGCAGAAAGCGCTCTCCGAGACAATGTTATTGCGGCAGAATGAGGCGATATGGAAATGAGGCGAAACGGAAATGGTAATGAGGCGAAATGGAAATGGTAATGAGGCGAAATGGAAATGGTAATGAGGCGAAATGGAAATGGTAATGAGGCGAAATGGAAATGGTAATGAGGCGAAATGGAAATGGTAATGAGGCGAAATGGAAATGGTAATGAGGCGAAATGGAAATGGTAATGAGGCGAAATGGAAATGGTAATGAGGCGAAATGGAAATGGTAATGAGGCGAAATGGAAATGGTAATGAGGCGAAATGGAAATGGTAATGAGGCGAAATGGAAATGGTAATGAGGCGAAATGGAAATGGTAATGAGGCGAAATGGAAATGGTAATGAGGCGATATGGTAATGGTAATGAGGCGATATGGTAATGGTAATGAGGCGATATGGAAATGGTAATGAGGCGATATGGTAATGGTAATGAGGCGATATGGTAATGGTAATGAGGCGATATGGTAATGGTAATGAGGCGATATGGTAATGGTAATGAGGCAATATGGTAATGAGGTGGAATGGTAATGGTGACGAGGCGATATGGTAATGGTAATGAGGCGGAATGGTAATGAGGCGGAATGGTAATGACTATGAAGCGGAATGCTAATGGTAATGAGGCGGGATTAGGCGATATGGTAATGAGGCGAAATGGTAATGGTAATGAGGCGGAATGGTAATGGTAATGAGGCGGAATGAGACGATATGGTAATGAGGTGAAATGGCAATGGTAATGAGGTGATATGGTAATGGTAATGAGGCGGAATGGTAATGGTAATGAGGCGGAATGGTAATGGTAATGAGGCGGAATGGTAATCGTAGTGAGGCGGAATGGTAATGGTAATGAGACTGAATGATAATGGTAATGAGGCTAAATGATAATGGTAATGAGGCTGAATGAGGCGATATGGTGATGAGGTGAAATGGTAATGGTAATGAGGCGATATGTTGATGGTAATAAGGCGAAATGGTAATGGTAATGAGGCGGAATGGTAATGGTAATGAGGCGGAATGGTAATGGTAACGAGGCGATATGGTGATGGTAATGAGACGATATGGCAATGATAATGAGGCAGAATGGTAATGGTAATGAGGCGGAATGGTTATGTTAATAAGGCGGGATGAGGCGATATGGTAATGAGGCGGAATGGTAAGTCTCCATCATCGGCAAGAGGGGGGCAGAAAGCGCTCTCTGTCATTATCCCATGGTAGTCCTCACTACTTATCCACACACGGATTTGACTCACGTCAGCCTAGGGGCAATAGCTCACATCAGCTTGGGGGCAGTAGCCGATGATGGAGGGGTCGTTGAGGTTGGTGAAGCGCACGCTCTGCCCGTTGATGAGCGCGTTGCCGTACGACAGACAGCTCGCCCCCGCCAGACACTGCACCAGCGTCGTCTTGCCTGCCTTCTCCCCGCCCACCAGTACCACCACCTGATGCATGGCAATCGGTGACATGGGATGGGATGGGGAGGAGGGAGGAGGGAAACGAGGGACAGAGAGAGGAGGGAGGGTGGGAGAGATGGAGAGTTGAGGGAAACGGTTTGGAACCTGACATGGGACATGGATCCTGCACAAAGTGATGTGGCAGGTGCATGGATGGATGTGGGTTGCAAAATTGGGGAGATTGGAGCGGGGGGAAAGGCGGAGCGGGGACAAATGCAATGGGAAAAATGCAGGGAGAAGACACGGCACACGTGACTAACGTGACAGATAGGTACCGCAGGAAGGCTTGAGGTAAGGTGTTGCAAGTGTGCAACGGTGCCAGAGAGCGAGTCCGTGAGCGTGCAAGCAAGTATGCGAGGGTGAGAGGTTGCGAGGGTGCGAGTGTGCACCTGGCCTCGAGGCACTCCCAGCCAGAGGTTCGACACTGCCCACACTCCCGGGTCCTTGCCTATTCCGCACACCCCTGATGACGCTCCGAAGTTCTGACACAGGAAGACCAGTGAAGGCCATGTGGTGTGGGGGGGAGGGCATAAGAGAGTGACAATAGAGAACAATGGGGAATGTGGGAAAGATTGAAGCGGTTGCAGGAAGAACTGGTCAGATGTGAGCCTAAACTTACACTTCCACATACCCGCCCACTCTTATTCTACCCCCTCCACACCCACAAAACAAATCAACGTTCCCTCTCAATCTGTTGCCATCAGTCTAGCACCAAACCTTGCTAACTCGCCTCGCCCATGCTGCTGTGCAGCACAAGGTCACCCCCCTCCCTCCATTCCCCACTCCCTTTCATACCGCTTTGTAACTCGTCCAATCCAACCAAGGACCCACCTTGCCCACACTGCTGCACAGCACGAGGTCCCCCTCCTCCCCGCCGCTCTGCACAAAGTCCCACTTGGCCGCACTCTCCTGCACGCGCTCCTTCTCCCTTACCACATCCCCATCTCCCTCCTCCTCATCATACCCCGGTCCCATCATAGCTGCTAGATCCCCCGCCCCCTCATCATCCTGGTCTTCCCAATCCTTATGCAGCTGGCTTAGGCGTATCGCCATGAGACAGAGGGAGATGAGCACTGCTGACATGGACACTTGCACGGGGTAGGCGGGATAGTGGAGGGAATAGTAATCCGTGGCAGAGAGAGAGTATATGTCGAGAGGGGAGGCCGTGAGAGGCTCGTGTGCGTACGCTGCTGCGATGAAGTGGAGGGAGGAGATGAGGGCGTAGGGCGGGGAGAGGAGGGAGAGGAAGCCGTGCGGGATGGTGAAGGAGGCGGGGGAGACGCGGAGCATGAAGACAAAGGGGATGACGGCGAGGAGGAGGAAGAGGAGCGAGAGCGTGGCGGCTGCGAGCTGGGCTGAGTCGAAGGAGAAGGAGAGGAGGTAGGCGAGGAGCACGAGCGCGGGGATGGTGATGGCGAATACCACGAAGAGTGCTGGCAGGGCGGGCTGATGTGGGAAGTCGAGGGGCGGGGGGGGAAAAGGGGAAAAGGAGGGAGGGAGAGGTGGGGGAAGGAGGGAGGGGTAGTGAGCGCGGGGATGGTGATGGCAAATACCACAAAGAGTGCTGGCAGGGCGGGCTGATATGGGGACGGGATGGATGAAGTGGGGAGGGAGGAGGGGGGATTAGTGGGGGAAAAAATGTGAGAGGTAGAGAATGGGGGGGAGGGAGGAGTTGTGGGTGCGAGGATGGTGATGATGAATATCACGAAGAGTGCAGGCAGGGCGGGCTGATATGGGGACAGGGACCAGAGTGGGGCCAGGAGGATTGTTGACCATGAAGTCAGTACGCATGCACATTGTTGTAGACGCGGCACACAGCACAGCAGAGGCAGGACAGGACAGGACAGGACAGGACAGGACATAGCATATCACGGTGAAGGGAGAGGACTGGAAGCAGAGGCCAATGCTGGTGATGAGAAGTGCGCAGAGCCACATGGCAATGCAGCAGTCCACTGCTGCTGTGCCCAGCCACTTGGTGACTTTCAAGTCGACTCAAAAGCAGGGGCAGGACGTAACATACCACAGTGAAGGGGGAGGACTGGAAGCAGAGTCCAATGCCGGTGATGAGCAGTGCGCAGAGCCACATGGCAATGCAGTCCACTGTTGCTGTGCCCAGCCACAGTGCAAAGCCGCGCAGCCCACACACCTTGAGCATGGTGCGCAGCCCATACTCCATCTCCGCTACCATCTGAGCGGAGAGGTGGTGGGAGGAGAAGGGGGAGGGGATGGGTCTTATTTTAAGGCGCCTCAACACACACCTTGAGCATGGTGCGCAGCCCATACTCCATCTCCGCTACCATCTGCGTGGAGCGGAGATGGGAGAAGGGAGGAATAAGGAGGAAGGGCGGCACAGACAGTGAGCAGAGGCAGTGAGTACAAATGCACATTCAGTATACCTGAGCAACGGTGAGTGCCTGAGGGGTAGGAGGAGTGTGTGTGGTGCGTACCTGAGCGGAGAGAATGGGCGGCACCATGAGCAGCCCAATAGCCACAACCGCAGCGACGATGTACGCAAAGACAAAGTCGGGCGAGGAGAAGTGCAGCGGGTAGCTCTCCACTGCGATGCTCTGAGGAGCGGATTGGATGCCGTGCTGCGCTGCCACGAGCTTGAGGAACGCGTTATTGAGCGTGGCTATCACTGCCGGCACCTGGTGGATGCGCCACGGCTGGTAGAGGAGAGTGAAGCTGTACCCACACTCTGTGATGGGCATGGGATTGGTGGGAAACGAAGAAGGGGGTGTAGGGGGACGGGCATGAGAAAGGGGCGGAGAGGACGGGTCACTTCAAGCAGCCTTGGGTAGCTCTCTCTCTTCTCTCTCCACGGTGATGCTCTGCGGAGCGGACTGGATGTCGTGCTGCGCTGCCACGAGCCTGAGAAACGCGTTGTTGAGCGTGGCTATCACTGCCGGCACCTGGTGGATGCGCCACGGCTGGTAGAGGAGAGTGAAGCTGTACCCGCACTCTGTGGTGTGCGCGCACGGGATTGGAGGGAAACGAAGAAGGGGGTGTAGGGGGAGGGGAATGAGAAAGGGGCGGAGAGGACGGGTTGCTTCATGCAGCCTTGGGTAGCTCTCTCTCCACGGCGATGCTCTGCGGGGCGTGGTGGATGCGCCACGGCTGGTACACAAGGGTGAAGCTGTACCCGCACTCTGTGATAGGCACGCGTGGGACGCGATGAGAAGGGGTGAGAGACGGTCGAGAAGAAGGGAAAGAGGGGGCAGCGGGGGGGATGAGGAATGGGAAAGGAGGCCGGGCAAACAAGGAAGAGGGGTGAGAGAAGTCGGTCAGCTGAAGTGAGGAACAAGCTGCGTGAACCACTGGCAGAGAAGAACATTCAAGGCTATTGCACTGCTGCAGCCTCCCTCTCCGCCTCCCCACCTGCACCCCCTCACCCCCCGTTTCCCCATGCCTCCCACTCACCTCCCCCTGTCCCAACCATCCCCGCCCTGCCAGCACTCACGGCCCATGTCGACGCCTTGGAACAGCACGCCCACAGCCTTGGTCCCCACGCCATTCCTCCCCACCCGTGCTTTTTGCAAATTCCCTCAAAACCACCTGCACCCCTCCCTCTCTCCCGTCCCCCCAGCACTCACGGCCCATGTCGACGCCTTGGAACAGCACGCCCACAGCCTTGGTCCCAACGCCGTTCCGCTCCGCATTGGCCACGTCCGTCTGGAACCTCTCCAGCACGGCCTGCTCACTGCTGAGCTGCGCGTGGTTGTTCCCCAGCTGGTCCAGCAGCTGCTTGGAACAGCACTCACATCCCATGTCCACACCCTTAGAACAGCACCCCCACAGCCTTACTCCCAACCTCGTTCCATTCCAAATGTGCTTCCTGCAAACCCAACCCAACCCCCCCAAACACCTGAGAAACCCCCCTCTTTCCCAGCACTCACGGCCCATGTCGACGCCTTGGAACAGCACGCCCACAGCCTTGGTCCCAACGCCGTTCCGCTCCGCATTGGCCACGTCCGTCTGGAACCTCTCCAGCACGGCCTGCTCACTGCTGAGCTGCGCGTGGTTGTTCCCCAGCTGGTCCAGCAGCTGCTTGGCTGCGATGGCGGAGGCGGGCGAGGTGGCGCTGTAGATGAGCGGGTACGCGCTGTCACGGGCTAGCTGGGGTGCTGATAGGAGGAGCGAAGGGGATGTGACTGACGAGCCGAAGAGCTGGATGAGCAGCGCTGCCACTGCAAAGATCTGGAGGGGGGAGGGGGAGCGGAGGGGGGAGGTGGTGAGGGTTTGTGGGAGAGGGTGAGGGGGGAGGAAGGGGAGGGAGAAGAAGCGGGCGTAGGGGGAGTAGGAGTAGGAGGAGGAGGAGGAGGAGGAGGAGGAGGAGGAGGAGGAGGAGGAGGAGGAGGAGGAGGAGGAGGAGGAGGAGGAGGAGGAGGAGGAGGAGGAGGAGGAGGAGGAGGAGGAGAAGGGGAAAGAGGAGCAGGGACATGTCAACACCATAAAGCAGGAAGTAACACTGGTTGGCACATGACGCTCTAGAAACGAAACAAAGCATCGCATCAGATCACGCCAAAGCACAGCAGAAATCATATCATCATATCATACCACAGGCAGACCGAACGTGCTGAGGGTGTTGCCAGGGTTGCGCCAGTAGCTAGCCGCCCGGAGGAAGCACACGCCCTTCACCTGCCTCCGAAACACCGCCAGCGGCTTATCCCGTGCCGCCCCCTCGCTCACCAACCCCGCCGCCCCCCCACCGCACTCCCCACCGTGCTCCCCCCACTGCCATCCCCACCGTTCCCCCACCACCCCCGCCTCTCCCGCCCCGTGCTGCTCCCGTCAACCCCCCACCACCAGCAGCGCCGCCGCCACTGCCACCAGCAGCCGCACTGTCTGAACGCACGCCGCTGCTGCTCCCAGGAGAATCCAACAGAGACTGCCCCTCTTCCTCCTCTGGCAAAGCACCTGAAGCGCCGCCCATGCCCAGCACGAGCTCTAGAGCAGAGCCGTCAGCTGTGGGAGGGGCGAGGATGGCCCCTGCTGCCTCCTCATCCTCGTCCTGGAACTTGAGAAACACCTCCTCTAGGGTTGTCGCTTCCATTGCTGCATCCTCCACTCCTAGCTCCGCCGCTTGCCTGTGTGTGGGGGGTGGGGGATTCGGGGGCAGGGGGGAGAAGGGGTTTGAGGCGGGGGGGGGGGGGGGGTTAGTGACTCGAATTCGTCTCTGCTGCCTCCTCATCCTCGTCCTGGAACTTGAGAAACACCTCCTCAAGAGTTGTGGCTTCCATTGCTGCGTCCTCCACTCCTAGCTCCGCTGCTTGGCTGTGCGGAGGAAGGGGGGTTGGGGGAGGTGGGACGGAATCCAGGTAAGACGAATGGTGGCCATTGTGTGCGGGTTGGCAAGAAAGCGGTGGGGGAGGGATTAGGCGGGGCGGGAGGAGGGAGGGAGATGGGGAGGGAGAAAGAGGAGAGGACAGTGAATGAGAAGGAGGTGGAGGAAAGCGGAGAAATGGACGTGAACAGAGATGTCCAAGCAAAACGTGGTGAAACGAGCAGGCACAAAATACCCAGGCCGGCTGATCAAGCAGGCAATACAGCCAGGACACAAGTGAGCAGGCGAAAGGAGGAGACAAAAGGCCCTTGTAAATGAACGCACGTGGAGAGGTCGAGCAGGAGGGCGGGGATGTGCGAGGCGGCATGAAAGGGCAGCGAGTAGGTGACGTAGTCGATCTGGTGCAGGCCTGCAGAGGGCACTAGCACCGCATCCGGCACGTGTGACTGCACGAGCTGCACCACCTTGGACCCCTTGAACACCGCTCCCTTGGTGATGTGCAGCAGGTAGGACAGGCCTGCAGTGCAGAGGGATGGGCACATTGGGGGTTCAGGCGGGGTTTAGGCACTTTGCCCTGCTCTGGCATGCCTACTTGCCTTCCCTTATATCGGCCTGTTCCACTGAAACCTTTGGCTTCTCACGTCCCTTCTTTTCCCCACCGTTTTCACCCTGCCCAGAAACTTTGTTCAAGACCTCCCAACTCTCTCCCTTTCCCCTCCACCTCACTCTTTCCCATCATTTCCCACTCACCATCCTCCTTATCCCCTTTCCGAGGCAAACACACACCCCATCCAGACCCTCTAAATCCCTTCACACCCCTCGGAGCCTCTCAGATCCGCTCTAAAAATCTATATGCCCCACAGAATGCATCCCTCCGGGCTGCCCTGCCCCTCCAATGCAACGCACCGAAGCGGTTGCGCAGGAAGAGCGAGGAGCCGCAGCACTTGAGGCGGCCGTGCGAGAGGATGGCCTTGCGGTCCGCTGCCAGGTCCGCCTCCTCCATGCTGTGCGTCGTGAACACCACCACGCGCCCCGCCTTGCGCCGCTGCAGCAGATCCCACACCTGGGGGGGTGGAGGTGCAGGGGGAATGGACGTGGGCAGGGGGACAGGGACACGGGCAGGGGCGGGGGAGGGGGCGGGGGCGGGGGAGGGGGCGGGGGAGGGGGCGGGAGCGGGGAAAGGGGCATATAGCACATGGGCACAGATTGGGGAGAGAGATGGGGATTGGAAAGTGTAGGGGTTCATTCTCCTCCATGCTGTGTGTCGTGAACACCACCACCCTCCCCGCCTTGCGCCTCTGCAGCAGATCCCACACCTGGGGGGGTGGAGGTGCAGGGGGGAAGAAGAAAGAAAATGATAATTGGGGTGGCGAGGGAAGGAGGTGGGTGGAGAAGGGAGATGGGGGTGGAGAGAGAAAAGGATTTGGAGAGGGTGAGGGGGATACGTGGGATGCACAATTTTATGGGCATGGGGATGGGGATGGGGATGGGGATAGGCATGCATAAATGGCTACTCGAGTGATCTGGCATGGCACGGGCCTCAAAGGAAGCGCGCACCTGTTTCTTGGAGGAGGGGTCCATGCCCTTAGTTGGCTCATCCAACAGCAACACCTAGGGGGAATGGGATGGAATGGGATGGGATGGGATGGGATGGGATGAGATGGGATGGGATGGGATGGGATGGGATGGGATGGGATGGGATGGGATGGGATGGGATGGGATGGGATGGGATGGGATGGGTTGGAATCGGATGGAACAAGACGGGACAGGACAGGAGAGTAAGGAAAGACAGGACGTGAGGGGAGGGGATGGGACGGGGTGGGACGGGAGGGCAGGGGTTGGGACAGGAGGGGAAGGGACGGGCGGGATGGGACGGGGATTGGGGGAAAGCATCTCAGGAATGAAAGGCAGAAAGAAGTGCATAAGCATTTTCCAAGCACCCACAACCGCCCCTCACCCCACCCACCTCTCCCATTCACCCTCCCACCTCTCTCAACCTCTCGCCCACCACTCCCCACCTGAGGCTCCCCAATGAGAGCAATGCTAAGGCTGAGCTTGCGCTGCTGCGAGGGCGAGAGCTCAAAGGCAGGCCTGTCGGCCCACCCCTGCAGCCCCATCTCAAACATCAGGTCGCCCACAGCCTGCCGCACCTTCTCCCTTCCCATCCGCCACGCCCCCAGCCTCCACCCGCCCCTCCCCCCTCCCCCCTGCTGCTGCTGGTCCGCCTCCCCGCCTTCCCCGTCCTCCCCTGCGCCTTCTTGGGTTTCTGCTGCGCTCAGTCGGTCCAGTTCGCCCTTAATCTCTGCAAAGAAGGTCAGCTGGCGCGGGCGAGGGGCAAGGGGGTGGGGAGGGGCAAGGGAGGGGGACGGCAGGGGGAGGGGAGGGGGAGAGGGAGCGGGAGGGGGAGGTGAGGGGAAGGGAGAGCGTGAGGGGAAGGGGAAGGAGCGGGAGGGGGAGGGGAAGCGGGAGGAGAGCGGGAGAGGGTGTGGGAGTGGGAGCAGGAGTGGGAGCGGGAGTAGAAGAGTGGAATTGGGATTGGAAGTGTGGTCTTGAAATCAATCTGCACAGCCGTTTCAATGTGGTGCTATTGATGGTGGTGGTGCTGGTGTTGGTGCTAGTGACGGTGGCAGTGCCAGTGGTATGACCATCCGTCCTTCAATCTCAAGTTGTATTTCCCCCTCACCAAAAACCTTTCTCCCCATTCCCAAACCTCCCTCCCTCTCCACTCCACCCCTTCAACCCCCCTCCCCCACACGCATTCCATACCCCCAACCTCATACCCAACGCCATGCTCAAACTGAATTAACCCCTTCACCGCACCTGCTCCTTCACTGTGAGTACTTCCACATGGATGTTCCTCTGAGGGCAGTGCCCCACTAGGGAGTGAATACAACTTTTTGAGCTGACTCAAAGGTCACATCACAACCCTGTCCTCACATCCCTCGTCCTACTAGCGCTGAGCTCCGACGCACCTGCTCCTTCACTGTGAGAACTGCCACGTGGATGTTCCTCTGAGGGCAGTGCCCCACTAGGGAGTGAATATACGAGTCTGGAAGGGCGAGGAGGGCATGAAGGGGGGGGTGGCGAGGGAACAGAATGGAAAGGGGGGGGGGGGAGGAGAGAGAGAGGGGGAGAAATCAATATCTGAAACGGGAAATAGGAGATGGAGGATATTGAGGTGGAGGGAGATCCTATTTTTGAGTCGACTCAAAAATGAGATCGGAAGTTAAGAATGGGAGCAAAGACAGAAGCAGCAGCAACAACCTGTTGTCCTTAGCATTCACAACCTAGCCTGGGGTAACCAGAACAAGGAGCGATTAGTGCGGAGCAAGATAATCGTCCAAGTGTGAAAGAACACAGAACGCCATGGGATGCATACATGCAAGCATGCATGCACGTACCGCCCTTGGTGAGGCTGAGCCCGTAGAGAAACGCCTGTCCCTTAGTGGGCTTCTGCTGCAACCCTGCCACCGTGCTCAGAGACGTTGCGAAAGACTTTTTGGGAAGTCTCAAAATGGCAAGCATGCAAGCATGCACGTACCGCCCTTGGTGAGGCTGAGCCCATAGAGGAAAGCCTCGCCCTCGGTGGGCTTCTGCAGCCCTGCCAGCGTGCTCAGCACTGTCGACTTGCCCGACCCGGTGTGGCCCTGTGGCGTGCAGTGAGGTGAGGTGAGGTGAGGTGGGGAGCACAAGGAGAACAGGGAACAAGTCAGTGTTTGAGTCGACTCAAAACAGGGCTTTCGCCGCCCTGCCAGCGTGCTCAGCACTGTGGACTTGCCCGACCCGCTGTGGCCCTGTGGCGTGGTGTGGGGCAGGACGCACAGGGAGAACAGGAAGAAATCAGTGTTTTGGGCCGACTCAAAACAGGGCTTTGGCAGCCCTGCCAACGTGTTCAGCGCTGTGGACTTGCCAGTGGCCCTGTGGCGTGCCGTGCGGTGAGGTGAGAAGCATGGACACATTGCAAGAGAATGGGCGTTTGAGGCACATCAAAAGTTGTAGATGGATGGAAAGAGTGCATGGGTCGTTGAGATGCCTTAGAAGCATGCGTAAGAACCGTAGCGGAGCTTGCACGAGAAAGGGAAAGCAGGGAAGTGGGAACGAGATCAGGCTGGAATTGGTTGGGAGCGGGGATTGGAGGAGGGGTGCGTGGGTGGGAGGGAAGAGTTGGAGTGCACACACCCTGCACTCAAGGTGACTTCTGAGAGACCACTCATATAGAACCCTTTGTCTGCTTAAGTAGATTTCCGAGTTGAATCAACACACTGGCATACCAGGAATGCAAAGGACTGCCCCTCGTAGAGCGTGAGAGAGAGGCCTTGGAGTGCATACACCCTGCGCTCGTCCCCACGCCCACCAGCAGAAGCAGCAGCGGCACCAGCACCGTCAGCCGCAGCAGCACCATCAGCAGCACCATCAGCAGCACCAGGGACAGGAGCAGAGGGTCGGCGCGAGCGGCGGGAGAAGAAGGAGGAGGAGAAGAAGGAGGAGGAGGAGAGGAGGCCGCGTGCAGGGAAGGACTTGGCGAGGTGGTTGATGATGAGGGCCGGGTGGAAGCCCCGCACCTCCTCTATGGGCGACTCTGCATGGGCGGAAAGGGGATGGGAGAACAGGTGGGGAACGAGTGCGGGATGGGAGGGGAATGGGTGGGGAGCGACTTCTGAGACATCTCAAAGGCCGCGTGCAGGGAAGGACTTGGAGAGATGGTTGATGATGAGGGCAGGGCGGAACCCACGCACCTCCTCTATGGGCGACTCTGCATGGGCGGATGGGAGATGGGTGGGAGACGGGTGGGGGACGTGTGGGAGAAAAATCGGGACGGGCGACGTATTCTCACTGAAACTACATCGTGCAGTGGGAAGGGAGGCCGGCAGAACAACGACCATAAAGGAGGTGAGCAGATACGAGATAGGGAAATCGAAAGGGTGCAGTGCAGTGCAGTGCAGTGCAGTGCAGTGCAGTGCAGTGCAGGGGGATGAAGAGAGAACATCGTACCAGCATTGTGAGATGATGCTGAGGCAGTGAGAGGCACGGTGCTGGAAGTGGCGGCACTGGTGGTGGAGGTGGAGTGTAAGGGAGCAGCAGAGTCTTGCCCCACATCCAACCTGCACTCCTCACCCTCATGATCCATGTCGTCCCCTCCTCCCTCCTCCTCCTGCCACACACACATGCCAAACACATGCCAAACACATGCCAAACACATGCCAAACACATGCCACACACATGCCACACACATGCCACACACATGCCACACACATGCCACACACACGCACCATTATTATACAGGTGTTTGGTTGGCATCTCTTCGCCATGTTCACACATGCTATACGCCATCCCCCAACGTACTCACTCATTTAACCAGATATACAACCATGGCATGGCATGCAATGGCATGAAAGCTTCTAAGCGTTCTAGCCGCAATCGCTGCGGGCATTGAAAGGGCAGGAATGAACACGGAGAGAGTCACAGAAAGCCATTCGGAAGTCATGACACGTGGGGAGTGTGGGGAGTGAGGGGAGAGTGTGCGGGCGGGTGTGAGGTGGCACCAGCTGAGAGTAGCGCAGGGCATGGCGAGCGGGGAACCAGTAGGCGGCGGAGAAGATAAAGTCCGCAGGCTTCTTAGGGCCGCGCTGGGGGTGCGGCCACACATTGTCCAGGTACCTGCTCGTTTGGCGTGTGCGCATGGGCGTGGGCATGGGCGTGGGCATGGGCAGGGAAGGGCATGAGGCATGCCACAGGGGATATGGCAAGGCAGCATTGTGAGAATAGTACCGGTGTGGTACACAGGTGCACAATGCATGAATGATGCGTCCCGTCATGTCATAGAATGCAAGCTGAGGCATGGAAAAAGTGGGGGATGGAGGTATGCAGCAAGGAGCACGAAGAAAGGGGGAGCATGAGCAGAGGTCGCCTCACATCCATCCCCGACAGAGGAAACGGAAATCTGGGCGCAGAGCATGCATGCATGCACGCACAGATGCACGCACGCAGCGAGTGACTGACCATGCGATGCGAGGAAGAGGTAGAGAGTAGTGTCGAAAATGAATGCGATGATGCAGATGCCAATGGTGAGAACGACTTTGAGCCGACTCAAAAGTCAGCTCGTTACACTGACCATGCGAGGAAGAGGTAGAGAGCCGTGTCGAATATGAATGCGACAATGCAGATGCCGATGGTGAGAAGATTGTCGTCATCCCCTGGGTTCACGCCTACCCGCTGCAACGGAAAAGAACCGAGGAGAAGGGAAAGGAAGGCGAGCGGAACGAAGAGAGTGGGGAGGAGGGGATGGCCAAGGTGGGGTGGGGGGAAGGGAGTGTGGGTTGTAATCTGATCACAGGGTTTCTTGGTGCAAAGAACACTAGGGAAGCAGAATGGGTGGAATAAGGAGAGGGGAGGGGAGTGCCTGGGAGGGTTGCAAGTGAAGCTTGATACAGGATGTCAGTGGGAGTGGGGGAAGGGGGAGAGGGGGGGGAGGGGTGAGGGAAGGTGGGGAGGGTGTGGGATGGGAGGATGGGTGGAGAACGGCACAATAATCAAAATGCACCATGGTAAGAAGGAAGGAAGGAAGGAAGGAGGGAACAGAAGGAAGTGACGGAAAGAAGCGGAGAAAGGAAGGGTGGGGTGGAGAAAGGGAGGGTGGGGTGTGGGGACTCACGGTAAGCCAGAAAGAGCCCAAGGACACGCCCTGCCCCATGCCCTCGGCGCGGGTGACAGTGGTGATGGCGATGGTGAATGGTATGGGGGAGAGCAGCAGCAGCGGGTACACAACGGCTGCTCCCAGGGAGAGCAGCTGGATGGGGATGATGAGCAGACTGCACAGCAGCAGACTGCCCGCTGCTGCCGCTGCTGCCTTGCCCACCTGGTGTGGAGGGAGGGAGCAAGAAAGCAGAGAGGGCGAGAAAGAAGCATTTGCGCAGTCAAGCAAATCAGACATATGCTCCACGTGGACTGTGCTATGTGAATCGAGGTGCTTTGTGATGCTGTCACCTAGTGGCTAGCTAGGGCAAGTGTTAAGCAAGGTGAAGATAAAAGAGATGAGAGAGCACGTTACCTGGGTGAAGAGAGTGCTGAGGGCGAAGGCGAGGGCGATGAGGGAGAGGGAGTAGGGGAAGATGATGCAGAAGAGGGCGGTGAAGGTGGAGGCAGAGAAGAGCGACGTGAGCTTCACTGTCAGTGACTGTGGATGGGGACATACGAACAGAACAGGGAGGGAGGGAGGAAAGGGAAGGAAGGGAGGAAATGTAGTCAAGATGTGGTGTCAGCTTTTCTGTCAGCGACTGAGTGGGGCAAGAAACAGGGAATGATGCGGGGAGAATGGTGGGGAAGGAAGGGTGCGGAATGGCATGGCATGTCATGGAAAGGCACGAAACTGTGGGACGCGTCTTGAGATGAGATGCCTCAAAACTCGCATGAGATGAGACAGCTATTCGGGCAGCTTACAATGACGGCGGAGGTGACAGCAGCCATGAAGGCGTATGTGAGCAGCCACGCCTTGTTTTAGGCGCCTTAAACTCTTTGAGATGAGACAATCACAGAGTCGCCCTCAAAGGGGCAGGCAGGCAGGCAGGCAGGCAGGCAGGCAGCTTACAATGACGGCGGAGGTGACAGCAGCCATGAAGGCGTATGTGAGCAGCCACGCCAGCCAGGCCTCCTTCTAGGCACCTCAAACCTCGTGTGAGATGAGACAACTACAGAGGTGCCTCCGAGGGCAGCTTACAATGACGGCGGAGGTGACAGCAGCCATGAAGGCGTATGTGAGCAGCCACGCCAGCCAGTACACGGACTCTCGCAGCCCCATCAGCAGCATGCAGTCCTGGCGGGAGAGGAAGAGGGGCGCGGCACGGAAGGGCGGAGAGGAGTTACTCTTTGAGAGTTCTGAAAAGTAATGTATGAGTAGCCTTCACAAGTGACTCCAGCACGCCAGCCAGTTCACGGACTCTCGCAGCCCCATCAACAGCATGCAGTCCTGGCGAGTCGAGGGGTGTAGCGTGGGAGGGCGGTGAGGGGGAGTGTTGGGGAAAATCACTTTCAAATCGTTTTCGAATCAGGTATACGGTCTCTTTTTCAAAGCAAGCATACGGTCGGTCAGCCAATTCTTACGGAATGACTCCCTCGCGTCCGTCAATGCACGGACAGACGGACTCACACGCATGCAGCCCCATCAGAAGCATGCATGCAGGGAGCCCCTCGTCCCCCTCTCATCCCCCTCTCGTCCCCCTCTCTACTTCAATCTTGCCCCTCCGTACTACCCTGTGAAACCTTCTCATCCACCCTCTTCCAGCCGGTCAGGTCTCATCTCACCTTGAGCAGGCTCTCCTTCTCCTGCACGATCTGCGTGATGGCGACCTGCAGCATGGGGATGAGCGACAGCACCATGTAGATGGCGCAGAACAGCTGGAACTCCGTTGTGGCGAATGACCTGCAGAGGGGGGAGGGAGCATGGGAGACCAGGGCATGAGGAGGGTTATAGGGGAGTTTGAGGCGGGGGGCATGGGGGTGAGCGAGAGCAGAGCAGCATGTAGATGGCGCAGAACAGCTGGAACTCCGTCGTGGCGAAGGACCTGGAGGACATGGCAGGGGGTTGGGCATAGGGATCGTACGGGAGAGTATATGGGAGGCAGGGGGCATGGGGGGAGGGGGGGTGGTGGGGGGGGGGGAGAGATGGTGGGCCATGGAGGAGGCATCGGAGGGGTATGGAGTGGGGCATCATCGCAGGCAGGGAGAGACGCAGGGAGAGACGCAAGGAGAGAGGCAGGTACGCAAAAGGACTGAACATAAGTGGGGTTGAGGCAGGCACGCAGCGTACTTGTGCAGTTCTGGTAGCGGCATGTGCTGCTCGTGCACAGTGATGGGGTTGCTCTGCATGCCACATGACGTCCCATTCCATGCTGTCTCCATCAGTGCTGACGTCACCGCCAGCTGTATCGACAGGAAGCCTGCTCGGGTAAAAAAAGGAGAAGGGGGTGGGGAAGATGGGGCGAGGGAGAGGGGGGGTTGAGGAGAAGGAGGAAAAGGGGAGAGAGGGAGGGGAAGAGGGAGGGGGGGAGAGAAGAGGGGGATTAGGAAGGTCAGAAAAGTGAAGTGTGTGAGAAATCGAGGAGGCTAAGCTAAGAGACAACAGAACAGAAGTAAGTCATAGAGCAGAGGTGATTCGGCAATTCTTGCAGTGTCATTTGAGTCAGAGGAGTGTGAGAGCGACCTGAGGAGAGGTATTGCTGGGAGCGGCAGACGGTGAGAATGTACTCTGCTGCAGCCAGCCGACACTCACAACTGAGGAGTGCAAGAGGAGAGGTACTGCTGGGGAGTCGAGTAAGAGGAGTGAAAGGGTCACCTGAGGAGAGGTATTGCTGGGAGCGGCAGACGGTGGGAATGTACTCTGCTGCAGCCAGCCGACACTCGTCCGTGCTGGCCCGCTCACTGGTCGTGCCCGGCACCTGACTGCCTGCTCGTGGACAGAGCAGGGGGAGGGCGGGAGAGAGTGGGCGGGAGGTTGGGAGGGAGGGTGGGAGGGAGGGCGAGGGGAGGGCACGTATGGTGAAAATTCGTAAATTGTGCTGGCTCGCTCACTGGCCGTGCCCGGCACCTGACTGCCTGCTCGTGCACGGAACAGGGCGAGTGCAGGAGGGAGGTGTTGGAAAAAAAGGGAGGGGAGCGGAGAGGAGGGGTGGGAGGAGAGGCGGAAAGCGGGGCGTGATGAGGGCCGGAACAAAGGGCGGGGAGAGGCAGAAACGAGGAGGGGGGGCTGAAAAGTGAGGGTGGGCGGGTAAGTGGTTGGAGCGAAGAGAAAGAATGGCAGAGGATTGGGGGAGGTGGTCAAAACATAGGAATATGCCAAGCGATATTGAAGTCACTTTTGAGAATTCTCAGAAAAGGTGGAGGAATGTACCGTTGATGCGGATGGTGAAGCGCGTGTCTGGAGGCAGGGCAACACTGTCTGCCGCCATGCCCTCAAACTCCACTGCTGCGAACAACGCCTGGCGCGGGGTGCGGTGGGATGGGATGGGATGGGATGGGAAGGGATGGGATGGGATGGGATGGGATGGGATGGGATGGGATGAGTAGGGATAGGATGGGATGGATGCGATGGGATGCGATGGGATGGATTGGGATGGAACGATATAAGCGAAGTCATTTGCGGGTGGGATGACCCAGCCTGTGACAGGAGGGGAGGGCATGGGAGAAATGCAATGAGCGTGACCAGGGATGTGGATTCACGGAACGTAGAGCATTGGTGAGAAGGCATCGCATTAAGAAAATGAGGGAGGGTGGAGAACGAGAACGAGAGGACGAGAAAGTGAAGGAGAGGAAAAGTGGGAGGAACCTGCCACACTGCTGTTCTGCTCCCCTGCTGCCTCTCTGCCTCTCTGTCCCCCTGCCTCTCTGACTCCCTGCCCCCTGCCTCTCTGACTCCCTGCCCCCTGCCTCTCTGACTCCCTGCCCCCTGCCTCTCTGATTCTCTGCCTCCCTGACTCCCTGCCTCTCTGCCTCGCTGCCACACTGCCACGCTGCCACGCTGCCTCGCTCCCTTGCTCCCTGTTTGCCTGGCTGCCGCCCTGCCTGGCTGCCGGGCTACCGTGCTGCCTTGCCTGGGGGTGAGCGTAGTGAAACTCGGAGAGCTCCTGGCTCGACTCGAAGGCCTCCAGAACGAGCGTGGACAGGCGCGGCTGACTGGTGCCGCACAAACGGGGGGAAGAAACAACAGGGGACATTGGGAGGTGCATAAGGGGTTCGCACAAGGGGGCGCAAAAGGGGGCGCAAAAGGGGTTCGCAAAAGGGGGCGCACAAGGGGGCACATAAGGGGAAACATAGGCGGGGGTCAGATAGGGGGACACACAGGGGGACACATGGGGGGAGGGGGGGCACACAGGGAAGGGCCGGGGGGATCAGTGCCTGCCGGTGATGGCCATTGGATGTGGATGGGAAGAGGAAAGTACATGGGAAAGGCAGCAGCAGCCTATAGGCATGGGCAGTGGCACGGCACTCGCAAGGGCATGGTGCAGAGACATGGGCATGGGTATAGGCATGGGCACTGGCATGGGCATGAGCACGGGCGAGAGGGGAGGAGGCTTACTTCCTGCCGAGATTAGTGACAGCCCTGTCCATGACGCTGCGAACAAGCGGGTTGTCCGGGATGTATCCAATCTGAGGCCCCGCACAGGAAACAAACAAGCGAGTTGGTGCAAGGGAGAGGGGGCGAGGAGGAGGGGGGTTGGGAGAGACAAAGGAGGTGAGAGAGCGCTATCAGGTTACCAATGGAAAGAGGAGGAGGCTCTCTCAGGGGAAGGACCCGAGACGCATGGTTTGACAGGTCACTGTAACTCCACACCACCACCGGAACCAACAACAGCAGCAGCAGCAGCGGTGGCAGCAATTGCTGCAAGAAGAAAGTCCGAAACTCGTACCACAGCACGTGCTCTTACCGTGGTGGCGGCGACGATGTCGCGCACGGGGTAGCAGCGCGTGCGCGCGTCAGCGGCGTAGCACATGGGGTCGACCACGTCGCCCACGGGCTCCGCGGGGAAGGTGGCGTCCGGCTGCAGCACCTTCACTATGATCAGCAGCACTATGATGTACACCTGCGGGGGGGGAGGGAGGCGCGGGGAGGAAGGGGAGAGACGGGGGACAATTTGGGGGGGGGGGGGGGGGGGGGGGGGGGGGGGGGGGGGGAGGGGGTTGGGGAGAGGGGAGGGTGGGGAGGAAATGGGGTGGGAGGGGTGAGAGTGGGGGGAGGATGATGATGGTGATGAGATGATGCATCTAGGAATTGCTCAGCGAGACCTTTACACGTAATACCACATCGGCTCGAAATTCTCACATCCTCGCAGGATTAGCACTCGCGTAACCCGCTCCTAAGGCTCGTGCGACCATCCGACAATCCCAATGTGCACAAGATGCGAGGACCAGATTCGTTGAATCTAAAGCATTTCGCGGGAAGCGACGACATTCGCAATCGACCACAACGTCGCGTCACACACAATGACCTCGCAGCAAACTTGCGGCGATCGGATCGACCGGTTTCGCATCGCATCACTTCACGCCCATAAATCTCGAATTCCCTAACAGCTGCAGAGATCCGAATCCCCTCGTGCTCACCGGAAGGAAGATCTCCAGAAGGGTCTGCGAGCCGTCGCTTTTGAGTCGACTCAATAGCAGTCTCGAAATCCCGACAGGCAGCAGAGATCCTATCCGAATCCTGTCGTGCTGTGCTCACCGGAAGGAAGATCTCCTGAAGGGTCTGCGAGCCGTCGCGCCATTTGATGAGCAGGTTGCGTCGAAGGGTGGCGCGAAACTGCCGCGCCCACGACGCCGCCATGCCGTCTCCGAGTCACCGCTTCACGCGGCACCGGACAGCAAGCAGGATACAGCAGCGATCGAAATGCAGGGTTCGTCCCGGACCTTATGGACTATAAAGGTGCGAAACGCGCTGGCTCTTGATCTCCTACCAGATTCGCCTATCTAAAATAGACTTCGGCTCAGCTGCTGTGGATAAACATGACGCCCTGAAACTCTCGTCCTCGTCAATCACTTGGCGATCCCAGTGCCATTAAAATCAGGTAAGAACAGCGACAGAATCGAAGTGAACGAGAATGAATCTGACAGACATTGGATCAGGCTTGCCGAAATCCGACCCTCACGGTTCCACCATCCGCAGAGATTCAGCCTCCCTCCCACCAGCAACTGAAACTCGGTTGCCCTAAAATCAGCAGTCTAGCGAGCAGCCATTACACGTGCATGAGAGATCGCAGAGACGGAAGTTCCAGCCAACATTCAGACCAGCACTGATCTGCGAGGATGATAGGAGAAACCAATGAAGAGAAAGGAGAGACCAATGTTGTAAATGGGACCGACGGAAATACCAAGGGGAAGGTGGGCTTGGTATGAGCTGGAAATGTTTGGTGTTGCTGATTCGTCCGCGGTATTGTGAATGAAGAGCCGCCGTTGCCTGCTCCCTGCCAAACACCATTAAGAACTGTAATCTGTACAAAACGTGTGCGTTTTATGTTTTGGGTGTAAATCTGTACAAATCTATAGACACGCCACCTATGGCAGTTTTATATTTAATTATAATAATCAAACGTTCTACTACTATGCAGTATTTGATGTTTTTTGCATTCTCGAGGTCTTTTTGTATTCGGATTAGCAGATGAGTTGTGATTTCACTTTTACGGATTTCGAATAGCGGGTATAGCGCTCATCCGAAATTGTCAGGCCACGCAAAGCGGGAAGTCTTGAGCATTTTCGAGTTTGACGCGGTCCGTTGCCCGCCAGAGATCCTAGCACGCCTTCTTTCCCCCTCCAGTCATTCCACTCTTCCGCATCTTTTCATTCCTCCTCATCCTCAGTTCCTGGTCCTCAGTTCCGCCTTCTTCTACGGTAGAGTAACTTTAGTCCTCGTTTTCGCAGCTTCTGGAGAAATATCCGTTCAATCTATTCGCGCAACTGCATGGCAAGCGTCAAGTCGCAAATGGCGTCACATACACCGAGGTTATTAGCATCCGGGGGAAACTCCACTTACTTTCGCGACACCAGCCTGAAGTTCGAGTTCAGGAGCCTTCGATCGCATGCACCGCCTGGTGTCTACGTCGCTCCAGCAGCGGGGATGCCGCTGACGTGGAAAGGTGTGATCTTTGTCGGTCAAAGCGCGAGCGTCGTGGATACGTTAACTGAAGCTGGGCTGACTAATTACATGGGAGAGCATATCAGCGACAGCGACTCCGCTGGAGCAGTCGCAGTCTCGCAGCACGAGCTAAGCGGCGAGCAGAGTGTAACAGATTCTCGTAGCTTGAAGACGGAAGGTCAGGGAAGTACCAGCTCCATTGGGTACAGCGGATGGTACGAGGGCGGGATTTTCGAGTTCCTCATCTCCTTCCCGAACGACTACCCGCGATCGCCCCCTCAGCTGCGCTTCGTCCCTCCGCCGCTTCACCCGCAGATCGCGGCGGACGGCCTGCTTGTGCTCGACGACGCGCGTCCGCCGCTCCAGGAGATCCACACCCCGCAGGCCGCGCAGCGGAACACGTCAAGCGGCAAGGGCAGCGGCCACGTCATCCCGCTGCTTTTCCACGTCCACCGCATGTTCCAGACCCTCCGGCCGTGGGCTCCAAATCGGAACCCGCTTCGACTGATGAACGGCCCAGATGCCGGAGCCATCATCATCGCGAGCGCAAGGAACGGCGGAGAAACCGCGGGAGAGGGTCACGGGTGGGAGGGTGGAGAAGAAGGGGCAGGAGGGAGGGGAGACGGGGCAGCTGTGGGCAATCCCGCTGCTGCTGCCATGTTAGCGCATGCGCGAGACGATTTGTACGCTGCTGTGCGCCGGTGTGTGGCTAGCTCCGTGAAACGCGCTGAGACTCAGGCTCGGATACGTGCAGGTTTCTGGGAGACTAATGGGAGGATGCGAGCAGGAGTGGAAAGAGCAGATCAGCCCAGGAGCAGCGGTGCGCGGAGCAGCAGGCGCAGAAGGAGGAGATGATTCAGCGTGTGTTGGCGGGTGTGAACGAGGGCGGGACTTGTGGCGGAGTGTACTGACGAAATGACAAAGGGCTGGGTGTGTGGCGAAAACGAATTTGTCTCTAGGTGTGGTTGATAGGAGTAACAATAATCGTTGTTTGTCCATAAAAGACTAGTATACTGTATATCGCAGCGTATTTACTCTCTCTGCGCAGGTCGGCACAGTAATTTCCGGGTGTACCCAAGCAAATGCTTAACCTAATAATAAAAGGTGGCAGTATCATTGTACAAAAAGAATACAAAACAAAGCAGGAGTTCAAATCTCGGTATTAAGGGCTTGCCAGCCGTATGAGGGAGAGGGGTGGCATGGCACACACCATGTGGCACACCTTTTAGTGCACCATAAACCAGTAGCACACTACCCCAACTCAGTATAGCCCCGTTGGCAGCAGCTGAACGGAGCCTGCGTTGCAAGTGGCAACTCATGGCGGGAGGCTCCCGCTGTTGGCAGCACAGGTGAAGAGGGGCTCGATCCAGACTGAAACACGTGCGCTCAGCTTGGCCCACCGTGTGTGTAAATGCGGCCGACTGAGGGAATTGGAACGAAGCCGGTGATATCAGCTCACCGCCTTGTGTCCGTGTGTGTGTAAAGAGAGGTCTGACTGACCAGCAGTGTAGATGCAGCAGCTGTTGGTCTGCGCGCAGCAGACTGGCTTAGCTTCAAAGTGGAAGAGAGGCCTGTTAGTAGTGTGCCAAGCGATAGAGGGTCACCCGGAGAGAGCAGAGAGCAGAGAGAAGAGAGACGAGAGCCCTCAAATGGCTGAAGGCTGCTCCAGCCAAGGATACAGTTGCGAGTCGAGCGCGTTGACAGAGCTTGATGATACATTGAAGCGGTATTGACTTGACGACTCCGTGTTAGTGGCGTATGAAGGGAACTGGGGATTCCCTTAGGATGGCTAGTGCGCACACCAGTCCAGATCCTGCACAGCATGAGAAAAGGAGAGAAAGAGAGCCATGAGCGATGGGGTCAGGACAGGGTCAACCAGATACACTGCGCGAAAGAGGAAAAGGAGGATCAGGATCCGAGGAGAAAGCGTAAGTTGGGAGGACGCGAGCAAAGAGCAGGGAGGGTGAATTTACCTCTGGAAGTGCGGAGCTTCGGGTTTGAACGCCTTCCTCCTGTTCCTCCTCCCACCACCACCAGCGCCTCCCATGGGAGATGGAGCCAGGGGCGATCCCGTGCTTGTGCATGGGCTGCTGCCACTGGGCGTTGCTGCAGGCCGGGGAGTGCCCGCCTCCTCCTCCTCCTCCTCCCCCTCCTCCTCCTCCTCGTCCTTGTCTGCCTCCTCTTTCTCAGCCATCTCTTGATATTCGTCTTCGTCTTCCTCCTCCTGCTCCGCCTTGTTGTGCTGCAGGAGTGGCTCACAGTGATACCCAGTGGGGCGCAGTCGGATGTTGGGGCACCGGGAGTCGCAGCAGCAGCAGCAGCAGCAGCAGAAGGGGGCAGCAGATGGCGAAACGCATGCCGAAGCAGACGCGGAAGCAGCCCCGCTGGGCCACTGCTTCTTCGTGACAATGTCAGCGAGAGATATGTCGGGCAGTCGCAGCAGCTGCACGCCGGAGCTCCTGCCCGAACCTACAGGCCCGGAACACCTCGAAGGGGCGGGTCCGATGGGAGGCGAGACTGGTGACGGGGTGGAGGAAACATGGAGATAGCGCGTGCACGCCCCTTGCTGCGGGGTCACCGGGCCAGTGAGTGCTGCTGCCTTGGGCGATCTTACAGCCATTTCCTGCTGCTCCAGCTCTTGCTTTTGATGCCTCTGCTCTTGTTCCTCCTTGCAATCTATCTCCATACCCGTGCAAGTAGTGGTGGTGGTGGCGGTGGTAGAGGCAAGGGTGGGTCGTCTCAGCAGCTGCATGTGAGAGTGCATGGTGGAGGTGGTGGGCTGAGGCGTGCAGGGCGCACAAGGCATGGTGGTCATGCTGCTGCTGCCTGCCATGCCACCTCCGAGCAGACTGCACCCAGCAGAAGCAGCAGCAGCAGCAGCAGCTGCTGCTGCAGCACGTAGCTTCTGTTCTGACCTCTGTGCTGGGTCCTGTGCTTCCAGTCTCGGACTGAGTGTCTGCTCGTCCTTACCCTTACCCTCGGTTACAGCAGCAGTGCCAGTGGGAGCAGGTGACGAGGAGAGAGCGAGCGAGGCGAGCGGCTTGAAAGGAGAGCCATTGAGCGAGAGCCAGGACGGGGAGGGGATGCCTGAGGGGCGTGATGTGTGAGACGACTGCTGCTGATGGAAGTGGCTGACAGGCGTGAGTTGCTGGCATGGAGTGCAAACGTTTTGCACCTGGGGAGAGAGGCAAGAAAAGAAACACAGCGCAGGGAGAAGTATGTTATTATTTGTTTCTGTTGTTGTTGTTCATGGGTGGATGGGAAGCAAGAGACAGGATGAAAGGTGGGAGCTGGGAAAGGGAGGCGAGAAGGAAGAGCTGATAGGGGTACAGGTGAGAGGGGGAGACAAAAAGGGTGAAGGGAGTGGGGGAGGAGAGAGGAGGGAGGAGAGGTAGAGAGTAGAGGGTCAACGCTCACCATGGCTGACGTGCTACCAAGGCAAGGAGACGGGAAGACATCTGGATCCACAGACGCACATCGCGTGTAGTACCCATCCCTTCCCCTCGCGCCTCCCTCCCCCATCTCCTGCTCCTCCTCGCCTCCATCTCCCTCTCCCTCGCCCGCTCCCTCTTCCCCCATCTCCTCCTCGTTATTCTCATCTCCCTCTCCCTCCTCCTCCGCCTCCACGAGCACGCGTCGCCGCACTCGCCTCGCATGGGTCGTCATCCCATCCTCAAAGCCATGGCACGGAGCATAGCTCCTGGCTTCCACTCCCTCGTTCTTCACATCCTCATCATCCTCCCCTTCCTCGCCCTCCTCTTCCTCTTGTGCATCATCCGCATCATCAGTCCCGTCATCATCATCACCATCGTCAGCAGCAGCGTCGGCATCCATACAACTTTTGTTCCCGTAGTCTCCGCCCTCCCGCTCCTCCTCCTCCTCTTCCTCCTCCTCCTCCTCCTCCTCCCCCCCGTGCACCACAGCAGAAGCTGTGGCAACACTCTGCTCTCTCACAGGCGGCATGCCCGTGGCCGGCGGAGAGGGTATGCAGTGGAGGGCGGCCATTAGAGCTTCCTGGAAGGATCCGGAAGGGCGCGAGAAAGGAACAGACACACACGTTAGTTTCAACACCACAAAAAACGGGAACTCACGAGACGAAATCGATGGCAGAGAGATGCAACGTGAAGCCAATTTTTACTTTTAGCAAGATCAGGACCGGGAGCGGGAGCGGGAGCGGGAGCGGGAGCGGGAGCGGGAGCGGGAGCGGGAGCGGGAGCAGGATAATCCGCTAAGTATCGTCCGTTCACAAGCAAGCAGGCGCACCTTAATCTGGGCGGTGTGAGCGCCGCCATCCACGGCAGCAGCAGGGCCTGATAGGAGCGCGTGAATGGCTGCGGAGCACTCCTGCAGTGCCTCGCACGACGGACATCGCCAGCACGACGGGTAACGCGCAGTCGCCGCAGAGGCGGTAGCAGCAATAGCGGCGGCAGAAGCGGCGGCGTCAGCGGCAGGGGCGACGGCGGAAGCAGCGGCGGAAGCAGCGGCGGAAGCAGCGGCGGAGGCCGCAGCGTCGTCTGGAAATCGCAGAGCTGAAGCGGGAATGCGGCGCGACAGGGGCGATTGGGAGGCTGATGCGGAGATGACGTGGCGAGGTTGGATGCAGGACACGTGGAAGTAGCGGCCGCATATCCCCGAACAGAGCAGCAACGGCTCGTGGGAAACTTTGGCGGCCTCTCCTGATGCGGAGGCTGACGTGGCAGGCACGGGAGGGGAGGAAGGTGTAGCAGCAGCAGTCTTGTGCTTGCACCGAATGGACCAGCCCTGCAAAATGAGCAAGAGAGTGGGCAGCGGGAAAAACAGGAATAGAGGTTAAATTTTGTTGTTCCTCTTAGAAATACAAGTATTTTAAAAAAAGGGGGCGCAGCACACAGCAAACTAAAGCTTATGAAAAAAGCAGCAATGTTGGGCTAAGAAAAAAAATATTTTAGAGTTCCCTTCATAGGGAAAAGAGAGATAAGAAAACATGACGCCTACAATTTGCAGCCGAGGAAGTAATAACCGTACCTGGAAAGCTGCTTGAGGCGAGGATGATAGCGAGCTGCTTGAACTATGGTGACCCTGGTGACTAGCTGCCTCCTCCCCTTCCGCTGCTTCCGCCTCCCTCTCCTTCCTGTTCCCCGTGCCACCGTGCTTCCAGCCTGCCTTGCAGCTGCTGTTGCCATTGTCGTTGCAGTTGCCGCCGTTGCTGAGCGGTCCTGGCATGGTGTCCGCGGGCTTGCCATCGGCGCACTGGCTGCGCGCGCGGCAGTAGAGCGCGAGCTTCTCCACCAGCTCCCGCGCAACCAGCGCCGCGTGAACCGCCGCCTTCCGCGCGGCCTTGGCGCCTGACAAGCGCGAGTTGTCGAAGACGTTGCTGTTGACAAGATAAACATCAAAGATAAAACGAACGGGAGTATAAGGGAAGAGGGACGCTTAATACGAAAGATAGTTGCTGATGAAAAAAACCTAATTGATTTTGAAAAAGAGAGAAAGGGTGGAGAGAGAAACACAAGAAAATACAGGGAAAAAAAAACCTAACCATAATGCCAAGAATGACCATCAGGGTCAAGAGAAAATAAACTCAAAATGTTTAGAAAGTAAGCGAGACGGTTAGAAGACTCACTCATCCTCCTCCTTCTCCTCGTCTTCATCGTCGTCATCATCATCCGATGCGTCACGGCACGCGGGTTCCTTGTCGCTCCAGCGCATCTTGCGGATCGTTGCCAGCTCCCGCAGCACCATGGCCTTCACTCTCGCGATCTCCCCCGCGCACGACACCTTGCGGGGGCTGCGCCTCTTGCGCTTCACGCCCGCGCTGTCCACCACAAATCCCCCCGTTTTGAAGCTTGAGACCTCGAACGAGTCGCCCACTCCAGCACCAGCAGCGGCGGCGCGGGCGCGAGCACGAGCAGCAGCAGAAGCGCCGGATCCAGCGGCAGTAAGATCGCCAACGGCCGTCTCGCCTTCCTCGACGTGCGACGCTGGGTGCTTCGTACAGTCTGCGTCTCCTTCGCTGTCTTGCGACCGGCTCTGCGACGGACCTTGCGACTGGCTGCGCGACCGGCTCTGTGACCGGCTGTGCGACTGACTCTGCGACTGCGACTGGCTATGCGAGCGACTGGTCTCGGCATCGCTCGCATGACCGGGATGCGAAGATTCCTCCCATGCGGAGCACCCAGCCTGACCCGCACGGCGCGGAGGGCCGCAGTTCACGCCGCAACTAGCGCCGGCACCAGCGGGAGATGTGGCAGCACCGCCCCTCGCAGCACCAGAGGCGGTTAGATTAGTGTCAGGCGTTTGAAAACCGGCGGCGGCAGCGGCGGCGGCGGCGGCGGCAGCTGCTGCAGCGGCGGCGGCGTGCGGTGGGAGACCGGTCTGGTGCGCAAGCGCGGACTTGGCAAGCTGCTGCACCATCAGCTGAGCTTCAGGCTTTAAAGACCCCAACGCCATACCGGGAACGTGCATGAACGGCAGAGCTACTAAAGCCGCGGCGCCGCAAACGCAGCGCCTGGAGGGGCAACCGCAGGCCCTGCGCCCCGTGCCCGGACCTTTCCCCTTGGGTTTCTTCGCGTGCGGAGGCTTGGGCGGAAATGCACCGCACTTGCACATGCGCGCAGGGCATCCGCACGCCCGCCGACCCGTCCCCGGACCCCTTCCGCCGAGCTTCTTCGGCAGGATAAACACCTTTCCCGGAGGTAACCCCGTTGCCGCAAATGCGCCATACGCGTTAAGGGCATAAGAGGAACTGGCAGAGGCGGCGGCTGCGGCGGCTGCTGCGGCGGTGGCGGCGGCGGCTCGGCAGCCGCAGGGGCCAGTAGCGGCGCAGCTGAGGCAAGGCGGGAGAAGTCCGAAGGTCTGATGGGCGGAATTGTCTTGCGTGGCGGTGTCTTTGTGAGAGCGCGTGCTGCTTCCGTTGTTGTGCCGCGGCGACGGAGACTGGACGGGAGAACGCGAGGCGCGAGGGGAGTGGGAAGAGTCGCCTAGGCTGGCGGACGCTGACATGGGACTGCGGTTTGTCGCATGCGTTGACTGCGACGACGACTGGGGTGGCGTTGACTGGAGAAGCGTTGACTGGAGTGTTGACGGAGGAGCGCGGCTCGCGGGGGTCTCGTTCTGGTGATCCGCATGCGAGAGGGAGAAATCGCTAGGCACCTGCCGCCACAGGGATCTCGACCGGCTCACACGCGGGCCCGTGGAGGAGCAAGAGGAGCACGAGGCGGGCGAGGAGCAGGGAGATAGCGTTGGTGGCGGCGAGTCTAGGGCGAACTTTGGAGCATCCGGAGCGGTGGAGGGTTTACGGCGGGAGGTGCGGGGAGAGTTGATGCGAGAAGCGGGAGATTGCATGGTGCTGTGCGGTTACCAGAGCTGCTGCGAGCCGCGGGGAAGGCTGAGAGTAGATTCGAGGGCGAGAAGCAATAGAGGGTTAAAGAGTCTGCGCGACATTCGGCAGGAGAAGATTAGCTTAGACGAACAATGGCGATGAGAGAGCTCTGTGTATTACAAGGCAATAACAGCTCAAGATCCCGCTGGGTACAGGAGTTAAAAGCTTAATGTGCAGCCAGAAAGTGCGTTGGCGCCTTGGAATGCTACGATTCTGAATTCCTCAGTCGCGATACGACCTTTAAGGGATAACGAAAGGCAGAGGCTGCGAGGGGCCGTGAAGGCGCTGTATAGGCGGCTATAATGGTTGGTCGGGGAAGAAAGGTGGCGATGGAGAACAGGTGAATGAAGAGATTGACGTTGACGAGTGGAGATAACGGGGCTCGACTCTCGTCTCGTCTCACAGTGGTAACTCCTTGCTGAATTCACGACTGAAATCCAGTGATATTCTATATTAGACTTCAAAACTTGTGGCTTGAAGAGACATTTGAGGCGCGTGATTGATCACTTGCTCACTCTGGGCGCTTCTTGCTTGCGGAACGGTGACGGGACGGAACGAGGTCATGCAGGGTGCGGCTGTGGAAGTTAGTATGGTGAGGAGCATTGTTTGTCACTACGAATAAACGGCCGCAAGTCCGTCACGACGAGCGGACGGGTCATGGGTGACGGACGGGGTGTATCGACTGGAATTCGGGAATGATACGAGGGGAAAACGAGGTGGGGAATCTTCAGCTGCCTGGGACGCTGCGCGAACCGAGGAGTAACATGTAGCTGACATTCACGCTCCCTCTCATTTGGCTCGGCTCGCCTTGCAGCGAGTGCACTTTTCCCTGCTATTCCTCCACACCACGGGTCTTTTGTAATCCGTATCCTCCTAATTTCAAAGCCCCAGCGACCATAGTGTACTGTTCCGTCACTTGGTTTCGGTCACAGCCGCTTGGTGCAATTGCCTTCCCGCACCACACGCAAATTTCCGCCGATGACGACGAGACGACCCGACTCTTGGACGGGCGAAGGAAAATGCATTTTTTCGTCCAAGGTCTGGCGCGGGGCTGAGGTGTGGTGGTGTGCTGGGCACGGCGGCTCGGCTCGCAAATGGCCTAATCCATCGAGACTGGAGATGTATTGAACACAGGATATTTAGCCACGAGGAAAATCGGACGGTCGTGCGATAATATTGAAACTGCCAGCGCACTTAGCGGAAGTAGGTTTTGGCTTCGTCCCGCAATTCTGGTTTCTGGCGACGGCGGAACCCTCCACGGGAGCTCGACCTTGGGTGTTGCTGCTGATGTGCGTTTGCATGTCGGGCGCGCCGAGTGGGGAAAAGCTGCATCTCCTCCCCTCATCAGCTGTTGGCCTAGCATACATGAGCTGGGCAGCAGCCAGCATGATCCAGCCATAGGGAATGTCACATGTTACTGCTCTGTGTCATTCCCAATGTGGTTTCCCAAACGAAACAAGGCGAAGCGGGCGAAACCGAGGCTCTTCAGCCAAAATTGCTGGGCCGATTTTCGGGGCGTATGTCAAGCCAAATGGGGCTGGAATCGCGCGATAATCACGCTGAATGCGAAAAGCACAGCGCGCCAATTTATATGGATAGATGCGGCCGACTGGGCTGACCGAGTCCATGCTGGTGTGTGAAGTGCAGGTGAGGACGTGGACCCCAAATTGTGCTAAAGAGCCGACATAACGACGAGGATTCCGCCAGCATTTCATGAACCACTGCCTCGATGGTCAAAGTGAGTTTACCAGGTGTCTTCGTGCGACTGGCAAGAGAAAAATAAACGAGTAAAGTCAAAATGCTGAACGCCCTCAAAATGGGGGTGGCATGGAGGTACAGTGCAGCATCTTTCAGCGAAGCATCAGTGGATGGCAACCATCCGATACAGTCAACCAAATGAAGGTAAGGTGTATTGGATACAGTGTTAGGCTTGTATGCTACTTCACACACAAATGAATACTCACATTTTCCGTGGGGATACTTCGTCTCATAATTTATTTCGATATAGACTGCACATTCCACCAGCGTATAGTGCCACGTGTAGTATGATTTCAGGCACGAATCGCTGGCAGATATATCGTGGTCAAAATTCACTCTCACACGTTAACAACGAATATGGCAGCCAGATACCTAGTTGAGGGCAGTCTGTTCTCATTTATTCCGCTATTCCTAAGTTATGTCACCTATGTGCCACAACAGCACTCCCTTCTGCCTGCGGTGGCTGCAAGTAAGTCATGTTAGCTGGTGGCAGCAATCTCGAAGCGGCAGAGTGGGCAGGTGCGGTTCCGACAAAACCATGTTGTGATGCACGCGTTGCTGCATCCAAAGCAGATGGCGCGATGGGAGTGGCATTGAGACCAACTTGAACTGATTGCAAGGGGAAAGCAGCTTAATGCAGAGCGACAATAGGCACGGCAAGGATGTGGAGGGAGGCAACCGCTTACAAAGGAGCCAGTTAGCAAGTTGGTGGAGAGAAGTACTTACTGGAAGGTGTGGTGGCAAGGGAGATTTGCCAAGAGGTCGCCCTCCACTGGAGGAGAAAGGCAGATCTGCCAGGAGAGGGGATAGGTTTGGTAATGAAAGAGAAAGGCTTTATTAGACACAGGGTGCCTTGAAATTAGTACCGATTACTGACATAAACACGAGCAAGTACTGGGTACAAGGTATGGATAGCAGAGGTGCGGAGAAGAAACTGCATAGGCCGAGACGAGAAACATGTCCAGTGTTGAGCGATCGGTGAATATGTGGCATAGGCGTGTGGGCAGTGCATGTAGTGCAGCAATTCAAGAAAGGCACCTGGCAGTCTGGGTGTGAGTGCAGGTCAGCCTGGGTCACAGTGAGCCGATCCAGGCCCCACAATTCCCGCGGAGTTAGCCCCCTGTAGGGAGAGATAGAGAGAGAAAGAGAGAGAGAGAGAGAGAGAGAGAGAGAGAGAGAGAGAGAGAGAGAGAGAGAGAGAGAGAGAGAGAGAGAGAGAGAGAGAGAGAGAGAGAGAGAGAGAGAGAGAGAAGAGAGAGAGAGAGAGAGGAGAGAGAGAGAGAGAGAGAGAGAGAGAGAGAGAGAGAGAGAGAGAGAAGACAAGAGAGGAAAGAGCAGAAGAGAAAGAGTAAGACAACCGGACGAAGCGATGAATTTGCGCAGGGATCTGTCCTCACAAGGTGTTGTGAAACAGACGTCGAGGCGGCAACAGGAGTGCGGTTAATGCATTACCCGCACAGCGAAGCCTCGATGCATTACCTCGGTGCAATGCCTTCATCCAGCAGCAGCAGCTCCTCATACGACAGTTGCTCCGCACCACCCTCCGTCCACATGCCCTCGCCCATCCCCTCCCCCATGCCCCACCCACCACTCCCCCTCCCCTCACTCCCTCCCCAGCGCCACCCACCACTACCTCTCCCACTCTCTCCTCCACTCCCTCTTGCCGCCCAGTCAGCAGCACCAGTCGCCGCACTGCTAGCAGCACGGGTCAGCCTGTTACTGATAACAGGACTAGACCATTCTCGATCGGAAGAGCTGTCGGGACGCCCGGATAGGGCAGGTGAGAAGAGCGCAGGGAAGAGCACAGTGCCAGTGCCAGTGCCATAACTGGTATGGCTGGTGCGGCTGGTGCGGCTGGTGCGAGTGGTGTGGCTGCTGCGGCTGACACGGCTGGTGCGGGCGGTGCTGGTGGGGTGGTGGGCGCTTTGGGTGCCGTAGCTGGTACGGTAGGTGGAGCGGGAGAAGACCTGGAAGGGGTCTGGTGAGAGGGAGATTGAAGGAGAGAGCGTGGGTGACGCAGGAGAGTCACTGGCCTCCTGGTCCACTTCTGCACAAGAGACGGAGCGACAGGCAGGCAGGCAGGCAGGCAGACAGGCAGACAGGCAGGCAGGCAGGCAGGCAGGCAAGTAGGCAAACGGGCAGGGGTGTGGAGATAGATGGAGATGGTAGATAACAAAGGAGGTGGGGAGCAGGGAAGTTGCAGTGAAGAGGGTTTCATATATTATGGAAAAGAGTGGCAGTGTTTGGGACGTGGAGAAAGGGGAGCAGGAGGAGGAAGGGGAGCAGGAGTAGTAAGGGAGCATGAGCAGTAAGGGGAGCAGGAGCTAGTACCTGAGAGTCGTCGCTGCATGGTGAAGGGCCGGGTGAGAAGGGTATCTCGAGGGAGAGGCGAGAGAGCTTCCATTAGCATTGCATCCCACACAGCAGCAGCACCACCTCCGCCACTGCTGCTGCTGTAGCTGCCTCTCCCATACCCGCTGGCGCTTCCATTTCCACTGCTCCCAAGGATACCAACGCTGCCAGTGCTGCCAAAACTACTCCTGCTGCCAGCGTACCCGGTTCCCCCGTCCATGCTCCCCAAATCCGCACCTCCCACCTCGTTAATCTCTCCGCCCACATCATCCAGTCGCTCTTCCACGGGTAAGTGCTTAGACGCCTCAACAAAAGTCTCTCTAGAAATCTCACTGGGATTCACATTGGGAGTCTCAGTGAAAGTCTCAGGGGAAGAGTGAGTGATATTCTCAGTTAAAGTGCGAGTGGAGGGAACGATCTGCCCAGCAGTACTGCTCTCAGCCTCACACAGCTGTCTGGATTTGCTCTGGTCCTCCATCGCACCATTGCCATCCTGCGTTAGGCTAATCCCTTTCTCTGCCTCTCTTTCCTCTTCTGGCACCACCTCTCCTGCTGCTGAATCCTCCTCTGCACCTTCCACCCCACGCTCCTCCTCACCCTCCTCCCCACCCTTCTCCCCACCCTCCGCATCCTCCTCTGTCTCCAGCTGACTGTCTCCCTGCTCCACCTCAGCTTCTCCCTCTGATCGCACCACTCCACATTCCCACTCAGGCGCCTCCTCCTCACCCACCGCCCCCTCCTCAATCTCAGTCACACCCGGCCGAACCTCTTGGAAGGTAACAGCCGCTGTAGCATCATCCAGTAGCGTCGGCAGTGTTGATCCGGTAACCACATCGCCATCACCACCATCAGAACCATCAGCACCATCACCACCATCACTGTCGTCAGCAGCTTGGTCACCAGCATCAATGTCATCATCATCATCACGAGTCACGGTGGGAGCAGGGTGCAGAACTGGCAGCAGCTGCAGTGTGGTGGATGGACCAACCACTGGCAGAGCCGTCGTCCAGCAGCCCGCCCACCACCACGCAGCCCTGCCTCGCCTCACCCCACCTCCGCTGCCACCACTGGTGCTGCTTCTGCTGCCGCTACCCCTGCCCCCGCTGCCCCTGCTGTCACTGCTGTTACTGCTGCCCCCGCTACCCTTGCTGCTTTCTCCTGCACCGGCCATGCCGCTACCACTTGTGCTGGCCTCAGAAACGACTCCTGCCTTACCGCTCCTACTGCTGCCAACGGAATTGAGAGCACCAGTGCCCTTGCCACTGGCCCCTCCGTTGCAGCTGTTGCCACCACGGCAAGGGCCTGGGACGGAGCAACCACTTGGGAAATTATCGGCACCGGGAGAACCAGCAGCAGCAGCTGACGCAGCAGCAGCAGGAGGAGGAAGAGGAGGAGGGGAGGCGGTGGCAGTGGGAGAGAGAGGCGAGGCGGAGGGCGAGTGATCGAAGAGCACCAAGGGGCGGTCCTGCATCCTCCAGGGACTCCTGCCAGCAGTGCTGCCCATCCACCTGCCACTGCTCTCCCCCATCACACGCCTGCACCAGCTCCCCGCGTTCACTGCGCCACTCACAGCTGCCTCTCTCGCCTCTCCGTTCTCTCCCTCCCCCATTTCTTCCTCCACCTCCTCCTCATCCACTTCCTCTTGCGGCCCACTTCCTTTACCAGTAGCTGGAACAGTGGGTGTGGTCGCCGAGCCTCTCTCGATCAGGCACTCGCCAAATTCGCAGAATTCGCTGATTTCGCCAATGTCGCTCCTCCTGGCGCTCTGCAGCGGGAACGACCTGCGCCTCTCGAGCCTGCGCGGAACAGGAGCCGCGAATGGCGCTGGCGCTTGTTGCGGCGAGCGGGGAACGACAGATCTCAGCGGCGGCGATGGCAGCGGCGACAATGGCAGCGACTGCGGCGGGAGTGTGACGTGGACCACTGACGTGTCGCACACGTCTTGTTCCGAGGGCGCAGACACAGCGACGGAACTCCCAAACGGTTCCAGCTGTCGCAGCTGCGTCGTGGACGACGGTGGCGACGGTGGCGACGCTCTCGGGCTCCTGTAAGCGACAACGGCGTTTCCGCCAACGCGTTCGCATCCCGCCGCTTTTGACGGCTCGTCGTTGGCGCGAGGGGCTTCTCCGTCAACGGAAGAAGCGGCGCCGGATGCGGAGACTCGTCGCCAGGCGCGATTCGGTGCCTTCACATTGGCCCATAAAATCGCGCCGAACCGCGGCGCAATAGGCGGAACAGGCGTGCTGTTGCTAGTTGAAGGCACAGCATCAAGCCCGGCATGGGAAGTCACGAAGCTTGAAGCAGCAGACAGTGCAGGAGCGAAAGCAGGTGAGGAAGAAGAAGCAGACGGAGACGCAGCCCCAGATGCAGGGGAAGACGTGGCAAGGGTGCTGGTGGTGGTAGCGGTAACGCTGAGACCGCCAGTCGCGACGATACCGAAGTTAGCGTCGTCCTGACGGTTGTTGGGGCCGAAAGAAGCTCCCTCGGCGGCGCGGGATGCGGCATCTGTGTTTGAGGGACTTACCAGTTTGGAAGAGCTGGGACCGTTGCTGCTGGACGAACCAACGACGACGCAGCTGCTGCTCTTGCGGCCTCGCGGGCTCATCATCACTACTGCCGCCATGACGGAGCTCCTGCGAGTCGCAGCGAGCGGCGTGACGGACGCTGACGGATTCTGTTGGCCTCGACGCCATGAAGCCACGCCTTGCCACAGAAAGGGCGCCAGGCTAGTACTGGTGGCGTTAAAAACGGTTAGGAGGAATGTCGTGGGCTGAATGAAATGGATTTACGGGCGATTGGAATGGCGAATTTTGGACTATGGCCAGCGGGGTCTATGTGGGAAGCTGAGCCGCACGTAACGCGACAAGCGCTAAATGCGTGTGGCACGACGTCAGCTGCGACGAAAAGAATGCTTAGTGAAGTGGAGTGCAAGGAAGAACAAAGACGCGATTGTAAAGTGGAAGCGAGCTAATGTCAGACGCAAAAGAAGCGAGCTAATCACAAGTAGATGCTAATCAAATTGCGAGAATGAGGATTTTTTATGGGAACCACAGCCTTCTTGTGCAAATACCTGCATTCGTGATTGACGGGGCTCAACTCAAGCCGAAATTTGCTGCAGATTGGAAAATGCGCGGCTCGATCACCCTCCACCATCCGTTTTTCCCGACTTAGATCGCGTCGCACTCGTCTGTTCATCCCACCGTCGAACCGCCGCCAATCAGGAGGAGCTCGCAAGATTATCCATAGCCATCCGCATTATCCGTTTCCAATGAGTGGTTTTGGTTTGCTCCACGATTTGCGGATTTACCCATCCTGTCCATTCAAACTGTCAGCAGACGGCTTCCGTCATGTCTACGTTCGTGTCCCGTCAATGCCGTGTCGCTGTGGGAGCGACGTATTTCTACTGGGTGAAGAACAAATGGGGTTGACAATAACTTCATCGTGGCTCAGGACGGTTCCACGCGGTGGTAAGCGGCTTCGCCGTTTCTGCTTTGCGACGTCATGAAATGGGCTCCACAGAACTCGGAGACTTGAATTGTTCCAAGGGAAGTGGAATGTAACAATACACCACAGGAACATCGTAGGAAAGTAAGCACTTACTGTATTGGAACACGTGCTATATAACATGCTATTCATCCAGCATCTAAGCAAATCATGTGACAGCTCATTGTCTCTACCTAATTAGCCATTCCGGGAATGGGAAGTCATTTTATACAAACAGCAAATGCATGACCCCAGTCCCCAAATGCAGAAAGAAAAGAACGGCGGCAGAAGTAAAAAGCGCTCATAGCCTCACTGGAGCCGGCCCTTTGGCGGCACCACAAGCATAGGCCGGCCCTTCTGCAGCACAATCTGACGAAGAGCGACACAGATATTATTCTTTGACGCCTGTTCTGACGAAAGAGCCTCCGACGTCTGATCCCCATCTTCAGGAGTCGCCATATCCGAGAAGTCCCCAGCACGGTCCTCCTGCTCGCCTATCTCCTCACTCTCCTCAACACCAGCAGCCACATCATCCCTCCCATTACCCCTTGGACTTGTCCTCCTTTCATGCGATGCTGAGACCGTGCATTTCTGCGCCACTAACAGTGCCAGCCTCCTTGCATTCGCCTGCTGCATCTTCAACACATTAGCCTCAGAGCTGCTGCAGGTACTGCTGCTCGAAGCCCCAACAGCCGTACCACCACTCCCTCCCACCCCACCCCGCCCCCGTTCCAACTCCAACCCATCGCTCTCCCCACTCTCCTCACCCGATCCCCCCAGAAACGTCTCCCGCGCACTCCCAACCCCGTCCTCGCTCTCCGAATCCTCCTCACCCTCCTCTGCCTCCACCGCTCCTTTACCAGCAAGCGCAGCAGCAGCCGCATTTCCTTGACCGGCAAGAGCCGCAGCCAGAGCAGCCGCCTGGCACCGGCGCCTTTTGGAGGGCGCTTCCTGCGCCACGATTCTCGCGAGCTCCTCCGTCCATCCCCTAATCACGTCCTCAACTGGAAACCCTGACGCTGCAGCTGCCGCCGTTGCAGCTGCCATCGCAGCGTCCACGTTAGGATCCCTGCCGCTCTGCTCCCAACCGCCTCCAACACCACCAAAACCAGCAGCAGCAGCAGCAGCAGCACCACCGCCAACACCAGAACCAGCGCCGACGGACGGTAACGCAAAGTTTCCGCCTTCCAGAGGCGAAGGCCCCGCAAGCCACAGCCCGTCATTTTCCAAGCCCTCGTACGGGTTCGTGATGGTGCCGTCCACTGCCTGGAGCATCTTGCCTATGTCATCTGATCCAAACATGAGGCTGGGCAGAGATTCCAGAATGTTCAACGGAGGCGGCGGCGGAATGGTAGCTGCTGCTGCTGCTGCGGCCGCTGCTGCGGATGCAGAAGAAGGTGCACCGTTGGCAGGGGCGGCGGCAAAGGTAGCTTGTCCAGTGGCAGCGGGAGGAGGGAATTGGGGAATAACAGTCGACGGATTAGCAGCAGCATCAGCAGGAGCACTGGCATTGCTGCTACCGACTGTTGTCAGCTCTGTACCAGCATCGGCTCCTCTCTGCTCCACCCATTCCCCCTCTCCACGCCCTTGCGCAAGAGTAGGCGCTCCAGAAGCAGGAGGGGCGGGGTCCGCGAGAGCGAGGCCGCTCAGAAGAGATCCCACCGGACACGGTGGCTCTGCAGCAGCACAGGCTTCTTGCGCGGCACCACCGCCGGCATTCGTTGCATCTCCAGCACCTGCAGCACTTGCAGCACCTGCGGCAGCGGTGTCACCGGCTGCTGCAGGCACAAGTTCTGTTGCTGCCGCGTCATCCGCTGCCTCCACCTCCCATAACAGCTTCAGATCCTCAAGCCACGGCAACAAGTCCTGACCCTGTTGCTGCTGCTGCTGCTGCTGCTGTTCTGACTGTTGCTGCCCCTGTAACCCATCTGTAACGCACTCCACCTTCACTCCAACTGCTTCCTTCCTTACATACCCCGCCCCCACCCCCTCCTCCGCCGTCTCCTCGTCGCTCTCCTGCGCTTCCTCCCCATCGCCCTCCCCCTCCAGACGCCGGTACTCCGCGCCACCATCGGCGGAAGCGGGAGGCGCGGCGGTTTGCGCGACTGTGGCGGTTGCGTTAAGCTGCGTAGCGTCGGCGGCGGCGGGATCGGATGGAGGCTGCGCGCCTTTGTAGAGCACACGACACAGAACCAGAGAGCCCTGGGGGTGGAGGGGGGAGAGAGGGGGGGAGAGGAGAGGGAAGACGGGAAGGCGGCAGAGGGATGAGCGGGGTCGAGTATTGAGACGTCTCAAAACGCGTCGGCGGCGGGATCGGATGGAGGCTGCGCGCCCTTGTAGAGCACACGACACAGAACCAGAGAGCCCTGGGGGGCGGAAAGGGGGAGGACGGGAAGGCGGCGGACGGAAAGGCGGGTGACGGAAAGGTGGGAGGGGGAAAGGCGGGGGACGGAAAGGCGGGGGACGGAAAGGCGGGGGACGGAAGGCGGGGGACGGAAAGGCGGCGGAGGGATGGGCGGGGTCGGGAAAGAGGGAGCACAACAGACGGTGGGAAGCGCGATTGGCGTAAGGAAAAGGTATGTAGGTCGGCACGAGAGCGCAGAGCGCAGAAGACAGCTGTGGACGGATAATCTTGGCGCAAGAGAATCAAGTGTCTGCAAGGAAAAGAAAAAAACACGAAACTACACCTACAGAATAATAATAATAATAAGAAAAAAAATGAAAAAAGATATTATTTTTGAGGTTATTATTTTCCCGTAGTCATCGTCACACTGTTCCCACTCACCACGGGCTTCCTTCCAGAGCCGATGCCGGAACCGCCGCCCCCGCCGTTGGCGGCCATGGCATGGCTGTTCCGCTGCTCCAGCCGGTACTCGTGCATCACCCAGTCGGTGCGCTTGCCACGTGGCGCCCTCCCCTCGTAAAACACCAACGTCTTTTTCATCCCCACGACACTCACTCCCTCCCTTAGCTGCAGCATCGGCACCCAATACTGCTCCTGCCCCTGCCCCTGCCCCTGCCCCTGTGCTTCCGCCGTCTGCTCCCCCTCCTCAGCTCCCTCCCCGCCGGCGGCGGTAACGGGCGGGAGCGGCAAGGTGCGGTCGTTACCGGTGGCCTTCCAGTAGCCGCGGGTGGTGCAGCGGTTGGTGCGGCGTGAATGGCCATACTTGTGACTTCGACGGGCGAAGAAGTACGACTCGTCGCCTATGCGACAGCACGCTGTCGCAGGACGACAAGGGAGAGAGACGAAAGAACGGGGAGAAATGCAAATGTTAGAAGCAGAGAGAAGCACACGGAAGAAGACGAAATACGAGGCGGTGAATAAGAGAAACATGTAACGATAATTAGAGGAGAGCACCATGTAACGATAATCAGGCGGAAGCAACTGAAGTGGGAAACGGCCTAACAGCGATAACCGCGGGCGCGAATGAAACAGGGAGGCGAGATGAATATTTTAAAACGACGTACGTGGAAGTTGCCACGGCTCGCAATCAAAGACGTCCAGACTCGCGATGATATTAATCCAGCTGCAGTCCGGCGCAGGCCCTAATTCATTGCCATTGTCCGTCAGCGCCGCCAGCGCCCGCCTGCCGTCGTCCGAGGCGCGCACGCGCGGGTAAAGATAGTGCGACGCGAGCTCTTCGTCCGTCGGCTTGAAGCGGAAACCCGGCGGGAGCAGCGGCAGAGACGCCTGCCCTGACCTCGAGCCGGAACTCACCGCACTCGCAACCATGCTTGCGCCTCCGGCTTTCGCGCTGGTTATAGCGCTGCTAGGCGATGCATTGACATTTCCGCAGGGACCTAACGAGGTGTGGTTCTTCGCGGTTGAGCTCGGTTGTTTAGATGAGGTGGCTGGAGCGCGAATCGGGGTGGGAGAAGGTAGATCCTTAGAACGCTTCTTAGGGATGACGACGGAAGGATGATGGGTGCAAGCTTCAACAGTGGAAACTAACTCGTGGGTGGCCGATGGTGTCTGGTTCTGCACTTTCACCTGCTGCTGCGGCTGCTGCTGCTGCTGCGGTTGTTGCTGTTGAAACTGCTGCTGTTGATGTTGCTGCTTTTGCTGGTACTGCTCTAAGAGCCCAGTCCTACTAGGTCCCTTTCCAGAACACACTAACATTTCCCAAACCGTTTAGGAGGAACTCGACTCGGCGGCGCACGAACACGACCACTTACTACGGGCAGTATCACAGAGAGAAGCGAAGACGAGATACTAGGAAGGCAGGACGGAATCAGCTCGAGAGGCTGAGGTGTCACGCTTGTAGCATTGAGGCTTAGGTCTTGAGACTAGTCCTAGCGCACAGATGACAAAATGCGTGGGCTAGAAGGGGAGGGAGGGGAAAAAGGAGCGGAGAGGAGAGGGGAGGAGAGCGGAGAGGAGGGGAGGGGAGTTGAGGAAACTGAAGGGGAGGGGGGGATACGAGATTTGACGCGGGAAGAGTGTGGGGCGGTTGAGGTGGATGTTTGGGGATTTCTTTTGGGTCAAACGGGACGGGGGAATGGTAGGAACAGACGGAGAGCCGTCGAGGTTTGACGTTCGACGAAAAATGAAACGATTGGCGTTTCGCAAATGAGTCGTATATGGTGGTTTGGGAAGGCTGGGGGCTGAAATCACGGTAACTATCGACGACCCACGCTTGCCGAAGCATCAAGGTGAATAACAATCTGCCACATGGAACACTACTCGCGAACCACATGAGGCTCGGAAGCTGTTCACCTGAGTGAGCTTCTTGGGGGCTGCAGCAGAAACGGAGTTTCCCACAATGATTGGGATTCGACGAAAGAGGTGTCCCGATAAGATCGGACGGACGGTATGGGTGACGTGTGCGCGGGCTGCTTGCCTTCGACGGCCAAGATGCCAGACGCATGAAAGCAGACAGCTACTGGATCACCAAACCCTGTTCAGTTTATAAGATCCTCCGATGTGAGAAATTCAATTGGAAGATTTCCTGCCAACTTTTTGCAACAGATGATTCGTCAATGCAGCACAATCTGATTCAACTTGCCACCATGTCTTCGGAAAAAAAGATTTACACTCTCTGTATGATATTTATTAAACAGTTTTTGAGAGATGTTGTTGTAGATAATTTATGAAAAAAAACTATAAGCAGTCTCTCTCTTTGCATTATCTTATCCATCCCATTTTCAACCATTCATCTGGGAGGTACTCACTTGTTATGGGTTTTGATCATATCGCGTACGTTATGAGGTATGGGGAACGACAGGGCGATGGATACAAACGACAGAGGGTGTACTTATTTCCGTAAAGTAGGACATTTACGGCTGGCCTTATTTTCTCGAGTCTCGACCCTTGTGCTCCAGGGAGCTTTCCGGGCTGCCCCCCGCGTCCAAGCAAACTCGAAAACGTCCGTGGCGATTTCCAGTGATGCCAGGCAGAATCTGTCTTGATCTGAACAAGAATGGCAAGTGTCCATTGCAAGTCTTACATCGGAAACTTCCCTACCAAGCGGGAACATGCTGGATATGTGATGGGTTTGTGTCGACTTGGAAGTCTCATTCGTGATTGGGTTGTCGTGTTCACACGAGCATCAAAGAGGCCATGAGTCCGTTCCGTTTTTTGTCGGCTGTGCATGGACGGCGCGTACACTGTATAGTTCACTTTGTGAGAAGTATGGTTAAACTCTCGTCATTTCAGGAGACCAAGGGTTTCCGGATGCCTAATCACTACCACAGCGGGCTGACTTGTGTTCGTAATAGAGCATTTTCGGAGGGAAGGCGGGTTACAAACACCTGGAGGCACGAACTCTTAGTGCGAGTGGGTGAATTCTGCGAGTCAGTATGAGATGTGCTAGAACAAGGGAGCACTGATGCGGTGAGGTCCTGAAGGTTACTCATCTCGCACACATGTACACAACGAACGGCCTCGCTGAAGTAACCGTGGAAACATTCATTCAGTCCTCTGGCTACAAAGCCATGTCATCCCCCTTCCCAGTCTGCGCATGCCGTTGATTATTCAAAACTTTGTTGGGTACAAATGTTCTCGTTTATAGTCCGACGGAAAAAAACGCCGCGAGCGGACTTTGTGGCAAAACTTCAAAATCACGGGCAAATGGGTTCTTATAGTCCCATTTGGGCGGATTGGATCGTCCTTTCGTAAAATGCTTGGTACGGCGTCGTTTAACTGCACGTGGTGACGAAATGTTACCGCTAGGTCGCAGGAGTTGGAACTCTCCCGATGCACGACAATCTCGAAAGTTGAAATGTCGCGCACTCTGTTACAAGTCGCTCTAGCAATTTGAGGGCGCCTTGTGATTGGTCCCTTCTCTGATACGCTCTACAGTGCCCAGATGTGATTCCCTGCTGTTCATTCTGTGCCGCCCGATAGGGGACTGTATAGGACGGGATAACCCTAGGAGTTAGTGGAAAAAGCTCCTCGTTTTTGAAAAGGGATATTCTTAGCGAGGGATCTTAAGCCAGAACATCTGTAAATGCGACACAGTTACACCTCTACAGTTGCGCACGTCTCCGAACTTTGAACTTTTTGAAATCGGGCTGCTGAAGCCCTTGGAATTGCACCACGAGCTGCCCCTCTCCCACCCCTCTTTCTCCCCACACCCGACCTCCCATCCCGCCTTGCGTCCCTAGCGCTCAAAATTCTTGGACTCGTGTAGTCGCCAACACAGAATCTTTTAGACTGTTTGTTCAGATTCGGCGATCTAAAGGCAGACAACTGAGGCACGCCCATGCGCATTTCTGCCTCTCCTTGCTGTTGTTTGTACTGTACCCCACAGTTGTGTAGGACACCCAATGGCAGGGACGGTCTGTTCTCGCTGGCATCGCATTCACGTACACGAGAACAAGTGTACCCCAGTTGTAAAAGAATCCCCACTTTTCCAAACCGAACGATAGCTGCCTCCACCCGCTCTCATTTTGCAAAATCGATCTATACAGCTGGTTTTCATTCTCGTCTACCCAGTTAATTTGATTTTAGTTTAATGTATTGTGCGAAAGCGTTCTGCCTGAATCTTCCCTCGTCACCACGGAATGTGTGGGGACAGATTTGTAACATTGTCATATCTGATAGAATTGCGAGTTGCAAGCCTTTTTGTATTTTCCACTGTGAAAGTATTCATCCCCACGTTGGACCTCCCGCTCGTCCAACGTGGCGTGCGGTTGCCCAATTTTTTTTTATGGGAAGGGCAGGTCTTTTGATGGGATGAGGTTGAGCATCGACTGCACTTTTATCCATGAACCCGCCGCCATGGCCACCATCCAATTCTGTTTGACGCTGCTGCCGTGCTTGCCATGCCACCCACATGCCACTCTGTCCTGCTGTATCCACATTTCGCTCCACTCCATTCTAGTCCATCCTTTCCCGCCCTGATTGCCCCACGCTCCTTTCCCCAATTCGAAATGGTTTGGTCTGTCTGTCCTGCTCTACACACCACCGAGTTCTCCGAGTTGGGCTTCGTCCGCCCCAGCTGTTCCCCCACGCACATTCTTGGGGCATGCAAGCAAGCAAAATCACCTGCACGAGTTGCTCTCTCAGGGCTTTGCTGTGAATACTGTATTGGGTCAAGTAGCTACTGTCCAGTGGGCCGCACCTCTGTCACCCTCATCTGCAGCTGCAGGAAGATAAGGAAACCGGATAATGGAGGAAACAGGCTCCAGGGCTAGTGATTTAAAGCTCCCAGCCCTCATGTGCATCGCTTGATCGGTTTGTCGATCAGAAGATTTGTAAACTTTAGAAGCTTCGTCTTTTGCGCGGCCTCTTTTCGATTCTCGAAGGACACCCGACTCGATTCGTTTCTCTTCCCCTCCCTCACGCCGTTTGTCGTTTCATCTTTAGCGGAAATCATCGCAATCACTTTTCGCAACCATCAACCTCGACTATTGAACGTCGCCGTCGCATCTTCGTCGTGCTTCGCCGCCGTTGCGATGGCGGCGCCTCTATCATTTCCGCTGTTCTTCACTTGCTCGTTGCTGTCCTCCTCCCCCAACGGCGGTTAACCGACAGTTTTGCGCACGCGACCCACGGACACTTCAGCGCAAGTAGTGAAACTGCTGCGAATCCGTTACCGACAACGCGTTTCTCTCGCTCCCGCTTCTCCCTTCCCGTGCTCGCTCCATTTTTGCCGCGAAGCCATCCCGGATTTCTCCGCTAAACCGTCTCCATCGGTGCCGTGCCTTTCATTTCACCACCAACTCCTCGTAAACCTCCCCTTTTGTTCGAACTCCTCATCACACCGTCCCTTTCGCCGTTCGACGCCACGTATTCATCTGTGCCGCCGCCCGTGAGACGCGGCGTGTAAGATGCTTCACGAGGAGTGTGTAATGGGTCCAAGCTCGGAGAATCCAAGCTTGAGGAACCCTGGCGGTCCAAGCTTGTGGGATTCGGGTGCAGCGAATGTTACGGCTGGTTCGCGTCGCCGCCGGCAAGAGACTGGCACCGAGACGAGCGGAGACGGCGCAGATGCTACTACTGCGGCTGCTGCTCTTTTGTCCAAGCGCGCTCGTTTTACACCCGACACAGATGTTGCGGCTGCTGCTCCTGCTGCCACGCCGGGGCCGGCAAGCGCGGCAATATCCAGGAGCGGCTCGCACGAACGAAATGCATGCCTGGATGGAACTGCGGAACGGTATGCTGGCCGCAGCGGCAGTAACGGCGACAATAGCGGCGGCAGTATCGGCGACGGCACTAACGGCGGCAGCAACGGCAGCAATAACGACGGCAGAATCGGCGGCAACTATGGCGGTGGCGGAGGTTTGACGGCTGCGCCGGCGACGGCTGCCGCTGCGGCTGGAGATGATGACGGCGATGGCGGGGATTTGAGCGAGGCGGCGCGTCTGCTGCTCGCCGTTAGCGGGCAAGGCGAGGAGGACGAGTCGAATCGCGAGGACGCAGTAGGTCCAGTTATAGCGGCTGTGGCGGCGCGAGGGGGTGGCGGGGGGAGCGTTGGGCCCGCGGGAGGAGTGCCGTTGGGCGGAGAGAGGGCGGACGCCACGCGTGCGGAGCGGGAAGCGGAGGCGGAGGCGGAGGCGCCTAGGGGAGAGGCGCGGAAGGAGAAGGAGCGGGAGAAGGGGAGGGAGAAGGGGAAGAAGGAGAAGAGAAAGGAGAGGGACAAGGACAAGGTAAAGGACAAGGACAGGAAGAAGGATAAGGAGGAGCGGAAGGAGGAGCGGAAAGAGAAGAGGAAGGAGAAGGAAAAGGCGAAGGCGAGCAAGAGGAACGAGTTGGAAGCGGGCGGGGCTATGGCGGGCGGGGCTATGGCGGGTGGGCGCGGCTCGTCTGCTTTGTCGTCCTCGTCGTCGTTTCCTGGCATCAAGGCGCCTCCAGCGAAGCGGCTTCACATGGCTGGGGGATCGGGGGCTCGTCCTGTCAAGCCGACCTCCCAGTGCGTGGTTCTTGTTCCTGTCGAGCGGCTTTTTACATCCTCTGCTCCGACTGACGTTCGTGTTTTACGTCTTCTCCTTCTGTTGCGCTCTGTTGTTGTTTGTTGTTGCTGTTTCTTGCTGCTCCTTGCTGTTTCTTGTTGGCGCGGTTCCTCTTTTTCCCTGTTGCTGTCGTCGCCGTGGCAGCTGCTGGCGCGGTGCTTGTCGCAGCCGAAGAAGCAAACCAAGAGCCGCAGTCCCGTCTCCATCAACCCATGCCGTGGCACCCCTCACCTGCACTGCCCTCTCCTTGCCCTTCTGCTCCCCGCCGTTCATCCTCGCCCTCCTCTCATTCGTCGCCTGTAGCTGCGCCTCCCGTTTGCCCCGTCCTCCCCTCCGCCTGTCTCCGTCAACACGCTTCCGCGGCTTTAAAGCCCCTCACTCCCTTGTTTCCCCTCCCCACCCCACCCCGCCACGTCCCGCCCCGCTCATTTTCCCGACTCCTCCCGTTCCCCCCGGCGCCTCCCCCCCCCCCTCGACATCCCTCCCGCAACCCTTGCCCCTCCCCCGACCGTCCGCTTCCCCCCTGTCGTTGCGCGCAGGCTGGCGGGCGGGGGCCTCGTTATAGTGAGCTTCAACGTGAGCGCGGCGGCGGCGGCGGCGGCAGCGGCGGCGGAGGGCGCGGGGGCAAGGAGGGCGCGCGCGGCGGTTCAGTGGGTGTGCCGCGAGGGCGACCCGTGGCAGTGGGCGGACGCTCAGAGCGCGCCGCAAACTGCCGGCTCCCATAACACCAGGCACGGCTGTAGCAGCACAGCGTGGCGTGGCGTGGCGTGACGTGGCGTGACGTGGCGTGACGTGGCGTGGCATGGCGTGGCGTGGCACGGCTGTAGCGGGGTTGTGGCATGTTTGCAGTGCTGTGGTGATGCGTTGGTGGGGCATGGCGTGGGGTGTGGTGTGTGGCGCGTGCGGCGTGTGGGGTGTGGCGTGTTGTAGCATGGAGGGATGGGGGGTTGGGGAGAGAAAGAGACCTGCCAGTTCTTATTCCTGTTCGTCCCCCTTGTCGTTTCCTTTGCCGTCCTGCAAATGTGCTCGCACCCCCACTTCCCCCCGCCCCCTCACCCCCCTTCCCACCCCCTTCCCTTCCCCCTTCGCATCACTTTTACCTGCTTCCCATGACTTCAGTTCTTTCCGGTTACTCTCGCTTGCCCGCGCCCACCCTCTCCCCCTGCCCTCCCCGTCCGTCCCCCATCTCTTCTCCAACTGCTCATACTCATCCATCGCACTTCTGCCGCCCTGCTCCTTCTATCCTACCCTGTCCTCCCTTCTCCCCATTCTTCGCTCTCTCCCCCTTCGCCCTGACCTCTGCTCCGCCCCTTCCCCCCCCCCCCACAGGTACCTCCTCCACTGTGCCTCACCCGGCTGCCCCGCCACCAAGTCTTTCGAACGCCTCGCACCGAGCAGCACCGCTCTGCACCACCACCAAGCGGACTGGCCGCTGCTCGCAGCCGTGGTGTATCACGGCTCGCACAACCACCCCCGCCCTCCCGCGCACGCTCCTCCTGCCTCTCGCGCCCCTCCCGCCACTTGCGCCGCCGCGTTGGCTTCTCCTGGTGGTGCCGTTACCGCCTCTACTGCCGCTGCCGCCACTGCTGCCACTGCAGACCCCGCGTCCTCCGCTCCTGCCGTGCATCCTGCCGCGGGACTTCTTGACCTCAACGAGTCTCCCGGGCCAGAACAGCCCACAGATGCTGCTCCTGCTGCTGCCGCTGCTGCTGGCAGTGCTGCGGCAGGTGCTGCTGCTGCCGATGCTGCTGATACTGCTGCTGAGACCACTGGTTCAAAGGGCGAGAAGGCGTTGCTGCAAGGCAGCGGGAGGAACAAGCAAGAACCACAGGAGGAGCAAGGGGAGAAGCAGGAGGCGGCTGCAGAGGCAGAGGCGGAGGCGGAGGAAGAGGCGTGGGGTGTGGCTGAGCGCGAGGAGACGCGAGGGCAGGTGGCGTGGGCAGCGGGGGACGGACCTGGGTGCAAGCTGCTGCAGCTCGTGTCTCGGCTCCGGTTCGAGATGGTGAGCGGGGCCAGCGAGGCGGCATGGCGCGAGATGCTAGAGGAGGAGGTGACGGAGGGCGGCGTGCTTGCGGATCTAGCACACGCCCTCCTTGCTTGCATCTCCAGTGCAGTCTCTGCTTCTGCTTCTGCTTCTGCCGCTGCCGCCGCCGCTGCGGCTGCGGCTGCCTCTGCTGCTGCTGCCACCGGTGCTGGTGATCGTGCTTCCGCCTCGTTTCTGCCGCCGCCGCCGCCGAAGCAGCAGGTTCCGCCAGTGCGCGGGAGTGACGCGTTCTGGGCGCTGCTGCACAGCGTGCTGGACGCGCTCTGCAGCATGGCCTCGCGCCTCCCCCGCCCCTCCGCGCCCGCGCGCGTGCGGACCAGCGCTCAGGCGGAGAAGGGCGCGCAGGCGGAGAAGGGCGCGCAGGCGGAGAAGGGCGCGCAGGGGGAGAAGGGCGCGCAGGGGGAGAAGGGCGCGCAGGCGGAGAAGGGCGCGCAGGGGGAGAAGGGCGCGCAGGCGGAGAAGGGCGCGCAGGGGGAGAAGGGCGCGCAGGCGGAGAAGGGCGCGCAGGGGGAGAAGCTCGCGCAGGGTGGAGGCGGAGTTGCTCTGCAAGAGAAAGAGACATTGGGCGGGAAAGGGACGGGTGGAGAGGAGGGGAAGGCAGGGGAGAAGGGAGCAGGAGATGTGGGTATGAGAGGGGAGGTGAGAGTTGATCCAAGGGGGGATCACGCTGGGGAGAACTCAGTGCATGGGAGTGTGATGCAAGGGAGTGTAGCAGAAGGGAGTGTGGCGGATGGGAAAGGGAATGCTTCTGGTGGATTTGACGTGGTGGTTGGACGGCCGCGAGCAGCGCACGAGGTGCAGGCTGGTGTGGAACGAGGCGAAGCAGACGGAGGACGCATGGAGGTGCGAGCGAGAGCGGATGGAGACGTTGCGACGGCAGAGAGACAGATAGAAGAGACGGCGGCTTTACCTTCCCGCGGTCTGGCAGAGACGAGCAAGGCAGACAACGCAGAAAAGTTTGGCAAGACGGACAATGCGGACAAGGCAGAAAAGATGGAGACAGTAGCAACAAAGGGAGAGGGGAAGGGAGAGGCAGAGGAAGAGGAGAAAGAAGAGGAAGAGAGAGATGAGGAGGGGAAGGGATCCAAGGGAGGGCCAGCGCATGTCGACAAGCCGTTGCGGCTCTTTGGGGATTTCCCCACTACTCCCGCCTTGCAGACAAGCACTAGCGCTTCTGCTTCTGCTCCTCCTCCGGCTGCTGCTGCTGTTGCTGCTGCTGCTGTTGCTGCTGCTGCTGCATCTGTCGTCACTGCCACTGCATCTGAAGGCACTTGCAATGCAAAGAGCAGCCGTGCTGCTGATAATAAAGCCTGCTCGGGCGCCATTCACTCTCTGTCTGGGACGGATTCATCTCTGCACCTGGCGGCAACAACCCCGCACCTGGATTCATCGCCGCGTGTATTTGGAGTGGCCGGTGCAGCACCAGCACAAGCGGATGCTGCAGCAGCAGGAGGAGGAGCAGCAGCAGCAGCAGGAGCAGCAGCAGGAGGAGGAGCGGGTGGTGTGGCGGCGCATGCGGTGGTGCTTGAGCAGATGGCTGCTTCTGCTTCTGCTTCTGCTTCTGCTGTAACGCGTCCCTCGCCCCTGGTCCTCATGCTGCAGCAAGTGCTGGCCTCGCAACAACACTCTGCCGCACTGCAGCAGCAGCAGCAGCACAGCCAGCAGCAGCACAAGCAGCAGGAGCACAAGCAGCAGCAGCAGCAACAGCAGGAAGGGCAGCTCCTGGAAAGACAACGAGGCGTGATGCATTTGCCTTGGCAACATGTGCCACAGCCGCTACAACCGCCACAACCACAGCCTCCCCTGTTGCCGCAGCTGCCACAGCCGCTAGAAGCATTGCAACAGCTGCCACAGCATCAGCAACAGCAACAGCAACAGCAGCCCAATCTGCATCTGCAGCTGCTGCAGCTGTGGCAGCAACAGCAGCAGCAGCACCAACAGCAGCAGCAGCAGCAGCAGCATCAGCAGAATGACAAACCGAGAGCAGCGGGAACGGCAGTGCCAGCAGCAGCAGCAGCGATTCCCAATGCCAGTGCCCGTGCTAGTGCCAGTGCAAGCACTGGTGGTGGTGGTGGCCGCGATTGGCTGTGTGGGGGTACCGGACCGGCTGGTGGCAGTGGCGATGGAGTGGGTGGCAGTGGCGACGGCAGTGGCGGTGGCAGTGGCTGTGGTGGCGGTGGCGAAGGTGGTGGCAGTGGCGGCGACGTCGTTCGAAAACCTTCAGAACTTTCAGTGGCAGTTGCTGCACTCTGCGACAGTGGTAGCAGGGGCCCTCTCAAAAGAGGCGGTGATGTGCTTGCAAAGGCTCAAGAAGAGAAGCACGCGGGCTTTACTCGGTGTGGCAGTGACAGCAAGGGGTTGGGACAAGCGAAGGTTGAAAGCTGGAGGAGTGCGGAGCAACAGGGGATTGATTGGAGGCATCGGCTTGCTGTTACAGGCAGGGGTCTTGCATGGAGGGGCGGCGGAGTGGGTGGGGGATGGGGAGATGGGGGAGGCAGGGAGGAGGTGAGTGGAGAAGAGGAAGGAGAAGGGGGGGAGGAAGACGGGGAAGGGGAAGATGGGGATGAGGAAGATGGAGATCGCAAAGGAGGGGAGGGCTTGTGTGGTGAAGCCATGCAATGTGATACGCCTTCTGCAACTGGTGCTTCTACTGCTGCTGCTGCTCCTGCTGCTGCTGCTGGGTCAGTTGGACTGAGCCAGAGCAACAGCATGTTTGGAGGAGTGCTTGACCCTTCCCGAAAGTACATTAACCTTCTGAGCAACATGGGAGTAGGGAAAGCGCAAAGGGACGCTGTGAGTCTCGATGCTGCTGCCGCTGCAACTACTGCCATCGCTGTCGCCACTGCCGCTGGTGGCAGCAGCAGCAGCACCATCAGGAGCACCTCAGCAGCACCAGCAGCAGCAACAGCCCCAACAGCACCACTACCACCAACACCAACACCAACTGCAACAGCGGCAGCAGCAGCAGTGGCAGCAGCAGAGCTTGCAGCATGCAGCAAGGGGCGGGTGCCTCGACTGCGCAAGTACGAGGAGTGTTTGGTGTGCGGGAAGCTGCCCCGGGGGGCTCTAAAGCTCGTGCACGACCATGCTTCTGCTGCTTATGCCACTGCCACTGCCACTGCCACTGCCGCTGCTGCTGCTGCTGCCACTGCTGCTGCTGCTGCTGCCTCCTCCTCCTCGTCGTCCTCCCGCCGCCTTGTTGGCTTCTGCCGTTGTGCCAAGCGGTGAGTGCTGCGCTGTGCTGCGCCGGCAAACGTTTGGCCGTCCTGTGCTGGTGTGTGTGTGTGTGTGTGCGCGCGTGCGTGCGTGCGTGCGTGCGTGCGTGCGTGCGTGCGTGTGTGTGTGTGTGTGTGTGTGTGTGTGGGTACCTATGCGCCCGTATGTGAGCTCACGTGTGCGCCCTTATAAGTGTGCGTGTGCGTGTGACGGTTATGCGCTGTTGCTGTGATCGCTCTCTTGTGCTCTTGGTATTGAAACGAATAAACTCACGCATTCCAATATGCTCACGGCTTCCCCGTCCTTGTGATTCTACTACTGCCCTCCCACCTCCCACCTACTCACCTCCCACCTACTTACCTCCCACCAGTCCCATTCGAGCCGGTCGAAACGTGCTCGGGATCATGCCCGTTTGCACCGACACCACTGACGGCGACTCCCACTCCTATGCCACTCACCAGCAGCAACACCAGCAGCAGAACCAGGGCGTCACCAGTCCCACAGGTGCCGATGGCAGTGCGAGCAGCAGCAGTGGCTCAGCAGCAGCGGCAGCAGCAGCGGCAGCGGCAGCAGCAGTGTCGTCGCGGCATCTGCATCCAGAGGGGTGGTCGTGGCGCAAGTACGGGGAGAAGGCCATTTGCGGCGTGCAGCCTGGCATGCGCGGCAGGTGCGTGCGTGAGTGCGTGAGTGAGTGAGTGCGTGCGTGCGGGCGGGCGTGCATAGGAGCCACTCCACCAGGGAGGATTTCAGCGATTTCTGGAAGCAAACTGTTTCTGACCCTCTGGTCAGAAGCAGTATCAGAAACTGTTTCTGACCCTCTCATCCCCTCCTTACCCGTCTCCCCTGTCTCCTCTCACTGCCACGCCATGCCCGCAGGGAGTATTTCAAGTGCACGGTGCTCTCTTGCACGGCTCGCAAGTTCTCCCACCGCCTCTCTCTCTTCCCCGCCTTTGCTGTCACGTGGTACGAAGGCCAGCACAATCACCACCCCGCCATCGCTGCCCCTGAAGCAACAACCACCAACGCCACAACCACCGCCTCTGCCGCTGCTGCTGCAGAGGACTCTGCTGCTGCTGTTGCCGCTGCTGCTTCGCCTCCTTTGGATGATGGCACCTGGCAGGGCCAGTTGCGTGGGCTTACCTGGCAGGCTGAGGTTTCACCTGACCATTCACCTGACGCCCTTGTTGCCCTGGCAGCAGCGGCCCTGGGCAAGGCCACAGGCAGACACGTGGCGGCTGCTGATTTGCCGGAGGTTGCAGCGATGGCTGTGCGCGTGGTGAGGGCGAATAAGGCAGCTGTAAGTAAGGGTGGAAAGGTGGACGGTGGGAGAAGGGGTGGGGGAGGAGGAGGGGAAGGAGGAGGAGGAGGAGGAGGAGGAGGATGTGGAGAAGAAGGAGGAAAAGGGGGCGGTAGGGATTTGAGTGCTGGGGGGAGGGGGGAGGAGAAGGCTAAGGCGAAGAGTGTGTGTGCTGTGAAGCAGAGAGTCCTGAACTCCGTTGCGAGTGGGCAGCTGAGAGGAGAGCAGGATGGGCGCGACTGGAGCCGCGAGGAGTGCAGGATGGTGAAGGCTGAATCTACTCATTCTGCTGCTGCCGCCGTTGCCGCCGCCGCTGCTGCTGCTGCTGCTGCTGCTGCTGCTGCTGCTGCTGCTGCTGCTGCTGCTGGAAGGGCAACCACTGCTCCCTCCTCCCATATCACCAACACCAGTGCTGCCGCCGCCACCGCCGCTGCTGCCATCTTGACACCCAAGGAGGCCAGTGCTTCAGAAGCAGTCCTGCGAGTAGCACCACCACCGCCACCACCACCTGTCACTGCATCAACAGCAGCAGCTCCCTTTCGCCTTCCGGTTTCTGCTCCTTCCAACCCCAACGCCCTCCCTGCTACAGCTGCTGCGGCGCTGCCTGCTGCCGTTGCAGGTGCTACAGCCTGCGGTGTAGGAGGGGGCGCAGCAGAGGGCAGAGGTGCAAGCATGGAAGGTCGGAGTGCGGTGAGGGCATTGACAGCAGCTGACAGCCTGGCCGTGTGGCTCGCATCTCTCACCGCCGCCACCACCAACACCGCCGCCGCCAGGATCGCCAGCAGCAACCCCTTCAGCAGCAACAGCGGCAGCAACAACGGCAGCAACAACGGCAGCAACAACGGCAACAACAACGTCAGCAGTGCCAGAAGTGGCGGCAGCAGCAGCGCAGCTCTTGCTTCTGCTTCTGCTCCGGCCTCTGCTTCTGTCTCTGCTGCTGCCAAGGGCGCATCAGGCAACCCTGCTTCGGAACCGGAACCTGCTGTGCCAGCAGCGCGTCTGGGAAGCCTGCTGGGAAGCAACGCATTAAACAATGGGTGGAGGGGTGGCTGTAGGCAGAGGAGAGGAGAGGGCGCACACACTCCGGGGCGCTCGCCTGGCGTGGGCATGGGAGGGGGAGGGGAAGGGGGAGGGGGAGGGGGAGGGGGAGGGGGAGGGGGAGGGGGAGGGGGAGGGGAAGCGTGGCAAGGGGCCTCCAGGGGGGCTGTGCAAGGAGGAGTGGTGCAGAGGGGGGTTGAAGGAGTGGGGCGGAGTGGGGTGCAAGGAGGGGTGGTGCAGGGGGGCATGAGTGGGAATGGAGCAAGTGTGAATGGGGCAAGTATGGCTTGGCTGATAAGCAGGCTTGCAGCGGTGGGTGAAGGCAGGATAGCTGCTCCTCATGCGCCCTCTGCTGCTGCTGCTGCTGCTGCTGCTGTCCCTTCTGATGCTACTGCACCAGCCTTCGCTGGCATTGCAACTGCTATTGCTGCGAATGCTGCTGTTCCTGCACGTGTCACTCTCCCCAACCTGTTCAACAATGCCCTTTCTGCCGCAGCAGCAAATCCCCTCACACGGCAGCAACTCCCTCCCCCACCTGCTCCTCCTTCAGCTTCTGCTCCTCTTGCCTTCCGCAGCCCCTCCAGCCTGTCTGCTGCATGTGCTTCTGCTTCTGCTCCCCCTCCCCCTCCTGGTCCCACCGCTGCTGTGACCTGTGCCAGTGATGCTTTTACAATGCGGCTGGTAGCAGCAGCTGCAGCTGCAGCAACAGCAGGGGCACCAGGAGTACAAGGAGCAGCAGCAGCAGCAGGAGGAGCAGGAGCAGGAGCAGGAGCAGGAGCAGGAGCAGGAGCAGGAGCAGGAGCAGGAGCAGGAGCAGGAGCAGGAGCAGGGGCGAGAGTGCCTTTATCAACCCCACCAACCGCCGCTCAAACACCACGAGCCTCACCAGTTCCTCGATTCCCACCGTCTTCACACATCCCACGTGGAGCAGCACCAGTTGCTGCTGCTCCCTCTCCTCCTGCCTGCTCCCCTGCTCCATCCATCCCCTCTGCTTCGTCCCATGCCCTTCCCCCGGCTCCCCCGACACCCCCAGCACCCCCGGCGCCTGCGGCGATTGCAGCGTTGGCTGCTGCATGTGCCTTCAACCTCCTGCCATGCCAGAAGTTGCAGTTGGATCGGCTCGCACAGGGGTTGCAGGGGATGCAGCCCGTGGCACAGGGGACACAGGGGACTCACAGTCAGATTATGCAGGTTCAGGGGTTACAGGAGGCACAGGGAGGGGTAAAGGCAGCACAGACGGATCTGCTAAGGCAACAATACAGCTTGTTACAGCGGAAGATACTGCTGCCACCGCCGCCGCTGCTTCCACCACAGAAGCATCAGCAAGAGCAGGAGCAAGGAGGTGAGGGTTGGCAATTGCGAGGGCAAGGCCAGGCAGGGGAGCAAAGGCAGGTGCAAGGGGTAGAGCAGCGGCTGTCCTTTCTCACGGCACCTGCGGGAGAGAGGCGTACAGAGGAACAGGAGTGGCTTTCACTGAAGATGGGGAAGGGTGCAGGGGAGGCAGGAGTGCGGGTGAATGGGGGGAGGGAGAGAGGAGGAGGGCAAGAGGGAAGAGGAGGGAGTGAGGGGTCAGCAAGACAGGGGGGAGTGGATCTGTCACTTGAATTGGGTGTTTGCAGGACGGGTGGGATGGGTAGTCCATTGAGTTGAAGTGCGAAACTCGGAGTTACGGTACTCAAAAGAGGGGAGAGTGGGAGCGGCGTGGGGTGGCGAGGTGTTTGCAGCTTTTCCTAGGGTGATTGTTGTGGTTGCAACAGTGACAGGCTCGGGAGTAACGGAATAAGGGCATGCAAAGGAAGGAGTGGCATTGCATGTGCCGTACACAACTTGAATAATCATGCTGCCTGAATTGTGGCCTCTAATTGTTGATTATTTTCTTTCTGTAATGTGTAATATTTGTACGTAAGTACTCTCTCACTTCATTTCATTCCATCCTCTGCTGTGATGAATCATGAACCAGTAATGTTAAAACCCGAGTACAGCATGGACAAGAGGAACCTTATTCCCAGGAACAGGGATCTTTTTCAGCATCTATCACTTCTGAACAGGCAACCTACCCTACCCCCCCTAGTACCGGACTAAGAGAAGACTTCTGAGGTGCCTCAAAAGTCGTTCCTCCTAGGTACCGGCCTGTTCCTCCATTTGCCGACGCTGCGACGGGACACTGCTACTCTGTGCTTGCATCTCCACCCGCAGCCTCCTTCTCCTCCTCGTCCCACTCGCGAATGCGGCACAGCAGGTGCGCGAGTATGCAGGCAAAGACCAGCATTGCCACGCTTGCTGCTGCCACGAGCGACAGAGACAGTGCCAACGCTGGGGAGGAAGAGGAGGAGGAGGTGGTCGCGGTGGGAGGTGGAGGGGAGCTGTCATGAGAGGGAGTGGGGGAAGGGGAGGGAGAAGGGGAAGGTGACGGGGAGGATGAAGGGGAAGGTGAAGGGGAAGGTGAAGGGGAGGGTGAGGGGGAAGGAGAGGGGGAAGGTGAGGGAGAAGGAGAGGGAGAAGGGGAAGGGGAAGGAGAAGGAGGAGGGGAGGGGGCTGGGGAGGGAGTAGGTCCACCAGGTGTCTGCAGGTATTGAACGAGAGCATAGGTACCCAGCCGTGGGGATGAGCACACATAGCCAGAGCCTGACGTGCTGCTGCTGCTGCTGCTGCTGCTCTTCTCTGCAGGTGTCAAGACCGGCGACGTGCCCCCTGCCACGCCGCCATCACCACCACCGACGATGCTGCCGCCGCCGCCGCCGCCGCCTCCACCATCCCCTCCGGCCCCTCCTCCACCAATCACAGCGCAGTAGATCTCACCATTATGCCCACCACCAGTTCCCGTGCGCCGTTCTTCCCCCGCTGCCTGTCCGCCGGGCTGTTGCCCGCCCTCCCCTCCTTCCACCGCCAGCCTTACCTCAATCCGCGCAGGCCCCGGCGCAACCACCTCCCACGCCTCCTCCTCCTCCGCCCCCGTCGTCTCCCCCGCGCCTGGGCCTTTGGCGGGGAGCAGGGGGGAGAGGTCGAACACGCGGAGCGCCACGAGGGGGCTCACGAGGGCGAGCGGGGCGGAATCCGCGCTCAACTGCGGAGCTTCTGACGGGGGGAAGCGGTAGTAGAGGAGGAGGAGGGGGGATTTGAAGGACGGGGGGGCGGGGGCGGGAGAAGGTGAGGAGGAAGGGGCGGAGGTGGTGGAGAAACGGGGGGCGGAGGGGGAAGGAGAGCGGTGGAGTGAGGCTGTGGCGAAAGCGACTAGGGGGCCGAGAAAGTCGGCACGAGTGGCGGTGATGCGCGCGCTGCTGCTGTTGCTGCTGTTGCTGCTGTTGCTGCTGCTGCTGCTCCTGCTGCTGCTCCTGCCCCTGCTTCTCCTTCTGCCGCCGCCTCGGGCGCTGCTTGCTGCGTCTTGCTGCGTCTTCTTCTTGCTGCGTCTCTGCGTGCTGGCGGGTTGGAAGGAGCAGCCAGGAGGAACGGTGATCTCATACCACCGGAATCCTGCCGTCCCCACCGCTTCCCGCTCGACCACTGCTGCTTCCACCACTCTACTACCGGCACTGCCGCCATTGTCGTTGCCGCCACTGCCACTGCCACTGTTGCTACCACCGACGCTACTGCTTCCCCCCACGCTCCCACCCCCTCCGGCCCCACTTCCAGCACCCGAAGACCCATCCGGAGGAGCGCCATAGTTCACGCCAACCACGATAGACCCTTCCGGAAGCGTGTGGTTACAATCTCCCGTCGCAACACCGCCGGCCGTCGCGTTGCCGCTGCGAATGGCGCTGAGAAGGGTCCACTTGGCTTGCTCCCACAGCATCTGCTGCAGCAGCGCGAACCGGTACGCGTCGATCTCCGCCTGCGAGTCCGAGCCTGAGCCCGAGCCTGAGCCCGAGCCTGAGTCCCCCGCGGTAGACGGCGGGCCTGTTGAGCCCTCACCTGGCGCTCCGGGAAGTTCCGGCATTGCCTGGATCGCAGACCTGCGGAACGACTCGGAGTCGCTGGCACCAATGGTGTTTTCAGAGGTGACACCCCCGCTGGTGCCGCCGATTTCGCCGGTTTCGCCGCTGTCGCTGGTGTCGCCGGTGCCACTAACGTCAGCCGCAGCGGCAGCGGCAGCGACAACAGCCAAGAAGCCTCGGGTGTTATCTGTGACTTCCGCGGGAGTACTAGTAGCACTGCTATTGATTGTGCTTTCAATGCTGGTAGTGCTGGTAGTAGCAGCTTCTAGTGGTAAAACGGTACTAACATCACGAAGACTCTTCGAAGAACGATTGTGATCACCAACTTCAAGTTGAACAGAACTAGAAGTAACGGCGAGTGCGGGTAACCGATTAGAGAGACCGAACCGAGTCACGCGGCCCGCGCGTCTAGTCTCCCTCTGCACCGCGGCACCGCCCCGCAAGCCGCTCGCTGCTGCAGCGAGCGCAACTTGCGCGGAGATTAACACAAATACGACTAGCAGCAGTCCCAGCAGACGCACGGCATCAATGCGATCGCGAGTGCGAGAGAGAGTGCGAATGCCAAGCGGGTGGCCTTGAGATTGGAATGCCTGTATGTTCACGCTTGACCAGTCGTGGCAACGCGACGGATTCGACGACGTGCAGACGAGTGGATTTCCAGCCGTTGCGCGCGGTTCGTTCAAGGAAACGGCCGTCGCGCCGCCGCAGTGCTGGCTTGTCAGCAGCGGGGAGCGCGCTTCCCGCTGTGGAACCAGCAGGTTGAGAGGTTGCTGCTGCTTTCCTGGTATCACGGCTTGCAACTTCTGGGCTCCCCGTGTTGCTGCGACTCCAGCCATCATGGCTGCAGCTTCTGAACTTCGGAAGACCGACAGTGCCGTTATCGTCTCCTCTCTCGAGCCTCCGCGAAATCCGCCGCCTATATCTGTAGTTTTAGGCGTAGCAGGTTCCTTTTGGGGCGCCTTAAAAGCAACTGCCTATGCTTGTCGAGTTGGATGTAGCAGATTCCGCGCCCTTGACATGAAGGTAGTTGCTCTGGGCGCTTCTAGTCGAGTCAGCTTTGCCTCTTGGGCTCGCGATGTCCCTTTCAATCGAGTTATTAACTACCTAATCGTGAGCTTGCAGTGGTCGTGCCGTGCGGGAAGGCTTGCAAGAAACTCGACAGAGGGTGGAAACGAAACACGCGTCTCACATGTGTCCCACTCAACGACTACGTCTTCCCCAACGGAAGCGCGGCGTGGCGTACACTCCTGTGAAAAGGAAGGGTCAGCGGCAGTTGTATAGCGGATACGCGTGGAGGCTCAAGCAAGCGAAAGAATGGAGGCAGGAGCAACAATAAGCAGGCGGAGTAGCACAGAGCGGATTAGAACAGAATTACTCAGAATCACAATCGAAGTTCCAGATTACTCGAAGAACTAGCGTTCGAGTGCCTTGTTGATCGCGAGTGGCCCCGTTCACCCCCGCTGGATTCCAGTCGATCGAGGGAGGTGATTGCAATGCGACGCGAGGCGTGCAACACACAGTTGGCGCGTCGCGGGGGAGGATTGTCCACCCCGTGTGCCACAATTATTGTTGCTAAAATTTCCTCGATAGTGGAACTCGGCAGTACAGAGACAATAATTGCGCTACAAAGCCAGTGGAATACGCATGATATGGTGCCCATTTTGTTGCGGTAAAGTACCACAGAAATCCACATTATCTAATAAGAACAGTATCTAGAAGTGCGCACATCTTGCATTCAACCCTAGCCTTGCTCGCTCGCTACTTAGTTATCCCAGGCTACTTGCTTACAACCACACAAAAAAATCTTGAATTCACATCATTCCATTGCCATCTCCTCGTCATCCTCGTGCCACCAACTCCCATCAATACTTATCATCCGTCTCGTCCTCCGTGAACCGGGTCCTCTCATTCCCCGCCATCTCCACCTCCTGCAACTCCGCCCCGCCTCCAGGCCCCTCCCCTTCCCCACCCCCCCCACCATGCTCCTGCTCCTCCACCAGCTTCGAATACGCACTGTACAGCCTCCGCGACTTGATATAAGTCACCACCCACACCACGAGCAGCACGAGCGCGAGCACCCCACCCAGCGCACCCAGCAGCACATACTTCCCGTTCAGAAGCTCCGCAGATTCGATATAAAGCGTCTGGACGCACGGGCCCACGACGACGGGAGCAGGGAGCTTGACGGAGCCGTTGAGGTTCGGGTTGCAGGAGCCCTCTTCTTCGTACGTGTAGGTGATGTTGTGGCGCCCGTGCACGTCTGCGCATGTGCTGTTGCTCGTCAGGTAGCTCGCACAGGGCTGGCACGGAATGTCGTCCGGCAGCGGCGCCTGCGGGTTGGGCTGGCATAGCTGCGTAAGGGAGGGCAAGTGGGGGGAGGAAGTTGGGAGACAAAGTGGGGGGAGGAAGTTGGGAGACAAAGTGGGGGGAGGAAGTTGGGAGACAAAGTGGGAAGGGGGGGGGGGGGGGGGGGGGGGGGGGGGGGGACGTGGGGAGAGATGGAGGAGGGCATGATTGAAGGCATGAAAAAGCAGTCCCCTCCCCGTACAAAGATCCCCATCCCACCCACCTTAGGATCTTTGTACTTGAAATCAACAAACTTGTTGTCCTTGCAGTTGGGCACAGTGACCATATTAACCAACCAATACCCAGTTCCTCCCTCCTACCACCCACGCTCCCACATCCACTCACTCCCTCATCCCCTTAACACCCACCTTGGGCTCCTTGTACTTGAAGACGACGAACTTGTTGTCCTTGCAATTGAGCACCGTGACCACAATGACCCTACCCACCCTTCCCTGTCGACCGACTCCCCTCCCCCCTCTTATTCACTGACCTTGGGCTCCTTGTACTTGAAGACGACGAACTTGTTGTCCTTGCAGTTGGGCACGGTGACCACAATAACCCCAACTGCAAGGACAGCAAGTTCCTCCCTCGCTTATCCACCCACTCTCTCCCCCGTGCAACGCACCTTGGGCTCCTTGTACTTGAAGACGACGAACTTGTTGTCCTTGCAGTTGGGCACGGTGACCACAATAACCCCAACTGCAAGGACAGCAAGTTCCTCCCTCGCTTATCCACCCACTCTCTCCCCCGTGCAACGCACCTTGGGCTCCTTGTACTTGAAGACGACGAACTTGTTGTCCTTGCAATTGAGCACCGTGACCACAAGAACCCCAACTGCAAGGACAGCAAGTTCCTCCCTCGCTTATCCACCCACTCTCTCCCCCTGCAACGCACCTTGGGCTCCTTGTACTTGAAGACGACGAACTTGTTGTCCTTGCAATTGAGCACCGTGACCACAATAACCCCAACTCCAAGGACAGCAAGTTCCTCCCTCGCTTATCCACCCACTCTCTCCCCCTGCAACGCACCTTGGGCTCCTTGTACTTGAAGACGACGAACTTGTTGTCCTTGCAGTTGGGCACGGTGACCATCTCGTAGTCGTCGTACGTGCACATGGGGCACGCAAACGCCGAGTACCACACCATGTCGTACGTGCACGCCGTCTCGTTGCCAATGGGGATGATGCCACCCGTGCGGTCCACCCACGACGGGAAGGTCAGAGCCGGGTCCAGAGCTGCCTGCTTGCCCTTCTCCGTCCACGCCTCCGGTGCACCGTAGCCTGGTGGGTGAGGGAGGAAGAGGAAAGGGGAAGGGGAAGAAAGGTGTATATATGAAGGCGCCTCGCAAACCCCGAGTACCACACCATGTCGTACGTGCACGCCGTCTCGTTGCCTATCGGGATGATGCCACCCGTGCGGTCCACCCACGACGGGAAGGTCAGAGCCGGGTCCAGAGCTGCCTGCTTGCCCTTCTCTGTCCATGCCTCTGGTGCACCGTAGCCTGATGGGTGGAGGAAGAGGAAGGGGATGAGTTGGAAGGGGGGTATACTTAAGGTGGCTCAAAGCGGTCCACCCACGACGGGAAGGTGAGAGCCGGGTCCAGAGCTGCCTGCTTGCCCTTCTTTGTCCATGCCTCTGGTGCTCCGTAGCCTGGTGGACGGGGAGGAAGAGGTGGAGAAGGACGAAACACCTGTTAAGGTGGCTCAAAGCAGGCCACCCAGGAGGGGAAGGTCAGGGCCGGGTCGAGAGCGGCCTGCTTGCCCTTCTCTGTCCACGCCTCTGGTGCACCGTAGCCTGATGGGGAGGGGAATAGTCTTAAGGTGACTTAAGAACGGTCCATCCAGTAAGGGAAGGTCAGGGCTGGGTCCAAAGCTGCTTTCATGCCCATCTCTGTCTATGCCTCAGGTGCATCGTGGAGGAAGAGGAACTAGCGGAAGATGGGTGAATAGAACACGGATGAGCAGCCAGCTCTTTGAATAAAAGAACGAAAAAAGTCAGGCAAAAAAGGGGGCAAAAAAAAAGAGAATTGAGCACATGGGAAAATCAACTGGCAGTCAGCGAAATGGGGTAGCACCGGGGAGCAGACAGCACGCACCAGCATTGGGGTCGCAGATAAAGGTGATCTTGAGCTCGCGGTCCTTGTCCTCCGCCACACACACACTTCTGTCCCCCGACATCGCCATCACAAACCTTTTGAGACGTCCCAGAAAGCAATGAGGTAGCCGCGCGGAATGGAACTCAACTCACCAGCATTGGGGTCACAGATGAAGGTAATCTTGAGCTCGCGGTCCTTATCCTCCGCCACACACGTGTCCCCCGTCATCGTCATCACAAACCCCCTGCGGAACAGCGCCGCACCCTGCCCCAGCGGCGACAGATCAATCTTCTTCCCCAGGTTATGCGCCAACCTGTGCCCCTGCCGGTTATCCAGCTTCGTCACGGGGTTGATCTTACACGCGTACGTGTTCATCGGAGCCCCGCGCACGCTCGCGCACGTGCGGTTGGTCTTATCCCGATCGCAGACGTTCACGTAGTACAGGGACCCTTCGGACCGGTTCTTAGCCTTGGGATTGTCGAAGATCGGGCCAAACATGCGGCCGGGGTGGCGGCGCGAGAGCGGAGAGAGGTCGAAGATGGTGAGGGGGAGCTTGGAGTCTTCTTCGGAGGCAGGCGGGACGTAGGAGCAGTAGGAGGAGGGGACAGCCACGTCTCCTATGGTGCACTCGCTGCTGCCGGCGAGAGAGGTGGTGCCGGGGCTGCAGGGTTGGCAGGATGCCTTGCTTCCCTGGAGGGATGCAGGCGGGGGAGAGATCGAGGAGTGGGAGATGGGTAAGGGGAGAGGAGAGGAGGGTGAGCGAGGAGGGATGAGAGAAATGCAGTATGGATGAGCGGAATGTGTCGATTCGTCACGGCGGATTGAAGTAGGGTGAGGGCGAGTGAGCGGATGAGTAGGGTGGGTGTGCATGTGGTTGAGAGAGAGGGCGAACTGGATGGAGGTGACTTAGTCACCTCAGCTGAATAGGGTGGGTGTGCATGTGGTTGAGAGAGAGGGTGAACTGGATGGGCAGGAGCAGCCAGACACAGCACGCACCACTCACCACACACCCCACACCACACAGCACCGCACAGCACCGCACAGCACCACACAGCGCCACACAGCACTGCACAGCAGCAGCACATACAAAAGGCATGTCGTTGTAGGTGTTGGGAGGGCAGGCGGTGCAGTTAGAAGCGAGCCCCTCGCTGTAGAACCCAGCAGGGCACTCCGTCCAGAACGAGCCCTGCCCCGCCAGCTCAGCCCCCTCCGGCACCGGCTCACAGTAGCTCGCTCCTCCCCTTGTTGCCGCGTCAATCTGTAGGTGGTGTGTACAGGTGAGGGATATGAAGCACCGGCATGGAAAGAATAGGGTATCTGAGTTTGAAATGGGGGTGCGTGTGAACGTATGATGATGTTTCGGAAAGCCCCTCAGGCACCGGCTCACGGAAGCTCACAGCTCCGCTGGTAGCCGTGTCAGTATGGGGCTCTGTGTGTGTGCGTGCGTGCGTGTGTGTGTGTGTGTGTGTGTGTGAAGAAGCTACGTTTGAAATTTCTCGTAAGTGACTCCAACAGAGAGCAGAGGGGAGAGGAGGAAGAGGGAGAGGCTCACCAGGATGTCATAAATAATGGTGCCGTCAGTGGTGTCGTTCTGCTGGTCCTGCAGCTTGATCCATTTTTGAGTCTACCCAAGAGGAATCGTTTGAGTCGGCTCAAGAGGCTCACCAGGATGTCATAGATAATGGCGCCGTCAGTGGTGTCGTTCTGCTGGTCCTGCAGCTTGATCCACACCCACATGAGCGTGTGCTTGCCCTTCCTCAGCTCCCACGGGTCTGTTGTCACCACTGTGTCCGGCTCCCCCTCCTCGTACCCCTCCTGATGTGTGCAGCGCAGTGTGTACAGGATGAGGGTGGAGGGGGGGGAGGGGGGGGGGGGGAGGGGGCAGCATGCAAGGAAAAGGAGGGGTGCAAGGGGGGAAGAGAGACGATTGAGAAAAGAAAAACAAAGCACAAGGGATCTCAGGGCAGGACGGTGCTTTTCGAGGTGAATCATGGTGCATGCATGGCGATGCGATGTGTGCAACACCTGTGCTGCACTGCGCCACACCGCACAACACCGCGCTACTAACCTCGCTGGCGACAACGAGGTCCTCATCGACATAGAAGAAGAGGCCCCGCTGCGTGTCCCCTTCTGGCAGGTGCGCCGAGTAGTTGAACGTCACCTGGCCGTCCATCTCCATGTCCACCTCGTACTTGAGCCACACCTGTGTGAGTACATGCATGTGGCGAGCCATGTTATGTCATGTCATGGCATGTCATGAGTCGGAGCCATGTGCGTGTGTCACACAGCATGCAGCCACACACACATGGAGGGACAAGGCAAACAAACACACACACACACACACACACACACACGTCAGGGAGTGATAAATGACTGACCAGGGAAAGCACCACACCAACACCACCACCACTGAATCCCATCGCAGCAACCACATGCCCCAAATAAATTCCCACCACAACCACACCAAACAACACCAAACCCCGCCAAACCCACCACAACCACACCAGTCCACAACAAACACACACCGAACCGCACTGAAACACTCTCAATCTTACCGAGACGGACTGGCCGTGGCCGACTCCAGACTCGAGGCGCTCATTGACCACGTGCCAGCCAGGGGACCCGCACTGCCCCCGGCACCCCGTGGTGAATCCCTCCGGCAGCCCCCAACCGCACCAAACCCACAGGAAACCGCACCGAACCACCCTCCATCAAGCTCACCGAGACAGACTGGCCGTGGCCGACACCCGACTCGAGGCGCTCATTGACCACGTGCCAGCCAGGGGACCCGCACTGCCCACGGCACCCCGTGGTGAATCCCTCCGGCAGCCCCCCGTGCTGGCGAGCAAAGTGCTCGAGCTTGAACGACTTGATGGCCACGTTGCCCGGCTCACACCGCACACATGAGTTGCCCATCGTCTCGTTGCTTGCATCCCGCGCCGAGCCCTGTGGGAGAGAAGAGGAGGGGGTGGGTAGCGGGTTGTACGAGGGCGGGGGGCAACAGGGGTCAGGGCCCCAGGTTGGTGGGGATGGGGGCGTGGGGGGAATGGGGTGTCAGGGAGGAGGGAGCGGGTAGCGGGGAGGGGGGAATGGGGAGTGGGGAGGTTAGAGAGCTTGACCTAGGAACATAGAGAGCATGAGGACACAAAACGGGGATGGGGGGATGGGGGGGTATGGAGCACACGAGGGGGAGTAGCAGGAGGGACCGGAGATGGAGGGCGGGAGATGGGGAAGGAGCGAAGGAGAGACGCACAGGAGGGCAGAAGACACAGGCCTTGGTGCCGTTGGCAGGAGAGTCCTCGTAGTACTGGCCTGAGGGGCAGGGCGCTGATGGGGGGAGAGAGACAGGAGCGGGGATGGTGTGCAGATGGATGGTGTAAAGAGGATAGTGTGGTGATGGTGTGTGGGGCAATGGTGGGGAGAATGTTTAGAGTTAGAAGCGACTTTGAAAGAAACAAGGGTTGACTGGTGGGGATGGGGACTGGTGGAGACATAGCGTCGAATGAAAGGAAATGAATGGAAAGTAAAGGGAGGGGAAGGAAATACAAGAAAAGGATTGAGAAGGGAAGGGAAAGGAAGGGGAGGGAACGGGAGGAAAGGGAGCAAAGGGAAGCGAAGGAAAGGAACGGGACATTAGGGAAGGAAAGGGAAGAGGAAGCAACGCAAACGAAGGGCAAGTGAGTGACGGATAGAGAGTGCATGGAAGGAAGGGCAGGCGGGCTCACGGCAGGTCTGGGTGTCCTCTGGTGGGAGCGCCTCACCCCCCGTGCACACCTTGGGCTCCACCCACTCGTACTTCTGCTCACATGGTGTACACAAAAGAGGGGGGAAGGGGAGGGAGGGACATGGGGTCAGGGAGAATGGGGAGGAGCAGGGAGACGGAGGGCGAGGCGTGGCATGCATGCGAGACGAACAGCTAGCAGCAAAGGGTGGTCTACCATAGGCCAACCCCAACAGGTACATAAATTGTTTCATCATTCGGCACGCAGTGGAGGGTTTATCATAGCCCAGAAAGAATCACGAGCGGCAGTCAAGACGCATGGCAGGCGAGTCGTGGGGGAGGAAGGGAAGGAGGGAGGGAGGGACGTTGGGCAGGCGTGCGGGAGGTGGGGAGGGGCGGAGGAGCAGTGCGTGCCTTGGTGCGCGTGTTGGTGGCAGACATGCAGGGGGTGTAGGTGTAGCGCGCATGCTTCTCCAGACTGCAGGCTGTCGGATGGGATGGGGGGGATGAGATGAGATGACACGGGGATGAGAGAACGCGAGGATGAGAGGAGGACTGAGAGAGGCAGACATGCAGCAGCGACAGGTGCGAAGTTCGAGGCGGGGAGAAGTGACAGAAGAGAGGGAGAAGCGAGGGAGTGGAGGAAAATGAGAGTGGGTTGAAGGTTGGGAGAGTGCATGGGGAAGGAAGCGATTGATATGGGGGTGAGGCAGGGAGGACTGGGGGTGCGGCAGAGAGGACACGTCTCTTTCGAGGCAGCTCAACAGTACATGTAACTGAAAGGAAGAGAGAAAGGACCGGAGGAGAGGCGACGATATGGGGAAGAGGAGAGGAGAGGAGAGGAGAGGAGATGACACGAGGGGAAGGGGAGGAGATGAGATGAGCGGGGAGGAGAGGAGAGAAGGCAGCGCAGAAAAGCAGGAGACTCACTGGGTTTGGGTAAGCACTTGGTGCGTGGAATGTGCAGCGCATAGCTGTTCTCTGGACAGGCTTCGCACTGCGCTGCCCCTCCCCTGGTGGCATGGCATGGCATGGCGTGGCATGGCATGGCATGGCATGGCATGGCATGGCATGGCATGGCGTGGCGTGGCATGGCATGGCATGGCATGGCATGGCATGGTATGGTATGGCATGGCATGGTATGGTATGGCATGGCATGGTATGGACAAGGGGGTGGGATGCAACAAGAGAGGAAAGGAGATGAGGAGGGAGAAGTGGGAGGCGACAGGGGGGTAGGTTGCTATAAGGGATTGATTTGCTCAGTAGAAGATGCAAGCAGCAAAGGTGATTTGAACTGAATTCTCAAAGGTGATTTCAATGCCCTTCCTTCAAGACGAACGGCAAAGTTGCTGAGATAGACGATTGCTTTCCACTTCGTGTAAGAGTCGAATTGGCAGAAAGGTTGGTTTGAAGATGGCGCTTCAGTAGAAGCGATGCTGTTAAAAAAAATCTCAAAGGTGACAAAGACGGAACTGAAGCACGAAAGACGGCCTTCTGTTATGAGGGGGCTTGGCACAAGAGTTGGTGGAGCATGGCGAGGAGTGGAGTGGGGAGGGGGAGCAGGAAAAACGCACTTGGAGATGTGATCGAGCGGGCATGGGATGCACTCTGTTGCACCCTCGCCACTGCCATAGGGAAAGAAAGGAACACGCACGCACATGAGCACACACACCAGCACACAGCAGCACACGCACACACGTAAGCACACGGCAGCACGCACACACCAGCACACAGCGGCACACGCACAGAACATGAGCCAAAGCAGTGGTGAGCGAGGAGCATAGAAAAGAAAGGCGCCTTGTGAGTGGACTCAAAACGACTAGCCATTGAGGTGCGAGAAAGCGAGCAGCACAGGCAAGAGAAAACAAGATGACAACAAGGCAGCAGCTCTATAACGAGCAGCCTGAACCATGAGGACTGTGTGGAAGCAGGAGGGCAGTCGGCAGGTGGAAAGGCGGCAGGCGGGAAGATGGTGCAGCGGATGGAGCAACGGATGGAGCAGCGGATGGTGCAGCGGATGGAGCAGCGGATGGAGCAGCGGATGGAGCAGCGGATGGTGCAGCGGATGGTGCAGCGGATGGAGCAGTGGATGGAGCAGCGGATGGAGCAGCCTACCTGTAAAACCCGGGCTCGCAGGGAGTGCAGCGGTGGTCGTTGTAATCTGTGCCGTCCACCTCGATCATCTGTGGGGGGATGAGAGACGGACAAAGGTGAGGATGAGGGAGTGACAGCAAGGGGACGGGAAGAGAGGCAATGCAAGCAGAATTGGAGGCAAAAGCGATGATCGGAGTGAGGGAGACGGGAAACAGCAGCAGCAGCAGCAGCAGCAGCTTTAGCAAAGGTGGCAGCCTCCTGAAATTACTTAATTCGAATCCCCCAAAGCGGTGCAAGGCAAGGCGAGCACGTACGGTGATGGCGGCGGTGTCCTGGCCGCGGGTGAACTCATGGTCCTTGGAATAGAGCCACGTGAGGTGGTGGTAGCCCTCTGTTAGGTTGAACATCACCTGCTTCGGATGGAACTGGGGGTGGGAGGGAAGGGAGAGAGATGGGAGAGTGGGCGGGGAGGGGGATAGAAATCTCTAAGGCACGTCAACTCTTGTGGTCCTTGGAATAGAGCCACGTGAGGTGGTGGTAGCCCTCTGTTAGGTTGAACATCACCTGCTTCGGATGGAACTGGTGGGTGGGAGGGAAGGGAGAGAGAGGGGAGAGTGGGCGGGGAGGGGGGATAGAAATCTCTAAGGCACCTCAACTCTTGTGGTCCTTGGAATAGAGCCACGTGAGGTGGTGGTAGCCCTCCGTCAGGTTGAACATCACCTGCTTCGGATGGAACTGGTGGTGCCAACAACCAGGCAGGCGGTGGGGGGGGGGGGGGGGGGGAAGGGGGGGGATGATGTGTGGTGATGTGTGGTGGTGTGTGGTGATGATGGTGTTAATAATATTGGTGACAGTGATGATGGTGTAGGAAGGTAATCTTGAATTGGCGTATGTTGCAGCGCAGAACAGAGCCAACGGAAGCAGAGCCTGGTAGCTGGTAGGAGTGGAGGGGGGCGTACCTGGTAGGAGTCGAGGGGCATGACGGGTTGCTCGGAGACGTCAATGAAGAAGGAGAGCCCGTCCAGACCCTTCTCCGCGTTCACCGTGTAATTGAACTTCACATACCTGCCAACACCATGCCATGCCATGCCATGCCATGCCATGCCATGCCATCCCACCCACATGCCAGACCATATCATACCATGCCATGCAATGCCATGCCAAGCAAGTGCGTTGCAGAACAGCGGATTGTTACCAGTCCACACATACACCACTGAAAGCAGCCACTACAAACAGCAAGTTTGACTACTCGGCTCTGGCTGGCAGTTTTCTTAGGCATCCGTACCGATTATTGTTGTACCTAAACGCGTTGGTCAATGAGGGAGGCACTCACCCCGGGCGGACGAGGCGAACGGTCATCTGCAGCACGGAGCGCAGGTTGTTGTGACACTCGTAGTCCTCGTCCGTGTCACACTCGTCCTGATGGCACACGGCAGGGGAGGGAGAGACAGAGGAACAGAGAGAGCGAGTGTGAGTGTGTGTTTGCTTTGAGTCAACTGGAAACACGCAGGCTGTTGTGACACTCGTAGTCCTCGTCCGTGTCACACTCGTCGTGATGTGAGGAGAGAAGGAGAGGGACGCGTAGGGGGAAGGGAGGAAACGGGAGATGTGGTGCGATAGTTATATAAGTTGTTGTGATACTGCTAGTCGCAGGAAGAGAAAGAGAGAGGGGAGGAGAGAAGGAATGGGGAGGTGGGGAGGGGTTGAAGGAGGGTAGTAAGAGAAGGGACAAATGATGTATAGACATACAGAAGTAGAATGCGGGAGGGTGTCAGAGAGAGGGAGTGTGATAGAGAGAGAGGGACTTACTTGCAACCACTCGTTCGGGCTGTCATACGCCCCCACTTTAACCGCTCCATCTTCAACGTACCATCTGTTGTTATGCCCAATCATGCCATACCATGCCATGCCATGCCATGCCAAGACACAGCAAGATTTGCACACAAAAAGGGAAAGCGACACTCATGGAGCATGGCCTGCTGGCTGAGTCCCTATCAATCTATGCTTTCATTCCCATCCCAATGCGTGCGTTCTTCCCAATGTGGGACCACCATGTTTCTGTGATACACACTGTGGAATGCGTGGTTGCATGGGTGCATGGGTGCTTGAGTGCATGACTGCTTTATGTGCATGGACTTACGGTTCACATGTGTGCTTGCCCGTGGCATTGAAGAACTCGCATGTGGTCTGCAGACACACACAAATGCACATAGATGCACACAAATGCACACATCCATGCACATAGATGCACACAAATGCACACATGCATGCACATAGATGCACACAAATAAACACATGCATGCACATGCGCACACACGCACCCACGCACGCACAACCACATAGACACACCAAAACACAAGCACGGCAGCAATCAGAAGAGGACACAAGCACATAACAACCAAGCAGTGAGTGAGTTACTCCTGCATCAATGAATCCTCCCAATCCTGCAAATATTTCCCAGCTGCTCTGACAAACCTTTTCTTGTCCGCCTTATGAATAATCGCATCACATTCGGTGCGCATATAGTCCCAGCCGCATCTGACAACTCCCTGTTCCCCTGCCCTGCTTGTCCTGTCAGATACCTCTTTCCTTACCTCTGCTCATGTGTCCCTTTCTCACTCCCACCCTCCCCTTGTTGCCCTTTCCCCTTGTGCTTCCCCCTGCCCTTCCAAGAAACCCCCACAATCTCCTCCCACCCCACTTTCCCACTCCCTTCCCTCGACAGCCTTCACCCATCCCATCAGCGCGGCACACAGGCCAGAACGACAAGAACAACAGCAGCAGCAGCAGCAGCAGCAGCAAGCAGCACCTTGAAGTACTTCTTATCAAGCTCGTAAATCTTGTCGAATCGCAGGCCTCCTCCCATGCTGTACGTTCCTGCAGTGGTTTGTGCCCACCCAAGTACGGCGTGCAAGGGAGTAGCAGAGGGGAAGGCATGTCGGAGCAGAGAGGAACCCAACGGGTTGTGTTACAGAGTGAGGGCGAAAGGGGAAAAAGGGTGGGGGGAGGTGAGCGGGAGAGTTGAGCGGGGGAGAGGGGGGGGGGGAGGGCGGGGGGGAGTGGGGGGAGTGGGAGGGTGGGTGCAGTGCAGCGCAGGTAAAGGGGTTCATCAGGGGAGGGGGAAAGAGCATGAACAGGAGGAGAAAGGGAGACAAGTGTGGGCGGGCACTGAAGAGGGAGGGAAGCACAGGGAAAGTAAAGGGAAGCGAACCTGGGGCGCATATCTTGCATGAGTCCGCGTGCAGGAACGAACCAGGGCCGCACTTGGTGTCTGCGGCACACAGTCCGATAGCGTGGGGATGGGGGAAAGGGCGAGGAGAGAACGAAATGGGAAGGGGGGTATCGGAGAGACAGTTGGAATAAAACCAGGGCGGAGGTGAGTGGGCGGGCAAGGTCTGGGGTCGGGGTTTGGAATGAGCAAGAGGGCGTGCAGAGAGGGCTGCATGAACGAGGGTGCGGTGCATGCATGGGGGACGAGGGTGCGGTGCATGCATGGGGGACGAGGGTGCGGTGCATGCATGGGGGACGAGGGTGCGGTGCATGCATGGGGGACGAGGGTGCGGTGCATGCATGGGGGACGAGGGTGCGGTGCATGCATGGGGGACGAGGGTGCGGTGCATGCATGGGGGACGAGGATGCGATGGATATCTGTTGAATTGTCCGAGTCGCTTTGAATCACACAACACACCATCGTGCACAGGGATGCAGTGACGGTGCGTTGGTGCACACATTGAGAGGGGGGTGAAGGAAGGAGGGGGCATTGCACACGCACACACCGCATGGAATGTCGGTGATAGGTGGGAGTTTCCAGTCGACTCAAAAAAGAGGGGGAAGGGGCGTTGCACGCAAGCACACACGCACCGCAGGGAATGTAGGTGATAGGCGGGAGATGGGCTGAGCCCTTGGCGGCAGGGTTGCATGACTTGTTGAAGAAATAAATCACCTGAGGGGGAAACAAGGCGGGGTGAAAGGGGGGGGGGAGGGGAGGGGGGAGTTGGGCGGGAGGTTATGGGGGAACGGGAAGACGAAACAGCAGAAGTTGATGTGAGAAGGTAGATGTGACAGCATTCGATCAGACAGTTTCAGCACCCTGTAAAAACAACTGACCTGAGCTGCGGGTTTCTCGCCGTCAGCGGTGGAAACCGTGATGCCTGATTCCCCCATGCACTGCGAGTACGCCACCCGCATGTGCGCCTTGGTGCATGGCACCGCGCTCAACTCTGGCACGAAGGATAAGAAGGGGTAAGTGGGAGGGAGGGGCGGAGGGAAAGAGGGAGGGAAGGAAGGAGGGAGGGAGGGAGGGAGGGAGGGAGGGAGGGAGGGAGGGAGGGAGGGAGGGAGGGAGGGAGGGAGGGAGGGAGGGAGGGAGGGAGGGAGGGAGGGAGGGAGGGAGGGAGGGAGGGAGGGAGGGAGGGAGGGAGGGAGGGGGGAGGGAGGGAGGGAGGGGGGAGGGAGGGAGGGAGGGAGGGAGGGAGGGAGGGAGGGAGGGAGGGAGGAGGGAGGGAGGGAGGGAGGGAGGGAGGGAGGGAGGGAGGGAGGGAGGGAGGGAGGGAGGGAGGGAGGGAGGGAGGGAGGGAGGGAGGGAGGGAGGGAGGGAGGGAGGGAGGAGGGAAGGAGGGAGGGAGGGAGGGAGGGAGGGAGGGAGGGAGGGAGGGAGGGGGAGGGAGGGAGGGAGGGAGGGAGGGAGGGAGGGAGGGAGGGAGGGAGGGAGGGAGGGAGGGAGGGAGGGAGGGAGGGAGGGAGGGAGGGAGGGAGGGAGGAGAAGGAGGGAGGGAGGGAGGGAGGGAGGGAGGGAGGGAGGGAGGGAGGGAGGGAGGGAGGAGGAGGGAGGGAGGGAGGGAGGGAGGGAGGGAGGGAGGGAGGGAGGGAGGGAGGGAGGGAGGGAGGGAGGGAGGGAGGGAGGGAGGGAGGGAGGGAGGGAGGGAGGGAAGGAAGGAGGGAGGGAGGGAGGGAGGGAGGGAGGGAGGGAGGGAGGGAAGGAAGGAGGGAGGGAGGGAGGGAGGGAGGGAAGGAGGGAGGGAGGGAGGGAGGGAGGGAGGGAAGGAGGGAGGGAGGGAGGGAGGGAGGGAGGGAGGGAGGGAGGGAGGGAGGGAGGGAGGGAGGGAAGGAGGGAGGGAGGGAGGGAGGGAGGGAGGGAGGGAAGGAGGGAGGGAGGGAGGGAGGGAGGGAGGGAGGGAGGGAGGGAGGGAGGGAGGGAGGGAGGGAGGGAGGGAACCGGGGAGGGAACCGGGGAGGGAGGCGGGAGAAAGGAAGAGGTGAGCACTGAGCAGGGGTCGGTATGCAGAGGGAGGTGAGAGCAAGGAGTGAGCAACGCAAGACGGAGCGTTGAGATGGCACTGGGTACGATGCGGTGGACGCGAGAGGTGTGAGGAGGCGAGGATAGAAGCAGCAGAGAGGCGTAGGGGCGTAGGGGCGTAGGGAGGGGCGTAGGGGCTTACCGCAGAAGAAGGGATTGACGCTGACCTTGCCCGTCACAGAACCACTGGAGCACCCTGATAGACACACGCGCACGCACACGCACACGCACACGCACACGCACATGCACGCATGCAAGCACGCACGGAAGAACGCTCGTACGCACGCGCAAACACATGCAAACACAGATGCACACACACACGCACGCACGCACGCACGCACACGGGCGCGCGCGCACACACACTCATGCGCACTCACGCACAGACGCATGAACGCGCATGCACGCGCACGAACACGCACTCAGATGCGGACTCGCACAGCGACACTCCCGCGCACACACACAGGAAAGATGTTGGGGGGAAGGAGGGGGAGGAGGAGCAGGGGAGGAGGGGTTCAAGAGGCGAGCGAAGAATGGAGCATGCAAGCGCATTCGAAAAAGCAGTAAACGAATCAACATAAATCCCTGCCTCTCAAGACATTCCAAAGCTTTCCCAGGGTTTATGGATGGGCAGTCAAGTTCGGTAGAGCGGTGGATGGAAAAAGCTAGTTCATGGCAGGCATGGGCGGTTGATCAACAATGCTATCTTGCTTGCTACTTATCCTGGATTATGTGGGTAGGAAGATTGACCATTCATTCCGTGCCCTGGGTGAAAGGTTTCGTGTGGGCCCTTTTAGCAATTGGTCGGGACAGAGGAAGAGACGAGAAAAAGGGGAGTGACTGTGGCGGACAGACGGGAGGGTAGAGAACGTGGAAGGGAAAGAGGGGTGACAGGAGGAAGAAGATCTGGGAGGGGGATGAATAGATACCTGCGTTAGGAACAAACTCCTCGGTGCAGTTCGGTCCAGGCGTGGTCTTGTACTGGAGAGTATAGTCCTCAGGCGTACATGCTGCCAGGAACCATCATCAAACACCGCACCCCACCAAACCGCACCACACCAAACGGCACCACATTAGACCACCATCGACCACGACCATCACACCCCGTTGCGAGCGAGCAACACGGAGGCAGACCGTCAAACCGTGTACAGGGTGAACACACACACGGATTACCAGAGAAAACGGTCAAATCGGACGGATCGAGAGATAAGAGCTCAGATCAACTGGCGGTAAGCGAGCAGGATGGACCGAACGGAAATGCCAGTGACGGCGAATTACCACGAGCTGATCATACGACGACAAATGGAAAGGTGCGACAATTCGCGGCAACCATGCGACCCGAATGCGACGCAGACGGGACAAGATGCGACGTGAGCGACAATCAGAACGGCGACTTACTGCAGGGCTCGTCGTGGATCTCTTGGACAGGAAAGGGGTCTTTACAGTCGCGAACCTTCTTATACTCCACCTGACGCGTGCTTCCCGTACCTGCTCGACAGACAACGGATAGAAAATGCCGCGAAAGAAAAAAGTTTGTTTCCTTTTCTCCTTAAAAAAGAACGAGGGAGTCTGATTGGGATATTTTTGAGACCAAAGCCGCAAATCCAAGGTGCGAAAGGCGAGATCAAGAAGGGCTACTTGTCGTTGCGAGAAACCAGCCAAAAGTCGAGCAAACGCCGAAAAACGGAAGATTTGAATTAATGGCGCCGGCTGGTCGGGACTATTTTCACTGAGACGCAAAATACCTTAGGAGATTTCGGGCAAGGACCACCATGGTAGTAAAGTTAGTCATGTACACACTTAGTTAGTGCAATAAATGAGATGATGCCAAAGTTGACCTAACCAAATCCGATGCTCTTTGGGGCTTGGCAAACGATGCGCAGCGATACAGAGAAGTGGGACGACGACGAGAGCGAGGGGCGCGTGTAAAAAAAATGATTTGATGACGACTGAGGAACGAAGAGCCAAGACGGATGTCAAACTTAAACCACTCAACGAAATAAAAAGTGGAAAGAGGGGCTCTAACATGCTGTGGATAGACGGGCATAGTCGGAAGGGAAGCAGTAATCTTGCGCCACCGCCGCACACGCCAGTACCAGAACGAGCGTTAAGATTGTCAGCGCACGACGGGCCGACACGAAATCCATGGCGGACCAACCAGTACTTGGTGGATCCACAGATATTCCACCCAGCAGGCTCTTAGTTTGAAAAAAGCACCAATAAATATTCCACCCTGCTGTGGAAATCGGCAGATCTAACGCGCTTATCGGTTGACCAGGCCCATGTCAGGGGACTAAGAGCAAGATCTCGTACTGCTGGCTTTGGTTGGTTAGGCCAATCCTTCACGCGGGCTGTTGAAGCTACCGGCTTTTGGTTCTCCTGACCAAATGTGTTTGATTGAACCACAATGTCAAGTCATCCAGCCAGCCCCGACCGAAATTGGAGAAAGAAAGGCGGAGGGGGGGTGAGAGGGGGGTATATTCCACGATACACGTGTATCTGTATCCCCAAGGGTGGGACGAGAGGGGCCTGCTGGTGGGGAATAACGACGTGTTGCGACCCACCCGGGTCGGGTCGACAACCCCCCGACCCCGAAATTCTAGGAAGCCCGCACTGCCGACCTACCCGACCAGGCCGACCCGACCCAACCCGACCCGGGTCGGGTCAACCCGGGTCAATCCGGGTCGACCGGGTCGGGTCAACCAGGCCGACCAGACCCAAACCAACCGAGCTAGAGCAGGTTACCCAAGTCTGCGAAATTTGTAGTTCTCGCGCGGATGTCGCTTGCATCTCGTTTAACAAAAAGGTACCCGGTAGTATCGCCAAATATTGCCTCACCCACCTTCCACCTGCGGAGCACTTGCTTTCTCTTTACTTCGAATTTGCAGAGAAGGCAACGGGAAATTCTTTGTTTTCTCGAGTCGCCTTTCGGTTGGGTTGGGTTGGGTCGGGTCTACCCGACCTGTTCGACCCGACCCGACACAAACCGGGTGGCTCGCAAAACGTCGTAAATGGTTCGGCACTTCAATAGCACGACGATTCCGGACCAGACCAGCGTGTAAAAGCTGAAGACCCACCCGCACACCAGCTTGGGCTGGGATGACCAGCGTTACCGATGTGTGATTTCTGGTACCGTATTGCATCGTCACGTCCCCCAACCGAAATTGTTGGGTCAATTATAAGAGTTGCCAGCGGGAGGTGGGGAAGGAATTGGGTGTAGTGTGGTTGGGGGGCTGCAGCATTCGAAGGCCTGGCGGTTGCGGGATTTTCTTGTGATGGGTGGGGGAAGGAGGCTTGGTTTGGAGGCGGCGCAGCCACCGACATGCTGCTGGTTGGGCAAGGAGGGGGCGCGGATGGCTGATTTCAACACAACTTGCGGGGGTGGGGGGGGGGGATGATATTCAACCTTGCGCGAGCCGTCTGCGTTGCGGAAAGAGATTGCGCCGCATCCAGGGAACAAGCGCAAAACATGAGGCGGAAGTGAGTGGCGGTGAGAGCGAAATCCTCGCGACTTTCTCCAACTTTCTTGCGCAGGCGGGCTACTTCTCCGACGGATATCGGAATGGAAAGGGGCTATCGGGGAATGGAGCTTTGAATGTGACCGCACCGCGCCCCGGGTTCCTCGGTGCTGTAGCCATCACTTGCATCGCCACCGTATGGCACAGCGCAACGCAACTGTCATGGGCGCCCCTCCGCCTCCCTCCGCTTCGGGATACAAGTTACAAGCATACACAGCTGCACTCGCGTATATGCAGAAAATGTTATTTCATCTTATAAACAGAAACACAAAACAGCAGTTTTTATTTTAAAATATTACAATGTAGCATAATTACGCAAGGAAAAGGAGTGGAAACGGGAAGAGAGGAGAAAAGGAGGAATAACGTGAGTAGAAAAAAGGAGAGAGGAAGAAAGAAGGAGGGGAATAGGGGAAAAATGATAGGAGGAAGAAAAACAGGGAAGAAGGAAGAAAAAGCAGCACACACAACCCCAAGAAAACCCCAATAGCACACACATTTAAAACACCATCAAGCCCTCCCATCAAAGCACCCCAACTGCACTCCCATCGAACCAAACCTCCCCCCCTAAACCCACTCCCTAAACCCGCATGTCTACCAAGTATGGTGCATCCGCCCACGGAGCATCCCATCCCATCTCCTCCTCAACATCCTCCCGCTCCACCCAAACAGCCTCTGGGCCTCTCATCATCGACGCCGCGCGTAACAAGATCACACGCGCCTGAGCCCGTTGCAAAGCCACACCCACAGCCGCTTTGAGCGATCCGAGCAAATAAGCCGAGAAACCCTTTACTGTAGCTCGCGCCGCCCCTTTCGTCTTTGCTATCTCGATCTGCGCGTCACCCTGCTTCTTAAGCCACCGTCCAAAACTCCCCCCCAAGCATCCCCATGTCTCAGCAATGAGTGGTGTGAACTGCACTCCCCCATGCCGCTGTAGAAGCGATTTACAGTCCGCCGTCTTTCGCTTTTCTCTCTCTCTCGCGGCAAAACCCACCTTGCGACCAATCTGTCCATGGTGCTGCGCGGATAGCGAGATAGGATCTACCACACTAACCTCCAGCGCGTGCTCCTCCCCCTCCCTCAGTTTCCGAACCGCCACATCAACCCTCTTCCCTGGGAGCAACGTGTCGTCTTCCATGGTCACAATCCCACCCGCACCCTTAGCTATCTTCGCCACCACAAATTTAACCGCATCGTGAACCCGAGAAGGTGCATACTGATACTTGCAGCGAAGGGCATGATGCGGGTCAGAGGGATCAGCAAACTCAAACCCACACGCGCACTTGCCGGCCACTATCAGCTGCTGAATAGGGAGGCCTAGGCGCATGGACGCGCAGATGCTCCACTCGGCTGCGGTGAAGGTAGCCTCCTCGTGCGAAGGAACGGCAGAAAATGTTTGTGGAACATAGCGCAGGGCGCTACAACGATGAATACGGTATTACTTCTTGTTTCTTACCCCCAAACTACATTGAGACGGGCAAAGACCAATGCACGTCTAGTAAGTGAGCACGAGCCTATCCACGAGCAGTGTAACCAGCATGTTGGTGGAAATATTATTTTGCAGAAGAGTACTCACGAGAGCAGCATCCACACTTCGAAATGCGATGTACGTATTGTTTGGAGGTACGGTAGGCAGTATCGTATAAAAATGTTGCATCTGGCATCTGGTGTCAAATATAAGTCCGCATCCTTTTATCATGGCTTTCAATGGATGCTTTTATTGCAAAGGGGACAAATGGAATGAGCCTAACATGGAACAGGTATTGTCATGGAATCGGGATATTATCACATTACGATGATCCATCCAGAGAGAGCAACGGTGAATAGAGGTCAGGCCGTCGATCCCGAAATATGCCCCACCCAATGCGCTGCTGCCACAATGCATCCAGGTCAAACGAGTGCACTAAAACCGCCTCCTCCTCTCGCCCTGCCTGCTGCAATATCTCCCCAGTTGGCCCTGAAACAGGGTTTACAGTGAAACGAAGGTCTCAATCAGACTGTATTCATTGCAATGGATGCCACTTGGTACACAGGCAAGACTGGACCAGGTCCATCTAGATCTGTTTTTGGAAAAAAAAAAAACAGGTTGTAAGCGTGGATGCATTGCAGTCACGACTGACGGACCTGTGATGAAGGAGGAGCCACGAAGGTGATGGTGCTGGGGCCGCGCTCTGCTCTTGAGTGGACTCAAAAGAGAACAGGGGAGGAATCACAGTCATGCCTCACGGACCTGCGATGAATGAGGAGCCATAGAAGGTGATGGTGCTGGGGCCGCGCTCTGTTGAGATGGTCTCCGTACCAATGCGGTTGGATGCGATAACAGGCACCTGTCGCAAATTAAGAAATCCACTCCATGTGTGCAAACAGAAACGAAGGGAGAAAAGCCTGGTTTCATCACAGCCAGACGGATGTCATGTCACACCCACCCGTGTGAGAAGAGAAAGAAAAGAGCAGCAGAGCAACTAGAGTACCGAGGTTTCCTGATCACTGATCACATGCAGGCATGGGCATTATCATCATCTCGGCCCGGTCTATGCGACCCATCCCACACGTAGCTGGCGATACCAGGCCCTAAATCCTGAACAGCGAGACACCCTGAACCAACAGCTGTATGGGCGAATCTTGCCACGACATGAGATGACACAAGCGCTTACGACCAGGTTCGCAGCAGCGTGGCTGTGCATGACGGTGGTTTAAGTGCCACTGTGAGTGAATCTATCAACAGACTCTTGAGAACTTTCTAAGTTCAGTGGAAGTCCTGCGAGAATCATAGAAAGTCAAGCACTGACACTGACCAGGTTGGCAGCACTGACCAGGTTGGCAGCACTGACCAGGTTGGCAGCAGCGTGGCCGCGCATGACGGTGGTCCAGTGCGGCTGCGAGTCGATGGACGCGTCTTGAGGCTCCGAGCCTATGGCTGTGGGGTAGAGCAGCAGCTCCGCTCCCTTGAGCGCCATCACCCGCGCTGCTTCAGGAAACCACTGGTCCCAGCAGATGCCTTTGCGTGGGTGCAGGGAGGGGAGGGGAGGGGTCAGGGAGAACAATGCTTGAGGCTCCGAGCCTATGGCTGTGGGGTGGAGCAGCAGCTCTGCTCCCTTGAGCGCCATCACCCGCACTGCCTCTGGGAACCACTGATCCCAGCAGATGCCTTCGGTTGAGTGACTGGGGAGGGATAGAGAAGAGAACGGAGAGGGAGGGGAGGGGTGGTTGGAAAGGGGGAGGGTGGGTGGGATTTGAGAGAGGGATTAGAATGTGAGAGATGGGATGGAATGGGAGAGAGGGGTTCGGGATGTTCTAGGACATACAAACATTTTCTGAGGCGCCTCATGAATGGGACACGAACGATGGCAGTGGGACATACATACAGAGTTACATACGTATACACATACACACACACATACACGCACACATACACGCACACATACACGCACACATACACGCAAACATACACGCACATATACACATAAACACACACATACACGCACACATACACGCACACATACCACAACCAATAGCTGCGTAGCGTGTCTTGAACACCTGCATGGGGCGCCAAGGCAATGGATGTGAGAAGAAGAGGGAGAAAAGAGTGGTGGAGTGAGATAAGAAACCGGGTGCATGGAAAGGCGGCAGGAGCAGCTGAGGCTGTGGATTCACTTGGAGTCTTACACGACAGTGACTGTCGCTAAGGTGAGGCTGTGAGTAAACAGCTGCTTAGTGCAGCATGATTACCTTCTGCCTAGAGTGGTGCTGACCAGTGTGGTTTTGACTAGAGCGGTACAGACAAGCGTTGTGGTGTTTTTTATTTATTATTAATTATTTTTTTAACATATTAAAAAAAAAAAAAAGCGTTGTGGTGCTGACTAGAGAGGTCCATGTCTCACTTTAAAACCCGAGTCCCCTGGTGAGAAGTAGAACTTCTCCTGGTACCCTGCACACACACACACACACACACACACACACACACACACACACACACACACACACACACACACACACACAAACACACACACAGAGTGCGGGGTGGAGTAGCCGCCCACGGCCGGAGGTGAGGCGATTGGAGGAGCAACAACAGCAGCTCTGGAAGCAGATTAAATCATGTGCGTGCATGCATGTGTGCATGCGAACGTGCGTGTGTGCGTGCGTGTGTGCGTGCGTGCGTGCATGCCTGCGTGCGCGCGTGTGTGCATGGGGGGTGAGCCACGCACCAGGTCCATCAGGAATGTGTGACTTGCGGTACACCCCAAGGTCCTTGCCATCAGCATCAATCACCACTAGCGAATTAAAATGCGCCACACCGCCACCGCCACCGCCACCGCCACCGCCACCGCCACCACCACCACTGGCACTGTTCTCCAGCTCCCCTCCACTGCGTTCGAAGAAGCTCACAGGCAGCACCACCTGCAGCTCTTTTGCAAGCTGCTGCATCCTGGAATTGTCGTTGTTGGTTGGCAGGGGAGCGACAGGGAGGAGACTTGACAGGAAATGGTGAACGGGACTATGGGTTGGAGATGAGACATATGAGGCTGAGAATGGCAGGTGCACGGATGGTGGCTCGGGCAATCCGAATTATGAGAAGAAGGAAGCGTTTCGGGTCCTAGAGTGCAGATCGTGCAACCCTTGCTGCCAGCCTCGCCCGCCCAAATGCCAGACCAGACCTCCCAGGTGAATGCATTCACCACGGCATTTACCTCGGTTTCAACAGCATACCAAGGCGCATGCAGTGGGAAGTATTCTGTTGCAGCGGACTGCCTCTGATCAACAAAACAGCACCATTGTGATACCGCGACTCAAACCACAACACAGCGGACACTGGTACTGTCAGTCAGATTCACCTGAGGACCACCCTGGGATCATCAATTAAACAAAATATATGTGTGAGTGTGTCACACACACTCAGAAGGTACAGAAAGGTAGGCAGTCACCTGGCAATGACAGGATGGTTGTTGCGGGGTCGGGCTCGCTTGAAGTTGGATGCGCACTGCGCCTGGCAGAAGTAGAACCCAGAAAATAGCTCCTGAGGGAAGGAATGTGAATCAGAACGAAAGGAATCAGAGGCAGGAAACAAGGATTTGCATAACAAATTTTTTGAAAAACAAAAAAACAAAAAAAAGGAAAAAAAAAAAAAAACAAACAAACAAACAAACAAACAAAATTGCCTGCCTGTCCACAAACACTCAGCCACACACTCGCCTGACCAGACCCAGTTGCCTGCTAACAAAACTCCAGGCGGCCCTAGCATACCTGCAGCAGTATGATATTGGCGCCACGTGCATGGGCTTCACGGATCAGCCGATTGTTGAGTCAACTCAGAAATGGTTGTGTGCTGCTGCCTGTCCACACGTTCATGCAAGACTCACATACTGGCCTGTCCATACAACTCCAGGTAGCCCTAGCGTACCTGCAGCAGGATGACATTGGCTCCGCGCGCATGGGCTTCACGGATCAGCCGATTGTTGAGTCAACTCAGAAATGGTTGTGTGCTGCTGCCTGTCCACACGTACATGCAAGACTCGCATACTGGCCTGTCCATACAACTCCAGGCAGCCCTAGTGTACCTGCAGCAGGATGACATTGGCTCCGCGCGCATGGGCTTCACGGATCAGCCTGGAGAAGCCGCGGAGGGAGGCCGCGCGGAGGAGTATGGAGGACACAGCGTGAGGACAAGCACGAGGCGAAGCGGGAAGTTACTTAGAGAGGGAAAAGCAGGGGGAAAAGGTGACTGGAGGAGTTGTAGGAAGAGGAAGGGGAGGGAGAGGTGGAGGCAAAGAGGATCAAGGGAGAGGAGAGGAGAGGAGAGGAGGAGAGGAGGAGAGGAGGAGAGGACGGGACCTGAGGAGGCCGGGGCTTGGGTATCCTGATTCCTGACCTCTCTGCGGTCTGTAGGTTCTGAGCCTCATCATCCGTGCAGGCGAACTGAACGGCAGCGACGGTGACACTGCGAGGCATGTGGACTCCCGCGAAAGGGCCCCGTGAATTCGTTGAACTTCGTTGAGATGTGGCGCGTGCAGCAGGGCGTGCTGCCGCCGGGAAAGCCTCGAGAAAAGTTGGTCAATCGCCGTCCGACTGACGCGTTTGGAAAGATCCGAGAAGGCTGTCTGCGATGGAATGACCATGAAGTGAAGAGAGCCCGATGAAGAAGCTGTTCAAGCCAACCTCCCTGCAACAGTCGTCCCGCTTTCAGCATTAGTGTCACGAACATCATAACATTTCTACTTTAGTTACGATTTCTTAATTTGCACTCTCACCCCCAAAAATGTCTTCGTTTTTCCTAGATAAACATAGCACTAACTTACTCAGACGTATATATCGCTTTCATTGCCAGCAGAGATTTACATCGCCTGATTTAACAAAAAACAGTGGTTTGGGACTAGTAATCTAATAAAATAAAAGCTGAACATTTTATGACTAAAACCAGCTTTTACGAAGAAGTGAGTTTTGTTTTTCTATACGGAAGTGTAAGCTGCTCATTAAAAATCAGTGTAGGTGCTTCGAATAAAGCTGGAGAACAATTTCGATATAAATCCCTGAATTGGACCCCTTCCCAAGTACTTTTCGGGAAGCAAGAAACCAAGGGATTGGTGGGGACGGTGCGCCTGATTCGTTCAGCGAATTTCGCATTGGCGGCAAGATCCGTGCTCTGGATAAGGCAGTGTCGAATCAGCACAATGACCACCCCCTCTGACCACGCGAAGAGAGGAAATCCTCCGCCAGTGGTTTCCCAAGTACTGGTCCCTCCCCTCCCCAACAGGGTCACTCAATATACACACGTACCACCAACTGCTGAGGAAGGAGTTGGCTAACAGGACCACAGGAATCCAGCACCAGCAACTTTACTCCTCCAGCAGCCATGGCCGCCGCCGTTGTTAGCCGTGCTATCCTCGCCGCCCCTGCTGCTGCCCTGTCTAAGGCGCAAACCAAGAGGGCGTTCTTCGGCAACATCGCTGGCCTGGCACCTGTTGCCCGCCGCGCCACCCCCGTGGTGAAGTCCCTGGCCGTCAAGGCTGAGACTAACTACCAGGTCATTGAGCCCCTCAATGGCGATCCCTTCGTCGGTGGGCTCGAGACCCCCGTGACCTCGGCTCCCCTGGTCGCCTGGTTCCTGTCCAACCTCCCCGGCTACCGCACTGGTGTGAACCCACTCCTCCGCGGTGTCGAGGTCGGCCTTGCCCACGGCTACCTCCTCGTGGGCCCCTTCGTCTGCGTAAGTCGTGGTTTGGGTTCGCTGTTACTTGGTAACTCTGAATTAAACGTAGTTCGCCTGTGTTCTGAACCATTGTCTGTTAATTACATTGCTTCATGCAGACTGGTCCTCTCCGCGGCACTGAGGTCGGCCAAGTCGCCGGTACCCTCGGCGCTGCTGCTCTTGTCACCATCCTGTCCTTGTGCCTGACCGTGTATGGCATTGCCTCGTTCAAGGAGGGTGCTCCCTCCACCGGCTCCACTCTGACCCTCAGCGGCCGCACAAAGGAGGCTGACAAGCTCCAGGTAATTCACACTTCATAAGTTACAATTGCTTCTAGTCTTTTTACGAAGAACTAACTTAATTTGTTTATTACGTGCAGACTGCTGACGGCTGGGCTTCCTTCGCTGGCGGCTTCTTCTTCGGTGGCCTGTCCGGTGTCGCCTGGGCATACATCCTGCTCTACGTTCTGGACCTGCCCTACCCCGTCAAGTAAATGATGTAGTGTGCTTAATATACTGTGTATTTACCGAAGAACGTTTCTTTGTACCCTATGCCAACTTTCACCCTCAACCAGTTTCAACACTAAATATAACCTTGTTCGGAATAGAACTAATGCTGGGGGTGTGAGAACCAAGTAACATTGACCATGCATGCGTTTGCTTGTCCTGAACCTTGGCCGTTTTACCGAGTTCACACCCTTTCCGAGATCATTAACAGAAGTCGTTTTGGACACTAGCAAATTGATGTGCTACGTGCTGTGTATGGAGCTTTCCTTTAGCGAGTCCTCGAGTAGTGAGTACAACGCATTTGTCTGCTTGACACATGTGGTTACCAGCACCTTCGGTTCTGTCATATTTTTCCTAAGCCGCCCAAAATACCGCCTGCCACGGTGGACAGGCGAACGACGAAGACGACGACATGTGGGCTGCACACAGTCGTTTGATCCACGTAAGCTGCCGGCCGTCATCCAACGAGGTATCTGTTGATTTGAAAATCGCCACCACTGGTTGAATGTCTCTTCTTGACGGCTTATGACAACACAGGAGGGGACATCACCGGCTAGCAGTTTGTCAATGGTTCCATATCAGCCACAAAATGGTAAATCGCATCTTCCTGTCCGCATAGAGCACACAATCTTTTCCAAGTAAGCACCCACGTGGCTTTTCACGAGCCTCGCTAGGAAAAAGAGGCTTGTTCCTTTGTCTGTCACCGCACGTTTTCCGAACGGGTTTTACCTCAACCTCCTCATCTCTCCCCAGGTTCGTCACGGACTTTTATCCAGAAACCACTTCCGCATCTCACACCGAGCCGCATCTGTAGAGGTTTGCGTAGATTTCCCAAACCACCAAACACGTAGCGCCTGGCCTTGGATCTTCCGAACCAGCCAAGACAGGTGCCGAAGCAGGCTGACACGGCATGGAGATCATCATCGTCACCACATGAACACCACTTTTTTCCCATCAGCAGCTCAAAAAGTAGAATGGTCTAGCCCAGCCACAGCACAACAGCAGATCATTCTTCTTCGCCTTCCCTGCAGCTGGCATAGCTGCGCTCTTCAATCTCCAATCGTACCGCTTCGGCTGATACTATATTATAGGAAGCTCCTGACGCCGCTGTTCCGATTGCTCCTAGTCCTTCATCCGCTCGACAACGCAATGGCGTGCTCATCACTGGCTGCGGTACGCATCAACGAAGTTCCATGGTCTTTGCGTTATTGGCCTAGCTATCGTGGTTGCGATGACGTATACTTGCAGTCGTATGCGCATATATGATTGTCTTACGTATTTCATTGTATCTGCTTCTGGTCTCGGAGTCACTGTTCAGATGGCCGATGTCAGAGATGATGTTTGGATCGAGTAGCTGTCACAATTCACCCTCCTTCGAGCCTGCTGAAACCAATCGAACGGTTCTTGTCTGCCCGTTTTACCGAGTTCACACCCTTTCCCGTCACCTCCATGTGTTTCAGGCGTCCAGCGGCCTTTCGTTCGCCTCTCCAGCAGTCAATGGCGTAGCCTCGCCCAGCATTGCAAGACGAGAGGTTCTAAGGTACGTCACTGCTACCGCCATCCGCGCCCCCTTTATGAAAAGTGCGTCGTCCATCCTAATCGTTCTCCCATCTCCCATGCGCTTTTGATGTTCTTCCCCCTAATGCCAGAACGTGCGATACAGTTCGAGCGATATGCCCGTGAAAAGTCAGTTCACGCTCCTCACTCGCTTGTCCCGTAATTCTTACCACCATTCCTCCCTCAGGCCTTCACCGGCACAACCGGTACGCGTGGCTCCACGAGGAGCGGCGCTTGTTGCGGCAGCGGTGGCCACGTCTGCGCCAGTGGCGGGAGTAGCGGCCCAGCAGCAGCGGCGGCAGCTTGAGGCGCTACCTCTGTCGCAACTGCGCGCCATGGCTCGCGCACGGGGCATCTCTGGCGGCGGCTCCAAGGCAGATCTCATCTCCGATCTACTGTGAGTTTCCCATTGTTGTTGGAGGTTTACATCCGCAAGTTTCGTCCCCTTTGGAGAAACTCCATGCATCAACACAATTCCTGCTCATCCGTTACATCGTGAGACTGCTTATTTCCTACTCTTCTGGCGCTTCTCCTCTTTATCTAATCTTTATCACATGCATCCTCAATGCGTCCCAATTCCCTCCTCCCCCCTTGTGTCTCTGTTCTTCACTCCTCTTCCCCCTTCCTCCGCCAGTCGCGCCGCTGATACTAGTGCGTCGTCCGTCTCACAGCCCGCCTCCGCCGCATCCGCGCAACAACCCGCCAGCGCCCCCCAAGCGGCGGTAGCGGCAGCGCCGGCGGGGGAGGAAGCGCAGGGCCTGGAGAAGCGGCTGCTGGCAACACCCTTGGCGGCTCTGCGCGCCATAGCGCGGCAAAAAGGGCTCCGGGGGAACACCAAGGAGGAGCTTGTTGCGGCACTCGTGTGAGTCACCGCTGCTAATGCTGCTGCTGCTTCTGCTGCTTGTTGGACCAGGGTATAACGGGAGGGTCAAGGACGGCTGAAGGTTGTTGGGCGTGGGATATCGTCTTGGGGGCGGTTTGGATCTGGAGGTTTGAAGGTGCAAGGTGGAATGGAGTTACGTGTAACTGTTTGGAAAGCTTTGGTGGTTGCTTCTACTTACAGTGGAAGGCTAATACTCGTCGCTCCCCCACCCCTTGGTAATACATCTTCGCAACCTTGGTAATACATCTTCGCAATCAGCAACGTCTGCCGTCGCCTCTGCTCTGCTCCCCCTTCCCCCCTCTCGGCTCTCTCGTTTCCGATGCTTCTGTTTCTCTAACGCTCTCAACCTTTCTTCTTTCCGTCCCCATCCCATTGCAGTGCCGCGACACCATCTCTCCCTTCGTCTGTGCCCGTTGCCTCTGCTTCCGCCTCCGCCCCCTCCGCCTACCCCGCCGCGTCCGCCCCTCTCCAGTCCAATGCTTCCGCCCCGACGTTCGTTCCTGCGCGCGCTGCTGCTCCTGCCGCCAAGCCCAGCCCTGCGACGCTTGTGTGAGTGGCGCGCGTGTGTGGGGAATGGAGTGGAGGGCGGGAGTGTTGGAGGAGAGAAGCGCACTGAGTGGGAAAGTCTGGTGGTGGTTGAGATTGGGTCATGCTTGACGCACGGAGAGAGTCCGATCGTCCCGTTTTGCTTGACTCTCTTGGGATAGGCGTGAGGCCGTGCGCATGGGCATGGGCAATGGGATGACGATTATGTTCCGCTATAGGGCTTTGAGGTTATTGGTACTGAGAATGGGATGAAATGAAACAGGGGCGAGTGAGTACAGGTATCATAGGACGCGTTGAGCAACACTGGATTGCAGCTGGAATGGCTTGCTGTTAGCATGGTGCGGCGAGGTGGACGAGCAGGGCGAGAGAAACAGAGCTCGCTGCAAAGGCCTAAGGGCGGGCCATGTTGGGGAAGCACACTGGATAGAAGGATAGTCTGTGCTTGCTTGCCCTTGTGGTGACAGTTTGTGAAGGGTGGTGACGTTGAGGGCAGCGAGATCCTGCACTGAACTGGAGTGATCCATGCGCTGCTGTTGTCACGCGCAGCATGTGTTACTCTTTTGGGAGAACACAAGCTGCCAGGTCCCACTCCTGGACGATCTTGCAGTATTCGGGCCACGGCAGTGGGCGTTGTTCTGCGTCTGAAGTTCATTCGTCCACACTGCATCTCTCATTCCCTCTCCCTGCCTTTATCTGCACTATCCTTAAATCGGTTCTCCCTTACGACAACTCGCCCTCTCCCCCAACTTGTGCCTCTCCATTCTCCCTGCCTGCTCACTCAGTGCTGAAGCTCCTGCTCCTGCGCCATTCACTCTTCCGTTCCAGTCGGAGTTCAGCACAACACTGACACCAGTGCAGGTAAGGCCATGCCCGAGCACACTTGCGGAGGGAGAAAGTGCTGTCATGCCACGCCATGCCATCGCTCCTCTATCATCAGTTGAATGTTTACACCTGTCCGTCACTTCATTACTGCATTACTGCTATCCCCAACACGACCATCATTGGAATGTCTATGTGAGGAATGGGCCGCACGGGACCAACCCCCCCAAATCCTCCCCTACTCCTTTATATTGCCCCTCACTTCCATCCTCCCAAACGTCTCCACGCCCTCCGCTCCCCCTGTTGCTGACACTTCAGGAGCACGGCACGTTCCCTGCCAGTGACATACTCAAAGCATCACTTCCTGTCCCACAGCAACAAATGGCTCAATACTTGACTTGAAGTCAGTGTGAGGACATTACAACAAGCCCTTCTACCTCGCGATATCCCTGCTTGCCACCTCATCTCCTCTTCCTTCCTCCTCCTCCCATCAACCACAACCAACCCCACAGGCGATTCAGCTGCAGGAGGAGCTTGCGTCACTCCGGGAGGCCATGGCAGCCTTGCAGGCGGACCAGAAGGTGATATCGGCGGACCGAGAGGGACTGCGGGAGCAGGCGGGGTTCCTGCGGAATCTGCTCATTGGAGGCATTGGCCTGGCTGCTGTGCCGCTGCTGCTGCCGGCTCAGATCGCCACGACTGCTGCCACGGGAGGTGCTGTTGCAGGCGGTGCTGCAGGGGGTGTGACTCAGGTGCGCAGGCAACTGTGGCACTTGCGTATGGGGTTCATGCTGCCTCTCATCTTTTGCATTTCCATCGTTACGTGGTTGTGGTTTTGATTCTGTGCTTTGCTGGCTCTTGTTTCTTGGCTTTCGCATCTCATCGCTCTCTCACTCTGCTTGGACCGCTCCTTGCCCTTGCTGCAGGTTCCTCCTCCTCCCCAGGAGCCTGCTCCTGAGGTGCGTCAGCTGTCCCCTGAAGACTTTTGCAAAACCCTTCCTGCCAATCTGCTCTCTCCCCAAGCTGCTCGGTTCTGCACTGCTGTCAACCAAATGGGGCTCTGAAAAGCTACCGTATGGCAGGCTGTCTGCTTTGCTGTTCAAGGGAGTTGTCAATGTGTTGGGCATTGCATGCGTCAGTGGATGTCAGAATAGGGAGGTGGAATTTTTGGATTCAGTGGAAGCATTTGTAAGATTGTTTTGCACTGCCATTTAATATATTGCAGCTCAGGCACCGCCCTTATGATATTTGTGTGTTGATTCTCTTAATGGTGGTCGTGTAGAGAATGTTGGGGGCGCTTTCCTTTACTGCATCGAGGATTTGTTGTAACTAGATATTCCTCTTGGGCAAGAGTACCAGGATTAGGGTCCTCTTTTCAAAGCTGCCAGCGCAACAATCGTCCAATCACTCGTAGGAACTGGCAGCTGTAAATTTGCCTAGTTGCCGAACAAATCAGTCATCCAATCAGAACGGCTTTCATTTCTGCCTTGACTCGCCTTGGATTTCTGTGGAAGTTTCCAGGTTTACAGATGGAAAACGTTCGACGAATGTCACGCTGCACGGAGGCGCGACCCAGCAATAACGAGCCGCTACGGTAGGCTAGCGCCACCGTCGTTTCACCTCACCGGACCACCCGGCCCCTGCGGCTCGCAGCAGTACAACCTGGAATGCCCTGGATTTTTCGTTAGAGGGGAATCAACACAAGGCAGCTGGTTTGGAGCGGAAGTCGCTGCTTTGGTGGGCTGGCAAAAAACTCCTCTGGGGTCACCCTCCCAGTCCCTCGGCCGCACGCGTGATCCAAGCCGCACTTCGTGGTTCGTGAACAGTTTGGTGAGTCGTTAATGGCTTGTTGATATTTCTGCGCCGACGGAAATTGTCGTCTAGAAAGATTCCCGTAGAAATATCCACCGGTTCCTGCCAAGCTGTAGGGGACGATACTGTTTCCAAATTCTCTCAATTATCACCTGAGATACTCCGTATGAGGTTTCTGGATGGAGAGCAAAAAAAAAACTCAACGGGTTGTCTTGATATTTCTTGGACCAAAAACTTATAGTCAGACTGATTCTGCTGGAACAGCAGCGAAGCACACCCAAAGCCTGCTCCTTGTCTGCTGTGTGCTGCGGACTCGGCTGCGCTGACTGGGACGAGGGCGGCTGCTACCCTTTCTTCCTCACCCCACATCTCATTGTACCCAGTTAGCCTGCCCGGCTCAACAACCTGACCTGGATTCGGACGGGCTGGCTGGCGCGTTGTGATCGTCGTCGTGCTTGCCCTGGCAAGCAACAGCTGCATTTCCCTTGGAGTGTGGGATGGGAATGGTGTAATGCGATGCGAGTCGCACGCACGACGTCGCCAACTTCGGTGCTAAAAAACACCGAACCAGACGCAACCCATCCTAACCGTTCTTTTGCGCGCCAACATTGGCACGAATAAGGCGGGGCGCTCTTGCTTCAATGTAGGGGGGAGGGCTGCTTCGAGGTGAGGGGCTGGCTGGAAGGAAACGGGCTTCATCGCTCAATTTCGTTGGAGGTCAAGGGGGGGAGACTGGGCAGACGAGTGACGACGACGACAGCTCGACGAGGGCATTCCAGCGAGGAACATTTTCATAGCAAGCAAGCATTTGGGGGCGCAAATAAAAAAGCACGATTACACCTGTCCTGCGATAATTCCACACCCCCTATCTTCACGCCCTGGGGTACCTACCCTCGTAAAAATCTGATTTCAAAGGTAGCTAGAAACAATCGCAAGAGTTTCGAGGGTAAAAAGACACGACCTCGACCCGAGCTTAACACTCTTAACTTTATGGCACTGGGAATTTTTCCCCGCTCACTCTGATTACAAATCTGAGTTTCGAATGGCCAGAACCTGAGGGTTCATTACTGACAGACCCGTAATGTCAGGGTGTCCGTCTCTATCGATCCTCAGGCCGTATATGGTGTCTGGCAAAAACGAGGGTAGGGGGTGTGGAAATACCGGAGAACAGGTGTATCTGTGCGTAGTCCCGAGGTGTCGGCATTCCCATTGTCTTCAATATATTCGCGCCTTTTCCAAGATATTTTCCCCGTAGACCACTTACGACTGCTATAGTTGCTAACTTCCACGCGTTGCTGAAACCTCCGAATTTTTCCGTCTTATTCTTTTAGCATTAAAAAACCATGGCTTCCACGCGCTTGACGGCGACCGCGGCGCATGCTAAGAGGCCTGCGGAACATAAACCAGCCCATGAAACCAGCGGCGGCTGCGACCACTGCGAACAAGACGCCACGCTTTGCAAACGACCGAGGCTCGACGAACACGACTTTCGAACTACTGCCGCCACCACAGCTCCTAAAGACGCCGAGCCTTCACGGCAAGCGTCGGTTGCAGCCCCCTCCACGCCGGAATTGAAGCCGGCACCTGCGCCGGCATTTGCGCCGCCGTCGCTTCAGAATGTGCTCGTCGCGCGTTTGAAGCAGCACTCCGCGGAGCTGCTGCGCATGAACGAGATTGCGCGCGAGCGGTTGCGCCGAGTGGCGGAGAAAACCCGCCAGTTAAACCAAGTCCGCCGGCACGTCAGCGCCGCCGTCGGTGCGCTTCGCCGGCGCGAGGCCGCCAATCGCGCCAATGGCGTGACGATTAACCCTTTCTCATGGGACGGTGGCGATAAGAGCGGCGTGGTTGACGGCGCGATTGACGCGAGCGCCAGGCTGCGGAACCCTCGCGCGGACCTGCGCGACGCCAGGGGTAGCGCGTTTCTCGACGAAGACGAGGCGGACAGTGGGGAGCGGGGGCGTAGCGCCGGTCCTGCCGCTCCCGCCGCTCCGGCCGTTCACACTGCGGGTGACGAAGAGGATGAATGGGCCAAAGCGGAGGACGACACGCGTGGCACTACTGGTGCCAGCAGCAGCAGCGACAGCACCGGCAGCGTCACTGGCCCGCGCCGCTTGGACCATAGCACGAACGGCGGCTCGGTCTCGCTCCTGGAAATGGCACGAGTGGCCGCTGCGCGTGGCGGCGGTAGTCCCGCCGGGCGATGCGGCTACGACCTGCGCGACGGCGACGGCGGCGCTTGGACTGGCGCGCGACAAAGAAGCGTGGGTGGCGCGGACATGCGCGTTCGGGTCGCGGAGGGAGGGGGACCCCGCGGTGCGAGGTGCTCCTGGTTGCAGTGCTGACTGATGCAGCGGCGCGCTGCTCATGTAGCCGTGGTGATGAATGACAGCAATCACGATGTTAATGAAGTTTACCTTAGAGCGAGCTAGTGCTCGTGCTGGTGCTCGTGCAGGGCACTAAGCCTTACAGATGAAGCCAAGAGAAAACCAGGTGCTTGCGGGGGACAGTGGAACGATCTCTCTCTGCCTGCAGACGTGAGGAGGGGAAGTGACATGACCAAGCTTGTGGAATCTGCGTGCAGCTAGGCTACACAAGTAGCCCCTCTCTGTGCCTGACTTACCATGAGATGTCTAATGTAGCTGCCTCTGTCCCTGTGAGGGTTTTTGTGAAATAAGATTGCTGAGATGTTACTGCAGTTGCTTTTTCCTGACTGCTTGAGAGCCTGCTAATAGTTTATCTTTCGTTAGCAAGTATAAATAGCAAAACTGTTTACTGATGTATAATAACAATAACAAAGACTCTGCTTATATCAATAACATGGCAAAATAATGTGACTTCGTTGTAGATGCGGCTGACGCAGATGATGCCCCTTGCAACCTCCCTCTTTCTGAGAGTGAACACGAAACACTACCTCCTGCTGCTGCTATTGCTTCTCCCGCCGTTACCACCAGACCCGTTGCCCCCATGGCCGCCAGCTCCTCCCATGAGCTTAGACAGCAGGAACAGGGGTGACTTTTGAGTCGACTCAAAAGCTACCTGCTGCTGCTATGGCTTCTCCCGCCGTTTCCACCAGACCCATTGCCCCCATGGCCGCCTGCTCCTCCTCCCATGAGCTTAGACAGCAGGAACAGGCAGCCAGCGGCAAAGCAGACAGAGGCGGAGAAGAAGAGGAGGTCGAGGGCAGACGACACGGGCACCTTCTTGCTCTTCTCAAACATGCCCACGAGCAGGATCATCACTATCACGTGGCCCAGCTTGGTCTTCATTTCGTCGAGTGAGTGAATCTCCAGCCACTTGGGACGCGCCTGGGAGGGTGGGGCACAGTTGGCAGGGACGGATGGGGAGAATGGAGCTTATTGTTTATCCTATCTTGGTCTTCATTTCATCCAGTGACTGTATCTCCAGCCACTTGGGGCGTGCCTGGGGGTTGCGAGGGTTGCAAAGGAAGTGGAGGGGGGATGGGGGTAAGGGGCCAAAGACACAAGCACCTTCTTGCTCTTCTCAAGCATGCCCACGAGCAGGATCATCACTATCACGTGGCCTAGCTTGGTCTTTATCTTCCAGTGAGTGAATCTCCAGCCACTTGGGGCGTGCCTGGGAGGTGTGAGTGCCACGAGGGATGGGAAAGGGAATGGGAGTAAGGGGCAGAGGGCGCGGGCAGGCACCTGCTTGCTCTTCTCAAACATGACCACGAGCAGAGTCATCGCAGTGACTGTATCCCTGCATTGGCCCAGCCGCTTGGGGCATGCCTGGGGCCAGTAGGAGTACGGCGAGGGGCAAGAGGGGAGAGGTTGGCGGGAGGGTACAGGGTGGAACATGAACTGGGAGGGAGAGTGAGTTTGGGGACTGAGTTAGATTCCGAGACGTCACGAAAGGGGCAATGCGTAAGGAAGGTCACACGTGGGTTGGATTCCGCAACGACAAGAGCCTTGCTTGCGGAGCAGATCGGACTAGTTCTCATCTCACTTCAAAGAATGGACCTCCAGCCACTTGGGGCGAGTGTGTAGTGGAATGGAACCAGCAGACCGATGAGGGAGAAAAGGGTGGAGTGGCATTTGAAACTTACGGAATGCGGCACCGAAGCAAGCAGGGGTAGTGAGAGAAACGCATGGGAAAAACAGTGGCGGATTCCAGCCAGACGCAACCGACGCTGCATTTGAAACACGACCAAGCATAATGCTACAGCATTCATGTGCGTGCGCCCGCCTTGGATCGGAAGAGGCCAAAGAGGCTGGAGCCGCAGATACGCTGCGAGGGGAGAGTTCTTGTCCAAGACACCTCAAACACGCAACGCTGCAGCACCAGATGCGCCTGCAGCACAGATGCAGCTGCAGCACAGATGCGAGTACCTTAAGTCGGAAGAGGCCAAAGAGGCTGGAGCCGCAGATGCGCTGCGAGAGCTCGGCACGGGCTTCAGGGGAGAGCAGGGAGGTGTCACGGGGCACATCGAGCGAGTTGACAAAGAGCTCGTACAGCCCGATGCCGAATATGAGCATGACTGTGCCTATCAGGTAGACATCTGCGGAGGGGGGAGGGGAGAGGAAGGCTTATTAGGCGCCTCAAACGCTGTAAAGCCTGTTTCCGATTATGAGTATGACGGTGCCTATCAGCTAGGGGGTGAGAGAAGCGGGGTGGTCGCGTGGTGGGGGGTGAGAGAAGAGGGGGAGAGGGGAGCGCAGGGAGGTGTGTCATGAGGTATATCGAGCGAGTTGACAAAGAGGCCGTACAGCCCGATGGCGAATATGAGCATTACCGTGCCTATCAGGTACACGTCTGGTGTTGTGGTTGCGGGGTGGGGGAGGTAAGGGTGTACAAAAAGAGCTTGTTAGGCACCGCAAAGGCCATACAGCCCGATGGCGAATATGGGCATGACTGTGCCTATCAGGTACACGTCTGGTGTAGTTAAGTGGATGGCAAGGGGGAGGGGAGAGAGAGGAGGCATGGCAAGAGTTCACAAGGAGCTCGTACATACATCAGGATATGAGCAGGACAGTGCGGTGCCTATCAGGCACATCTGGTGTTGTACGGTGCAGAGGAGAGCAGATGAGGAGAGCAGATGAGGAGAGCAGATGAGGAGAGCAGATGAGAAGAGCAGATGAGGAGAGCAGATGAGGAGAGCAGATGAGGAGAGCAGATGAGAAGAGCAGATGAGAAGAGCAGCTGAGAAGAGCAGATGAGAAGAGCAGCTGAGAAGAGCAGATGAGAAGAGCAGATGAGAAGAGCAGATGAGAAGAGCAGATGAGAAGAGCAGATGAGAAGAGCCCTCATAGTAAATACAACCTCCGCCAAGGCTTCTCCAGTGCATGGATTTCTTCCACGTGCCTCCTTCCCACGCAAGCCACACCGTCGCACTCATAACGGGATGGCCCTGCACTGCACTGCACCAAACACATACTGGTACGTTGCACCCTTACCTCGACCTGATCAAGACCTTTCCCATCTCAGCTCTGCACTGCACCACACTGCACCGCACTGCACCGCACTGCACTGCATTGCACTCACCCACAGCTTCCACGAGCAGCAGAATGACCTTGCCCGTGCCCACGCCATGCCAGCAGAAGAGCAAAAACTCCTTCACAGACTGAGCCACGAAGATACAGCCCTGAGAGGAATTTCGCGTTTCAAACAGGGGCGGGGTTAGGGGCGGGATTCGGGGTGGGGTTAGGGTCGGGGCCAGGGTTTGGTCCGGGTTGGCGTGCAAACGTTAGCATTGTTGTTTCCTCGGGGCTGCTGTGCTGCTGCACACACAGCACTTAAGATTCTGGCTCTCTCGGGTGCTAGCTGGCTGGATTGATTAGAATTCGAAGAAACGCCCCAGTAACTCCAATGCAGCAATGACTTTGGCCTCGCTTGTCCTCCCATGCCCTCACTCTTCCGCTGTCCGCCACCGCCTACCACCACTTGCCACCTCCTGCCACCGCGTCGCCTTTCCCGGCTCAATGGGGCAAGTGCAGAGGCGACGAGTTTCGAGACGACTCAGAGACCAGGTAAGCAGGCACCCGGTAGGAACGGCACTTGGTGCGCGTGGCATCCACCCAGTCCACGTTGCACCAGGTCCACGTGGCACCCAGGCCACGTGGCAGCCAGTCCACGTGGCATCCAGTCCGCGCGCTCACCTTGGTGAAGCAGAGCGCGGAGCCGATAAGCGAGCCGACGACCGCCATGAGCGTAAAGAACCGGAAGTTGAAGATGGTCTGCCGGGGACGGCGGGGGGCAACACGGGCCAACAGGCGTTCAACAAGGCAATGCGCGGCGAGGGACAGCAGCGGGGCCGGCATGAGCAGCGGGGCAGCAGCGGGGCCGGCATGAGCAGCGGGGCAGCAGCGGGGCCGGCAGGGGAGTAGAGGTTAACAAAACAAGACGACCGCCGTGAGCGTGAAGAACCGGAAGTTGAAGATGGTCTGCCGAGGGGGGACGGCGAGGGACACGAGGCGTCGGCGGGGGACGGCGAGAGACAACAGGCGTCAGCATGCTCACACGTCAGGGCAGATAAGGGTTGTCAAAACGGCGCTACTGGGTTGACCATGCACGTGAATTTCCAGGAGATTCTTGGAGATTCTTGGAGATGCTAGGAGATGCTAGGAGATGCTAGGAGAGAGCGGTCTAAAAGAATCGCGATAACCCACGCACTCACTCACCCGCTCGATAACGTCTTCCAGAGACCGCACGCGCTTAGCCCGGGTCACGCTCTCGCGCTCCGCAGCGCTAGCCGCGTTGGCACTGTTGCTCGTACCGTCACCGTCACCGGCATCGCTGGTAGTGCTACCGCTGCCGCTGCCGCTGCTCGTAGCGGGCTCAGGGTAGCAGTACCATCCGTCTCCGTCTGACGGAGAATTCGACGCGGCCGCCGCCTTGATTGCACCGCGACCGCCTCTGGCGGGGCGGGTACGATGGTTCCTCGATGCGGCCAAAGACTTGGTCCGCAAAGCCCGTGCGCCATGATTGTCCACCAGAAGCGGACACGGCGGGCCGAGAATGTTAGCGCTCGCGCTGATCCTGGAACGGTTAGAATGACTGCGGCTGATGTTGGCGCCGGTTGACATGCTCGCACGGGCGGGGTTCGAGGTCGAATGCGCCGCGAGCGGCGGGAGATTCGAGGAGAGTGTCATTTTAGTGGAGTAGCGATGCGCGAGGCTGACCCGTGATTGGTGGTCCGGCGTGTGAGAATGGAGTGGATTGTGATAAGGAGTGTGCGACGACGCACGCTGGTGCTCTTTGGCAGTTGATAAGGAGTGTGTGCCAGTGGGAAGTTTGTTGACGACGCACGCCATGGCTGCACTAATTCTGCCGTCAATTGTGCAGCTGCTTAGCACTGGCAGTCCTGCTCGGTCTATCTGTGTAGCGCTTCGGGGAGAAGTCTTCGTCTTGCTTGGCCTGGATAGGAATCGCTACTTGCTCTGAGAAAACCACTTGTGATGGTACTAGACCGTGTGTATTACATAACTTCTCTCATTCTGGACTTCAGCGCGTTCAGCCGAATTACGGGTTTTCAGCTCAAGAAAACCATTGCTCTCCGCGTCGCTCCCACATGACAATCCTGGCGAGTCATCGTCGGAAATGGAAACGAGAGGTAACTAATCACGCAAGGGACGAGGAATCGGACTAGGAGGAGAGGTCGATGAGAGCAAAAGAAGTGCGAAGAGGAAAGCAGAATCTGGGAGACAAGGACGAATACAGTACCGTACAGTTCAATGTACTGTACAGTACTCTACTGCAGTGTTGAAAAATATGCGTCGGCCACCAGCCCGCCAACAATCATAGACACGCCCCTGACCCACTGACCACGCCAGCCGTACGATATCTCGAATCGTGTTTCTGTGACTGGGCCGATCCCTCCTCGAGACTTCCACCTTCCTGCCCGAGCTTCGCTGCGCGAAAATTTGTGTCCAGCTGGAGCAGCATCTCCCGTGAACGGGGAGCTCCCTTCGCCAGGCTGTAGAGCCGAGTTCATTGTGGTTGGCCTAAGGGATGCTGGCCGACATGTGGGTACCTCTGCTAGCCACGTGGATAATTAATTCAATTCCACGTGGACTTCAGAAGACTGGCTATCACGACTCGTTTGCTTGCTGCTCGGCAAAGCCATATCTCTACACGAAATTACAATATCTCAACAAGTTATAACTCTTATACACAATAAAATTTTTTGAAAGTGTGTAACACTTTCTAAAAATGCGTATTGTGAAAGCGCAGCTGACTGTAGCGCAGCAAGGCAACTGCGAATTACCATTCGCTGAATATATGAGGGTTGGAGGCCATTTGGCCTCCACCCACGTCTTCATTTCGGAACTTTGCAGTTCCACTCCATTCTCGTCCAACCACTCAGTTTCCTGTTGTCACCTCGATTCTTGTGCTACGTCCTAGAAGAGCAATCTCAGGTTCTCGATATCAACCCAACTACCACGCGCGTGTCAAAGTTATGTTTAATATATATCCTGCGTGCTGTAGTTACTGCAGTTATTGTTCTTAACTATTTGGTGGTGCACCACTGTGCTCACCTTCCCTTGAACTATATCATGTATCTTGCTCATTAGTGTAAGCCCTCTTCTTCCGTTTCCCTCGCTACTCTCATACCCCAAAACCCTAGTCTACTTAGGCTACTATTCTAACATGGTATCAGAGCTGGTTCTTTCCTAGAACCTTCATTTTTTTTTTTTTTTTTTTTTTGAGGAATGGATGATGCATTGATGTTGGTTGGGGTACATATAGCTAACCCTAAGTTTTGTACCCCCTAAGACAAACCTCACTATAGGCTACAACATTTGACATACCCCCATAGCCTAAGTGAGGGGTGTCTAGCAGAACCAAACGAGTACGGTCACAAGACCAGTCCAAGAAACGAAGCTCAGGGTGGATCACAACGTCACCACACAGTCTGAGCACAAACAACAGTGGCCACAAGGCCAGTCCAAGAAGTAACAGAGGTATATAGAAAGCAAAGTAAACAGTACACTCAAGCCTAAGCAACACGAGAACCAGTGTCAACAAGGCCTAACTGCACACAGCACCTCTGGTGGTCACAAGGCGGAAGCGCCTTGGTGAAGATGTCTGCAGTGTTGGCCTCGGACTCCACAAACTCAAAGCGAGCCTGTCCACGCCTCTGCAACTCTCGCAGAAGAAAGTACCTGACGTGAATGTGCTTCACTCTGCTCTCCAGTCGTGGCTCTCGACAAAGGAGAATAGACGCCTTGTTGTCAGTGAACAAGGTCGGTGCAGAGCTCGGCCGCTCACCAAGGTCGGTGAGCAAGAAGGTCAACCAACGCAGCTCCTGTGCCGCCATGGCACCAGCGTAGATCTCAGCCTCAGCTGTAGAGGTCGAGACCGAAGAGGAGCGCGTGGACCGCCAGGAAACAGCTCCAGAACCCAGGCTGAAACAGTACCCCTGAGTAGACCTGTGAGTCTCAGCGTCGTCAGCGTAAGAGGAGTCACAGTGACCAGTAAGTACGACAGACTGCTGCCCTCCAAGAACTAGCCCCACGCCTGACGTCGTCGCTAGGTACTTCGCCACCCTCACAGCTGCTGTCCAGTGAACAGGACGGTGTCTCCCTGGCGCAACAAAGCGCGCAAGAACGCTGAGAGGGAAGGCGAGGTCCGGGCGAGTACAAGTCATCAGGTACATGAGGCAACCCACAAGCTCTGCGTAGGGACCACTAGGCTCGAACGGCTCGTCAGGAAAGGGTCCAGTGAGTCTGTGGTCAACAGCAAGAGGTGTGCGCTGTACTGTGGAGTGCTGAAGCCCGCCTAGCCCACCTCCTCTCCCTTCCCTCTCTCACCTCCCCTTTGTAAAAGGAGGTTCGTAAGCGGGTCCGCCGGTCCTGGCCCCCCACCTCCTCTCCTCTCCTCTCCTCTCCTCTCCTCTTCTCTCCTCTCCTCTCACCTTCCTCACTTCTCTGCCTTCTTCCACAGCGCTTGGTTTGCTCGTTCAGGGGGTGCTGGCTGCACCAGTTTCTACTGCACGCAGGCTAAGGGGGTGTGTCAAAGTTATGTTTAATATATATCCTGCGTGCTGTAGTTACTGCAGTTATTGTTCTTAACTATTTGGTGGTGCACCACTGTGCTCACCTTCCCTTGAACTATATCATGTATCTTGCTCATTAGTGTAAGCCCTCTTCTTCCGTTTCCCTCGCTACTCTCATACCCCAAAACCCTAGTCTACTTAGGCTACTATTCTAACAGCGCGCACTTCCACGTGTGTTCACCGTGAAGGGCATCAGAATCACACATGCGCCTATACATGGCGTGCGTTTAACTGAAAGCGAAGTGCGCCGGATGAAACGCCAAGGACGAAATCGCCAGTGGCGCGCGCCAAGGACGAAATCGCCACTGGCGCCAGTGGCGCGCACCAGGGACGAAATCGCCACTGTCGCCAGTGGCGCGGACGAAATCGCCACACGCTCGCCAGCGGCGCTTGCGCCAGTGGCGAAATTGCCACACGCGCGTCTGTGGCACGAAATTGCCACTAGCGCTTCATTGACAAAACTTCCTTTGACTGGAAGTCAACCGTCGCATATATAAGTGCTGCGAGTCTTTTTTACCTATGGTTTTTTTTTTTTTTGTTACGTCATCTTTTCTTATCGGCTATTAATCCCCCCTGCTACTTTAATTCCTTGGCAGAAAAACGGGCTCAACACCATGAAAAGCGGGCTCAACACTCAAAGTAGGACTCCATCAGTCGCAGGGGAAAAAATAGCACCAGCGTCCGGATCAACTGCACGCGCACTCAAGGACATCCCCCAATGAGAGGGTCCCCAAGGGGGACCGAGGGCCGAGAGCCATTCCTCAGGGGGGGAAGGGGACCGAGGGTCCCCGTGTGGCCTGAGAGCCGTCCCCCAGGGGGGGAAGGGGACCGAGGGTCCCCAAGTGGCCTGAGAGCCGTCCCCCAGGGGGGGAAGGGGACCGAGGGTCCCCGTGTGGCCTGAGAGCCGTCCCCCAGGGGGGGAAGGGGACCGAGGGTCCCCAAGTGGCCTGAGAGCCGTCCCCAAGGGGGGGAAGGGGACCGAGGGTCCCCGTGTGGCCTGAGAGCCGTCCCCCAGGGGGGGAAGGGGACCGAGGGTCCCCGTGTGGCCTGAGAGCCGTCCCCCAGGGGGGGAAGGGGACCGAGGGTCCCCTTGTAGCCTGAGAGCCGTCCCCCAGGGGGGGAAGGGGACCGAGGGTCCCCTCCCTGCGTGGCTTGAGAAATGTCCCCCAGGGGGGGGGAAAGGGGACCGAAGGTCCCCGTGTGGCCAGAGAGTCATCCTCACAAGAGCATAATGGCGCAAAGTCCTGTGCTGGCCAGAGGTCCACTGCCTTAGGCAAGTACTTGCAGACCCTAATGTCAGATGTGCGAAACCTTGAATATTGTATACGTTGATATGGATCAGCCTTGGCAGTTGCAATGTGTATATGATAAAGAAAAAAAAAAAAAAAAAAAAAGAGGAGGCAGACCCAAAATGGTTGGTTCGAATGCCCACCTAACATAAGGGGAGAATTTGTTTGAAGTGACTTACCCGTACCGTATTACAGTTTTTGGTTGGCAGAGTGCAACTAAGGAAGGTTTTCGAATCTCGCTAGTTACATGCACCTAAAAACCTCAATCATTGTGTCTTGCATGAAGGCGAGGCTGAAGGAATAGGGCTTTCGCCACCTGTCAGAAACTGAATTGACAAGCGATATGCATCATCGTGCATTTCACATCCAACTTCACATCCAACTTGCTCTTTCGTACATGCTTGACAAGTGATACGCATGCTATCCATCAACAATTTGCGCATCGTATGAACATGATTGCGCCATTGGGAGTTACAGACTGACTTTTTGTGTCAAGAACATGGGCGTGTTCGTCTAACCATCACGCAAGACAGCCCCCGTGCCACGGCATTCAATTTTAAGTTCGGACACCCGCGCCGTAGTTAGTTGGGAACATCAAACCGTTGGAAGTGCACGGCACATTCTAAATCAATCACAGAATACAAGCTCTAAATTGTTCCACATTCTACACCGAGGGTCCCGTTTGTGGACGGAGTGCCATTTTCCCAAGGGGAAAAGAACAGAAGGTCCTTGATGGCCAGAGGGTTGTTTGTTCCCCAAGGAAAGGACGCTGGTGTGACACTTATTGTGATCTTAGAGCGTATTCCTATCCTCGTATCAATTGGTACCTCATATCAAGAATGTACCTTTTGCCTGGTAGAACTAGCGAGAGGTTTTGGGTTTAGGGGAATTTTCAGTGGGAGGTTGATATGAGGTATTCTTGATATGAGGATAGGAATACACTCTTATACTGGTGATATTTATCAGA